AGACAATGAAGAGCACCTTGAGACGTTTTGATGAGATAAAGTGTTATGAAATTCAAGTTATTTATATCCTTCAGTTTGGCTTGTAGATTAGTATGTGGAGAAACAAGAAATACTGTGCAGGAATAGTATAATAATAATCCTTGCATTTGATACAGAGCTTTTCAAAGACATCTCAAAGCACTTCAAAGAATATACGTAAAGTGACTTGACTGTGTATTTGTGGGCGAAACGTGGCTGCCAATTGCATACAGCAGTGTCTCACAAACAGTCGTGGATTGAGTGACTAAATTATTATTGTTTTTTTTCTTGAGGCGTGTGGAGTAAGAAAATTTGCCCAAAGTTTCACTCTGCCGGGAAAGAATGCAGATGTTAGAGCTTATAAGTAAGAAATAAATATTTAGCTTATTCATACTTAGGTAAATATCAACTAGTGCAGTTGACACTCTGCCTGTGTCATTCTTGTGCCCTTGTCTTACTGATCAATTGCATATCCGAGTGCCAGCAGAGATTATCTTTGAATCACATACAAACATTTATGTCTGCTTTTACATTGCCATTGCTTTGGTGCAGCTTCATCTGTTTTGTTTAATAATCTGGAGGTTTCCTGCTTTTTGCTCCAGGCCTGAACATAAATGTAAAACATTTTCACATAGGTGGTCTGGTGACATCTTAAGCATAGCACAAGACTTTTGGAATTGTTTTTTCCAGTCCGACTATAATAAATAATGAATTAATTAATGAATACATATAAATTATTGAAATAATAATGAGGGGAGGTGTGGCTATGTTTCATGCACGGACTTTGCACTGGGCTTTTTCCTGTGCTTGTTATTAAGGCATATTGCATCAGAATAAAATGATCCCTCATAGGACTCTGCACGTGACAAAAATGGAAATCATTATCACACAACAACAAGAGTGGAGTGGAGAAAAAGGAGCCAGCCTCAGTAGGCTTGAAGGACAGGAGGGCTGGCACCAACAACCTGCAGTATAAAATTGGTATAGGTGGTCTTCCGGTGGAACAAGGGGACCAAGAGGGCCTGCCTCAGACTCGGGCATGCTGGGGTCGGTTAATAAAGGACAGCCAACACGGATTTGTTAAAGGAAATCATGTCTAACAAACCTGATAAGAGTTTTTTGATGAAGTGACGGAGAGGGTGGATGAAGGCAGTGCAGTTGATGTCGTTTATATGGATTTGATAAAATGTCACATAAGAGACTTGTAAGCAAAATAGAAGCCGACGGTATTAAAGGGACAGTGGCAGCATAGATAGAGAACGGGGCTATGAGACAGGAAACGAGAGTGGTGGTGAACTGTTGTTTTTCTGACTGGAGGAAAGTGTGTAGTGGTGTCCTCCAGGGGTCAGTATTGGGACCACTGCTGTTTTTGATCTATATAAATGACCTGAACTTAGGTATAGGAGTAAAATTTCCAAGTTTGCAGATGATACTAAGCTAGGAAAGTAGTAAACAGTGAGGAGGATAGTAACAAACTGCAAATGGACATAAACAGACTGGTAAAATGGGCAGACACGTGGCAGATGAAGTTTAATGTGGAGATATGTGACGTGATGCATTTTGGGAGGAAGAATGAGGAGAGGCGATATAATCTTAAAGGAGTTGAAGGAACAGAGAGACCTGGAGGTTCATATAAGTAAATCTTTGAAGGTGATAGGGCAGGTAGATAAAGCTGGTAAAAAAGCATACGGGATACTAGGCTTTGCAAATAGGGGCATAAAGTACAAAAGTCAGGAAGTTATGATGAACCTTTATAGAGCAGTGTTTAGCCCTCAGCTGGAATACTGTGTTCAGTTCTGGGCACCACACTTTAGGAAGGATGTCAAGGCATTGGAGAAGGCGCAAAGGAAATTTACCAGGATGGTACCAGGGATGAGGGACTTCAGATATCAGGAGAGGCTAAAGAAGCTGGGATTCTCCTTGGAGCAGAGAGGGTTAAGGGGAGGCTTAATAGAAATAGTTTTCAAAATTATAAGGGGATTCGACAGGGTGAACGAGGAGAAACTACTTCCACTACTGGCGGGTGGATCGGTAACCCGAGGACACCAATATAAAATAGTTGTTAAAAGAAACAAGAGAGATGGTAAGAAGAAATTTCTTTATGCAGCTAGTTGTTCGGATCTGGAATGCATTGCTTGAAAACGTGGTGGAAGCCGATTCGATAACAGCTTTTAAGAGAAAGGTAGATAATTATTTAGGAAGGACATGTTTGCAGGGCTATGGGTAGAGAGTGGGGAAGTGGGATTAAATTGTATAGCATTTTCAAAGAGCCGGCACAGACACGATCGGCCGAATGGCCTCTTTCTGTGCAGTATAATTCTATGATTCTATGATCAGGGACCACGTACTGAGGGGTACGCTGGGGTAGGACTGGCCAGGTATATAATGTAGGTGTATGGATTTGTATTTGTGAGGTTTCCTTATGTGTGCTTAGGTAAACGTGTGCATACGGTGCACATCTGGGCGTCATCTGAAAGCAGCAAGTGCACCTTATCAGGGTGTGTGTGAGCGCAAACATGAATGTAGTGCACACAGGGACAACTCCTGACTATCTTAAAGGGAGTGTCCCCAAAAAAATGTGTGCGCAACCTGTGTGCTGCGATCCTGTCTACACTCCCCACTAAGAAGGGGGAAGGGGAAGTACAAGACCCCATTTGTATCTGCGCCCTCCAAAGGGCAGCCTTGGTCCCTTCACCAAAGTGGAGTGCGCAGTGCCCCCCCCCCAACCCTGCCACAAGGGGCTGGGTCTGTTGCATCCTGTAACGGGATAATAACATGTTGCGTCTTGTTTCCTCGAATGGGTTTGATACTGTCTGAGACGAGAGTAAATATATATCAACAAATAAATGGATACATTTTGTTTAAAAAAAGCTTTATTGATTTAGTAAATATTTTAAGTGTAAGTTGTTCTGACTTTACAGGCTTTCTACTCTTTTGTTTTGAGTTCGATTTATACCAAACACCAGTGACAATGATGCAAAGATTCAAGGATACAAAGTTTTATAACGTAAAGATTATTAAATGGTGCTTATCTTTCTCGGGTTGCTTGGTACATGTTCATCATGTTCGTCAAGATGTTAGAACAAAGAACCTCATTCGAACAATAGGCTGTTGATCACATCCTGAATTTTACACTGCTAATTAGATACAATGTGGGAAACAGAGATAAAGAGGGTTATTCTGTTCCTTTCACTCTTTCTCATTATGAACAGCATTTGGTAGATTAGTTATACTGCAACCTCAGCATAATAATGACCAAAGCTGAATAACCCTTACAGTGTAAATCATCGTGCATGTCCTTGTTCCAGGGAGAGAAGAAAAAGTACACAGACACAAAAGCCATAGGAGGACATGCACATGCTATTTACATTTAACTCTTAATAAACTGGTAAACAGCCACACACTATCCAACAACTACAACTTGCATCTATATCATGCCCTTTGCATAGGGCAAGCTCTCGAGAGAGACGATAAGCGGACAAGAACAAACACTGCATTTGTCAGTGATTACATGCAAAGAGTTTGGCGATATGTCAATGTGATGAGGTGCAATAAAAATGACATTGTTTCTGAATTAAACAGGGTGTTTTATAATGGGAATATGGAGGATGAGGTCAATTTTATTATTCATGTAATGTGCAAGCATTGGAGAAGAACTGGACGGCAAAGGGTATTGGCTTACTTTGTGAAGAAGTGAAATCCATTCTGTAGAGATCTTGATAATTCTACCCGGCGCATCTCTCAGTGGATCTATCGACTCCCTTACCTTGACCTGCAGCAACAACATGTATTTATATAGCACCTTTCACAAAGGATGAACATTTTGAAGAGTTTTATGTGGATGATAGGGAGCACTAAGCAGTGAGGGGAGAGGAAGGGGAATTTAAGGGCGCTGACCAAAGACATGATCAAAAAGATAGGGATCACAGTCCCGAGTGGTGATGTTGTTGTTAAATACGGTTGGCATTTTGCTCAAAAGCAAAGTTTCAAAAAATAACCATGAGTTGAATGATTAGCTTATCTGGACGGACGCTGGCCAGAACACCGGGATGGACTACATTCTCTTTTCACTCTTTAGAAAGAGAAGCAGAATTTCCGGTAAATTCATCTCCCCTCCTTGTTGTTCTGTGGAACCTTGCTGGGTGCAAATGGCCGCTTTATAAAAACATGCCGGTAATTATAATAATAATAATCCTTACATTAGATACAGTACCTTTCGTGCGGGGAGAATGCCGCAAAAGCATCTCATTGTATTGTATTTCCTGTAGAGTGCAGTGACTGTGTATTTTGTGGGCAAACGCCTAATTATCTATGAAAGCCCATTATAATTTTTTTTTAACCAGGAATAATAGTGCAATATTTCACGAACATATTCGAAAGCCTGCGCGTGCCGCCTGGCAATGAAACACAAAGGCAAAGGGACATGGTCACACAGTGCCAAATCTTTGGCACTGAATAAAGAGTGGTGAAAGGACTTTGACTTCCTTCCTGGGTGTGTGTGTTGTGGGGGGTGTTGTGTGGGTGTGTGGTGGGTGTGGGTGTGTTGTGGGGGGGTGTTGTGTGTGTTGTGTGGGTGTGTGTGTTGGGGGTGTTGTGTGGTGTGTGTTGTGGGGGGGGGTGTTGTGTTGTGTGGGGGTGTGTGGTGTGCGTGTGGTGTAGTTGTGTGTGTGTGGGTGTGTGTTGTGTGTGTTGTGTTGTGTGGGTGTGTGTGTGGGGGTGTGTGTTGTGTGGTGTGTTGTGTGGGGGTGTGTGTGGTGTGTGTTGTGGGGGGTGTGTTGGGGTGTGTGTTGTGGGGGGGTGTGTGGGGGGGGTGTGTGGGGGTGTGTGGTGTGTTGTGTGGGGGTGTGTGTTGTGTGGGGGTGTGTTGTGTGCGTGTGGTGTAGTTGTGTGTGTGTGTTGTGTTGTGTGGGTGTGTGTGGGTGTGTGGTGTGTTGTGTGGGGGGGTGTTGTGTGGGTGTAGTTGTGTGTGTGTTGTGGGTGTGTTTCTCAGTGACAGGTCACGTACAGGACGTTGTGATCGGTGGATGTGCTGTTTATTTCCTCCAGTGGAGGTTTCGCGCTCTACGTGATTTACGTGCGGCGCATTTTGACGTGGTCTTGTGGATCGCGCGGTGTGTGTGTGAGTGAGTGTGTGAGTGAGTGGGTGGATAACGGAGGAGGAATCTACACGTCCACGTACTCGCCAACTCGTGTCCCGCAGCCCCACATTTTCTCTCTCGGCGGGAGCTCGGACTTCAGGGGCACCTCGAGCGGCCACAGAGGGCACAGTGACCAGAGGGCACAGTGACCAGACTGGGCAGAGCGGCCGGAGTGGGCAGAGCGGCCGGAGTGGGCAGAGGGACAGTGACCACAGTGACCACAGAGCGGCCGGAGTGGGCAGAGGGACAGTGACCACAGTGGGCAGAGCGGACGGACAGTGAGCACAGAGGGGCGGAGTGGGCAGAGCGGCGGTGGGACTCGCGGCGCTGTTGCCGATCTCGAGGCCAATGCGGCGTTTGCTGTCGAGACCTGTGTGTCGGATCGTTGCAGTCGCGGGGCGGCCGCGTCCGCCCTTCGCGCTGGTGAGTGGGTGAGAGTGCGGCTGTTCGCTGTCGCGACTGTCCCGAGGGCCCGGGGAGGGGGAGGGGGAGGGGGTGGGGTGGGGGTGGGGGTGGGGGCACTTGTGCAGAGCTCCAGTAAGGGAACTCGTGCCCACCCGCCCGGGCACCATCGTGGGCACCACCATGGACATCATGGACATGGCCTCCTGGTGCTCTCTGATGCCAAAATTCGTACACAGTATGATGTGCAATTGAAGGACCCCCCCCCCCCAGGCCAGATGGTTAAATGCCTTTCCAACTGTAATACTATAACAATAATAATAATAATAATAATCCTCGCATTTGATACGGCGCTTTTCACCTCTTCGCGATGTCCCGAAGCGCTTCACAGAATAGGCTGTAAAGCGAATTGGCTGCAGATTTTTGTTGGGCGAAACGCGGCAGCCAATTGCGCACAGCGGCGTCCCGTCCCCACAGACAGCCGTGGATTGAAAATGGCCAATTTACTATTGATTGTTCTCTGTTTTGGAGGGATTATCATGAGGCTCTGTGTGTGGAGTAAGGAAACTTGCCCCTTACCAAGGTTTCTGCCCCTTACTGTGTGAGTATGTGTAGGAAGGAGCGTCGGCTTTCTTTTACACGCAGTGCTGTATATTAAGAGTGCTGTTAGGTTTGTTGACCAAAACGATGAGCGCATCCTATTGATTTAATTTTAGTAATATCATTACTACCACTGCTGCCAACAATAATCTTTGCATTTGATATACCACCTTATCACGTCGTCTCAAAGCGCTACGTGGGATTTACTGTAAAGTGGATCGGCTGTATATTTTGTGGGCAAAATATTCTTTTCATGCTTTCTTGTTCGCATTTTATTACACATAACATTCAGGCAGGTGTGGTCCAATTGAAGCAGATGGGTGATGGAATAGCAGATTGATTTTGATTTAGCTAAACGTAAGGTAGTGCAAGTTGAGGAAAAAGAAGCTACAAAGAAGACGTGATGGCGCTATATAAAATGCAAGGATTATTTTTATTTACTGTACACAGTATCAGAAGCGGTGAAGGAAAAGGATCAGGGTGTAAATATTGATCTTTAAGTGAAGGTTTCCATTCAAGGTCAGGCTGTTTTTACAAAGTTATTAAGTACTTTATTTTTGGACAGCTGGGAGACTGACACATGTGGAAAACAGTCACCATGCTTAAAAGTTTCCAGATCACATTTTGGCAACATTTATTGACAAGTCATAAAATCATAGGATTTTATCACACAGAAGGGGGCAATTTGCATTTTGTGTTTCTCTGAAATTGAAAGATGTTATTCTAACCTCATATGGATGACTGAAGAAGCCATATTTGGAATAGTGTATGCAGATTTGGGTACTCTGTCTTCACCATATTAAGGTGTTCGAGAAAAACGAGGCTTTAGAGCCTTGATTTGTGAGGACAGCTTTAAGGAGCGGTATTTTATTGGAAAGAACAAACTTGCATTTTCAGTGCAGTTTAGCAAGTCTAAATTGCCTTTTGAGTGTTTCAAGTAATTACTGTCATGTGGGCATATTATTTTTGTAGGCAACCATTTGCGCCAATGAGGTCTTGCAAATAGCTCTGAAATGGAAGAAAAATAAAATAAATGGGCAGGGGAGGGAAGAGGACTATGTTCTCGATCACTGTAACATTGATTTCATCTCAAAGCAGTGAATAGGACAGCAACAAAATGCTGTATTGATGAACTTCTGTCCCAAAGAACAGGCAGCACATGTCTCAGGTTAAGATAAGAATGGGATCTTATCTTAATCCATAAACTGAACGCAGCTTTGATTATCAAATGGATTCAAGAACAGACTTGATAAACTTCAAGTGAGCAATAATTGCAGGAAATTCCCCTTCGCCCTTATTTTAGATGCATTGTGTGAACTCACACCGCAAATAGTTAATAACATTTCAGTTAACTTAAATCAAAAAGGAATTTAACCAGATAACTGATTAAGAAACAGCGTTGAAAAATAAATTGTATTTTTGTGGTGCTTTTTCACGTCAAAGCATCTCAAAGCTGTCATGAGGTGAATGACTCATTTGTGTGGAGGGCCCACTGCTCAGGACATCCAGAGTACAGAAAAACAAGATGAGAATGTGGTTTGCATTGCTTTTGGTTCATTAGAATTTCCTTCATTAGCTTTGACCAGAGTGGCCTCCATGTGATGAATCCTCTTTTAAATGAATTCTCTGGCTATATACTATGAGTGGAACCACTAAGTCTTGAGCATCGCTCCTTGTGTAGCCGCTGCTGGGTCCTCATAGATGGAGATACTGGGAGTGATTGCACCATCTGGGATCGATGGACATCAGTGTGAGTTCGTCTCAGTTGACCAGACCTGACCTGAAAGGGAAGTGAAAATGCTACAGTAACTGATTCCCATTTGTATAGAGAAGTGGACTGACTTCTCTTTACAGATGGGGGAAGGGAAGAAACATGAACTCATTTCAAAGTCCGTCTACCAATGCATAGTATCATTACAGAATTATAAAGTGAGTGGATCTGTATTTTTCCTTGCAAGCCATAAATCTGTGCGTTGTAAACATGCTGACGGGCTAACATTGCCGGAGGGGTGTTGGCGCTGTTCAGTTTGCTCACACTCCTTTGCGTAGCTTGCCAAGTTTCAACAGAGGAGAGCTCCAAAATATTTTGGACAGGATAGGGAAGAGGGAAAATACTTGCAAGCATAAGAGATAAACACATTTCTCTGAGAGGTTGGTGTGTGTGCTGCTTTTAGCCGCTTTAGCTGAAGGTATCACAGAGGAGCCCGGGGTGAAGGAGAGAGGGGAGTCACCGAGGAGCCCATTTTCCATCTGTCATTCACACCTGCAGATAACGAATAGCCAATACTACTCCCGGTACAGGAGCCCCATAGCGAAGTGGTTAGCACCTTCGCTTTGCAAGCGAGAGGACCCACATTCGATTTCTGGGCAGGACGAAACCTTAGGCGTATGTCCTTACTCCACACACCTCTGTTTATCTAAAATTTGGTCACTTAATCCACGGCTGTTTTTGGAACACTGCTCTGTGCAATTGGTTGCCACGTTTCGCCCACAAAATACACAGTCCATTCATTTCATCAACTCCATGCAAGGATTATTATTATTACATTGCCTCAGATCAGCTCAATACACACTGACTAATCCTCAAATGGGGACCTTCCTGGTCCATATGGTTTGACCAGATAAAGACTTCTTTTTTAAAAAAACATAATCAACTTGTATCAAGCTGACAATACACTGCTCTGAAGCTGATTTTTGTTTTTGTGTAACATTACTCAAAAACAATAGCCCTTTGAGTCATCTTCCTGACATGAAACGTGCTGCACAAATGTAAAGTTATTGTTACAAAGTGTTTCCAGGACTATTTAAAAACATTTTTTGACAAGAGGAAGATGTGTTTTATTGTTAAATATTTTCACATCAGAAATTCCTTCACCCTTTCTGCAGGCAATGACCCAGTTTTAATTGCCTTCTCTAGGAATCTACTGCTGCGTGAAACATTGATTTTCTGATCCAAAATATTTGTTTAGGAAAGAGCTTATGCAACAGTCTGGCAGTTAGACATGGATATACAGAACCATATGCACATAAGTGTTTAATTTAGTTATTGCTTTGTGTGACCTGTAATATTTTTGCTCATTTTTGCCATTTTTGTGGATATTTTGTGGAGTCCTGTAGGTCAGTGCTAAGACCACTCGCCTAGCAAGCGAGAGACTTCGGTTTGATTCCCGGCAGGGCAAAACCTTGGGCAAGTTTCCTTACTCCACATGCCTGATAGTAATCCCTCAAGAAAAAAATAATAAAAATTGGTCACTTCAAACCACGACTGTTTGTGGAACACTGCTGTGCGCAATTGGTTGTCGGGTTTCGCCCACAAATATACAGTCAATTCACTGTGAAGCGCTTTGAGACATCTAGAAGACGTGAAAAGCGCTATATTAAATGCAAGGATTATTATTATTATATTAAAGATCCCATGGCACGAATTGAAAAGAGTTTTGCCCAGTGTCCTAGACCAACAATCCTCCAAATTAAGTCTGTCACACGATGGCTGTTGTATGCAAAGTGGCAGCGACCATTTTGCACATAAAAACAATTGATGATCGTTTCTTGTGACCGAGCATCAGAAATGGTGCTATGAATGCAAGTTCTTTCTTGCAGTCACAAGAGTGTTTGTATAGTAGCAAAGCGTAAATGCCAAGCGGCCCACCTACCTGAGCCGCGAGCCATTGCTGACTCTTCTGTGACTTCACCTTTGAATCTCTCAGCCTGGACTCACTCTGACTATAAGATTGTTCCTCTCTCCCCATGATGATCGACCCCCACCCCACATTCCCCTCCGCATCGGCCTACAAAATCCCTCTCCCAACAAAACACTCACCATCCAAAACACATTGTCGACGATAAACAAGCATCGATATTCTTGCCCTCACTGAAATCTGGATCACTCCAGGCGACACCTTCCCCCTGACAGAGGCCACACCACCCGGCTACACCTTCCATCATACCCCTCGACATAACCGCCATGGTGGCGGAGTGGCTCTCATCTCCTGGTCCCCACTCGGCCTATCCCCTTACTCCTCTGGAATCTTCCCCTCTTTGTTGTTGTTGTAAATAAGTGTTCCGATGCTTGGTGTGAGCTAGTACAGTATAGAATAAGAAATGCCCTTTGCCCTTACTTTTACAGTACCATGGGATCATAAATATAGTGTTACTTCATACTCGTTCCCTTTGATTTTCCTGAGGAGGCAGTTGTTGCTCCAGCTCAGTTGCTTCAGTTGGCAGCTCCAGATCAGACTGCGATCAGTTTCGTCACACCATTCTCGCTGAACGGGTCTGATGCAAAGTGATTTAAATGGTCAAATAAACCCTCTGCCCCCAAGAAATAATTCGGGTAGCATTGCTGACAACACATTAGTCTCCTCTCTGGTTACCTTCATGGCAGATCCCCTTTTGAACTCTTGTAAATTAAAAAAAAAATAATCCTTGCATTTGATATAGCGCTTTGCACATCTGCTAAACGTCTCAAAGCACTTCACGGAATACACTGTAAAGTGAATTGACTGTATATTTGTGGGCAAAACGCAGCAGCCAAATGCACATTGTGGTGTCTCACAATCCAGTCATGGATTGATTGACCAAATCATTTTTTTTAAAAAGAGCCATAAGTACAGTCACTCCTTGTTCTCCATGCAACACAGGCAGCAGTTAAAATGTAATGGAGCAGGACAATGTGCTGTGCCCCTCCATTGTCTGCAATGGGCGGTTTGAAAAAAATGTACAACACTGTTCCCTTCTCAGCATCACTTTGATTTTAACCAGCTGACTTGGCCCCTCCAGCACTTAACTGCCAGCTCTTTCCCTCATTCAGTAGCAGGTTTCCCCATCCTCATCTCCCACGCTCGTCTAAAATTACCTCCACCTAACCAGTACTGGGCTTTGTTAATAATCCTGTATGCTCTTTCCAGGTGAACCTCATTTCCAAGGCAAAGCCCTCTGATTGAGAGCATCTGCTGCTAAAGAATGGCCGAGGACGAATTGATCTTCAATATTGAAGGGGTTGGATTGAGCGAGACCAAGCGGGGCTTCGAAAACGATAGTGATGATGAGGAGCAGTACCTCATCTGCCCTATTACAGATTACGATGTCAGCAAAAACAAGCCGAGTGAGGGCAGAAAAATATGCAACCGGAATTTTATGAAGAATGACCTCTACGGATCATCCAGCTCCCCGGGAAAGCATTCCTTTAGTTTTAAGGTAAGCCATTTGTTTCCGCTGTGTGGAAATATACGCTGTTTATTTTTCGGTCTCTTGCCTGCACTAACATTGACCGCATTTGTAGCAATAACCGTGATAAGTAAAGAAAACATTGATCTGTGAGAATGCCGAGGTCAAAGAGCACACCCTTTGAAAAGCCCGATATCCAGGGTTGAGATTTGTAAAAATCGGTACTGCTATTTACTTAGATGTGTTTACATCTGAACCCTGCCACAGGTCAGCCTGCAAGTAACTTGGTTAGCCTCGGTTGTGACGGTTGGTGTGAGATTTGCCTTAATTCAGTTTAATGGCACCTTTGCAATTGTTCCAAAACAGTCCAATGACTTCTGAAAATCTTAGGGTGCTTTGTCTCATGATGGTTGCTAATATTTGGGGAATTGGGACAATGCAAAATTCAGAATAGGGAATGATTTGGCTATCCCGATTTGCTCCTAAATATTCACCAGATCTAACATCTCTACACTGATATGGCAAATCCCTTAACATTCTTTGAAATTTATGATAATAATCCTTGCATTTGCTGTAGTGTCTTTCACGTCAGGAGCACATCTCAAAGTGCTACAAAGGATTTACTATAAAGTGTGGTCACTATTTTTTTCAGTAGGTGAACCTCTGTGTAGATAGAAGTTATATTTATACATCATATGCCAAAAGTGTCATCCCAAGGATTGTGAAACCTTACATGGTGTTCTCCATTCCAGAGTTAGACTTGTAAACAAAGATCAGCTTGCCAAATGTACCACTGGACTGCCAAGAAATATTTGAAAGGACTGCTGGCCATAAACTAATCATGATTTGACACGTTGGGCAAAGGTCCTGTTAACCCTTTTATTATAAAAACAAAAGGAATCCGTTAGCATATTGGTTATAGCACTCATCTCACAAGCGAGAGGGCCTGAGTTTGATTTACGGACAGGACGCAAGTTTCCTTACTCCACATTTTTCAGTTTACCTAGCAGTAAGTAGGAACCCGGTTGTTAGTCGATTGACGGATCCCTTCAAAATAAATAAATGAATAATAACAATAATAATTTGGTAACTCAATCCACGACTGTTTGTGGGACACTGCTGTGCACAATTGACTGCCGAGTTTCACCCACAAAATACAGTCAATTCACTTTGCAGTATATTCTGTGAGACGCTTTGAGACGGCTCAAAGAAGTAATATGGTACAAAGTACCAGCATCTGTCTTGTATGATATATTTGATTACCAACTGTAAGGGTTCATTTATTTTCATGACCCTGCGGTGAAGTAAGGACTGACACAAATGTTGTACAAATCAAGGTTTATTAATTCAGATTATAATGGTTTTAAGTAACTAAAAGAATACATCCAATTATGCTTACGTCTCCACGTATACTGTAGTTCACAATGATTTAAGTTGACCAAATGCTGCGGGAGAGATAGAGGAGCAATGTCCAATTTAATGTCCCATTTGAATCCAAGTATAAGTCTTAAAAAAGGTAGCCAAGTAATGTTGTACGGTTTCCAGTTCGATATCACCCAAAAGTATCCAGGTGTTATTGGACGTTTAGTAATGTTTAAATCGTAGTCTTGATCCTCCTTCTTTAGAAGCTGGAATATGGTTCACGACTTCAAGTTCCATTTTCTTCCTTCTCTTTCAAATCGATCTCCGTTTATACTGTTGATTAGGTAATCTTTCACCTGTTGTCTTTTGCAAAATGGTTCCTTTGTAAACACAAATGCAACACAGCTCTCTCCAGCTACAGACCATACCTGATCAGCAATGGAAACAGTTTGTTGTTTATAAGCAGTCTTTTGTTTCTCCTCCTTGAGCAAGGATCTTCTTCGAAGCTAGTCATAACTGACTCCCCTCATATGAGATTGATCATATGTCTCAAATATATAAACATCGCAAATATAATTTGAGATATTATTTAACACATTAATTACAGAAATCCTCCACAACAAAGACAAGTGCTGTAATTTGACCACTCGGTATTAAATCGATGGAGAGAAACTTAATCCTTTGACAGTGAAACATTTCAGTGTCAGTTTGCAGTGTGTCTGAAATTGAATTTGTGCAGCTGATTTATTTTTAAACTGGAGTAATCTTTCTACTCTGGGCAACAGGGACCAAAAATATAGATGATGAAAGTCAAATATTGTAATTCTAGAATTAAGTAAGACACCAGGTGTTTTTGACAGAGTGGAATGTAATCCTGTACTGCTGAGACGATGCATTTGTTCAAGAAGACTTTCCCATTTTCCCACTGTATGATTACTACAAACTCTCATTTAATTATCTTTCATATATTCTTCAGACTCTCCAGACACCTGCTAACTGTGGCTCATTAACTGACCAAGGTCGGGTAGGTCCTATATATGAAATTACTCTTGCCATGTAATCTGAAACTAAACCATCCTTCCCTTGTTTATTCCTATTGTTTATTCATATCCTCATCTCAGGCAGTGACTGTATCGCCCTCGCAGCTCACAGAGCCTTGTTGGCATTTTGTATAACCCTCAACTCTCCTTCAAACGTTTAATCTGACCAGAACTGCTATCCAACTCCACAACATTACTGCTACTACTTCATCCCTTCAAACCTTGGGCAAGTTTCCTTACTCCACACGCCTAATAATAATCCCTCCAAAAAACCAAAAACAATAATTAAATTGGTCATTTTCAATCTACGACTGTTTGTGGGACATTGCTGTGCGCAATTGGCCGCCGCGTTCGCCCACAAATATACAGTCAATTCACTTTACAGTGTGTTCTGTGAAGCGCTTTGGGACGTCCTCCTGACGTGAAAAGCGCTATATCAAATGCAAGGATTATTATTATTATTATTATTATTATTATCCAAGTTTAGCCCAAACGCTCATCCACACCTTTGGCACTTACAGGCTCAACTTTTGAAATTCCCTACTGTCTAACCTCCCGAGCTCTACCCTGCTCAAACTCTTTTCTATCTTCGCTTGACTTCACTAACATCCTATCCCCCAGCGGATAAACTTTAACATCCTTCCTCTCGCTTTGAAATGTGTCATCCTATCTCTGCAAATTCCTGTGGCCTCTCCCCACTCCCAGTCATTCCCAATGTTCCACTGCCTGCTTCATCTGCTGTGATCCACCATTGTCGGAGACTTCAGTCACTTTGCCCCGTCCCTCTGGAGCTCTTTCCTGAAATCCTTCCTCCTTACCTTCCCCTCTCTGCTTTCAAATCTCACTTAAGGATCGACCCCTTTAGGTGAGATTTGAAAGCAGCCTCCTCTCCCCTCCACCCTCTCAGCTCCCTTGTGACGCAAGTCCCATTAAGACTTTTTTAAGGGCTTTAAGGCGTTCTCGATTGATTCACTGGAAATGATTTTATCTTTTTTTAAAATTCCATGAAGTGAAGAAGCAGGATTTTGAGGCAGCTATTGCACAACGTATGTACAGTCACTTGACACTGGTATTTGAGATGAGCCGGGCAAGATACACACAAGACATGTTCTACCTTGCTTAAATCTATCCTTAGTATCTTGTGCTTGCCTTGCAGAAAAGTCAAAGGTCGCAAGAGGAGTTGACTGGAATAGATTTGTAAACAACCTGAAGAAGGGTTGAACGTAAAGAATGATGCCAATAGTTCAGAGTCTACCGCAGTTTAAATTACAGCAGGAAAGAGCTACAACAAATCCTTCTTATTTAGAAAAAGAGCGTTGGAAAGTGAAAGTGGAAAGGGCGAAACCTCAGGCAAATTTATTTACTCCATACGCCTCTGTTTACCTTGCAGTAAGTAGGAACCTGGTTGTTAGTCGACTAACGGATCACTTTTTTGGGGGGGGGGGGGGGGCAGGGTAATAATCCATGGCCACTCAATCCATGACTGTTTATGGGACACTGCTGTCCCCAATTGGCTGCCACGTTTTGCCCACAAAACCTACTGTCAATTCAGTTTATAATATATTCTGTGAAGTGGTTTGAGGCATTTCAATGACATGATAAGACGCTATACCAAAGGCAATGTTTATTGAATTATTATTATTTTCTGGTTTCTGAGAAGGCCTGCGGTTCAACTGACTGAGACAGGCTTGATCTGTAGAGGTGACCACAGCGCTGAGAGCCAAAGCCCCAATGGGTACGGTAGTCTTTGCTGGACAAATACTGTGGTTACTTTTTATTCAAAAGTTTCTGTCTTTGGAACATCAGAACAGGAGAGGGTATTCATTCCATCAAGCCTGTTCTGCCAGTTTTATCAGATTTGGGGCTGAAGGCTGTTTGCTTAGTGGTACACTGATAAAAACCTAATTTATTTATCAGTACAGCTGTGGAGTTATTCTGATATGGTAGGGATAATGGTGGAAATTCAAGGCCTGGAGTTTACGCCAACTCCAGAAGTTATTTGGCCCATCACGTGTGCTGGCACTAGCTTCCACAGCAAGATCGAATCCCGTACCCTTTAATATTATCTTTTCATCAAGTATGGATCCAATTGCCTTTTTGAATGCTGTTGCTGGAACAAAGTAAATAAAATATGATGTGGCAAATAGGATAAGCACAAGGGATATCAGGATGCATTGTAAAAAAAAACATCTGACTTAAATTATGATGCATATTACTCACAATGCAAGCTATCTGGCCCAATAACACTGAACTGTGATCTCTTATATTGCTCTACTACAGATTGTGGTAGGGTTGTCATATGTCTTGGTATTTACCTACAGAATTAGCAGGTCTACATTGAAGGATTAAACTGGGGCAGTATTGGGAATTGGCTAATAGCATGTGATTCTGACAATGCAGAGATGCAGTGCTCTGGTGTGGTCATCTTCTATTTAGTGTTTTTGCCTGTAGTGGGGCCATATGTTTCCCTTCACATTTTCCAGTGCACAGGACATTGCATACTCATGGCATAACCAGGCCGTTCATCTCCTTAACAGTCAGAAAAGTCTCGGAATCACATGAAGACAACCAGTGATGGAATCTTTAGTCTCTGAATCGTTTTCTATCTTTTAGATGCTGACTGGTGGCAAATTCCCACCATTTTTAATTTTTTCTTGTATTTTCCTGACTTCCTAACATTTTCAGCTTGTATTTCTAATCTTCTTTTAGGGGACGGTTTAATTTCTTCCACTGTTCTCCAATGATCTATGTTGACTGGTATTTTTCTTTACAGATAAGTTTCAGACAACACTAGTGTAATTCTGTTCAGCACTTTTGCACAAATATAATGGGAAATCCCATTAGAGGTCAATAACACCAAAGGTGCTGTGTTTAATGCTGATCAGAAATTTTACTTTCATGATTTTAACTGCACAATTCCAGTGTTTTCCCAAATAAACCTGCTTACACTCACTGTTTAGCTCATACATGAATAATGTCCACTCCTGTAGATGAGTTACCTCCTCTCCATTGTGTGTGCAAAGGGAGGTGACAGCTTCAGGAGAGAAGGGGTGTGGAGAAAAACTGAATAGAAAAAACAATGACTTCACAGTGCATTTTCATATGAGTGACTTAATTTGATAGAGCTAAATATGATCCAGTATCTCATTGTTTATAGACTATTTCAAATCTGTTTAGTCACTACAGCATTAATCATTTTTGGAATGGCAATATCTCAAGTCATTATCTCCAAATCTGGTTATTGACCAGCTGGTTAGTATACATTGCAAAGTTAATTAGTTTTAGAGAATAAACACATTAATAATATTGCAGTGTGTCAGTCAAGTACAGAATGCATTTCAACAGCATTTGTACATTGGGTCTAAACTCCACATGAGAACATGCAGACCCAGACGGAATTGATAACTATCTGTTTATGGCGAGCAAACGTTTAATTTATTGCAGTGTATTTTGCAAACCAAATGAAATGTCAGGCTGCACGTACAGAAAGAGCTTTGCAGCTGGTTTTAGCTGACTAGTTTGTTGTTGCTGTGTACTTTTTGCTTGGTATTTGGATGTGAATGTTGCGCCAAGCTTAGATATTTACCTGAATGTTCAGCGCATGAACATGATGCAGCAAAAACCTACTGAACTCAACGGATTTCAGCCCCTGCCGCTTGCTGGAGGCAGAGTCTGACCTCTAATTCATTTTTCAAGTCTATGTTTGAACATGTGTTTTTTTTAAATCGTGGATTAGTCAAGGTATTAAGGAGCTTAATGTTGTTAAAACAACAATGAACACTTTCTTTTCCTTTTAATATAAACTTAGGGTCAAATCTACATAATCTATGTACACTGGTCACATCGCAGCAGACCGAGAACAAGAAATAAACAGGCCAAAGGCAATTAAAGGGGAAGTTAAAAAACATTTATTTATACAGAAGGCTGTTGGAATGTGGAATTCTCTGCCAATCCATTGTTGAAGCAGAGTTCATCAATTATTTTAAGAGGGTAGATACTTAAAGAAAACGCAACATATGGCTATGGAGAATAAGCAGGGCTAGTAAACACAGACTTGATGGACTGATTGGCTCATTTCTGTGCTGTATCCTTCTACGCTAAATGCCCATAGTAGCTCATTCAGGATATTTTAGAGTCTCGAATAATCGTTGCGTAATTAAACCCATCACTGACTCCATCACTTTGATAAGGAGAGTGAGCCTTTTGCTCTTTTTCTTACAGGATGCTTGGAAACATGCAATTGAAAAAGCGAAACAAATGCCTGATCCTTGGGCAAAGTTCCATCTGGAGGAAATCGAGGCTGAGCCTGCGACTCGTCACAGGTCTGTTCCTCAGCAGTTTCAATCCACATGTCTATGTTGTCCTACATAATAAGCCTCTATTGTGTTAACTGGAATGGACACGTTCCATCTGAAGAGGGGGGTTAGAACCCATAGCTTTACTTTATCCATAGAGATGATTTACTTTGAACACATAGGATTACCCTTTTAGTTGTTCCATTGAATTTGGATTGTTGTATTGGATTTACCCGGTTCTACAGGAATGCCCTTGCCTCTTGCTTCAAAAAATGAGGAAATGGCATTGAAACTCAGCTTGGTCAACATCCCATTGCTGCACAGGTTGTGAACAAGTCGAGAGGCATGAAGAGGAGCTCCCCCCCCCCCCCGCCCCGCATTATTAACCTTGGCGCTCAGGGATCCAGTGCCCAGATAATAACACGTTTGAATTGAGTTGGTGGGTCTCATAGACATAACAGCACAAAGTGTTCCGCATCTTTTATTGAATTTGGTTTCCTTCCAGCCCAGTCAAATCGGTAAGCCTATCGTTGCTGGCACATCACTGGAATCTGTCTGAAAGAGCTCTCTTGTTTTCCTGGGTACAGTTTGTGACTTGTGCTTTAATTGGATTACAAATCAACACTTTTCTGAATCACAGCTAAATGTTTTGTGCTGACTTTTCCCTAACTTTCAAGGGAGATTTGTATAAATAAGCTCCTGAAAGGAAAGAGTCCTGTCAGAGATTCCAAGGCTTATCCGCTTTAAAACCTGCCTCCTGTGGAATGGTACTAATAACCTTATCACCTCTGCCCCAACGTCCTGTATCAAGCAAGATACATAATTGTACGTTGGACTCCAAAGTGCAAAAGAAACACAATGAAGAAAAACTATTCAGAACCAAAACAATCTCACCTTCCCTTGTCTGTGTTTGGGTTACCAGGTACAATGCCATTTCAGGAAAATGGGTGGAAGATAACGTCTTTGTCAAAATGGCAAATCAGGTAAATTAATGATTGCTGTAAGTGTTTGTTCCCTCCCCATTTCAGTTTAAGAGTCATTAGCACAACTTTGTAAAATTACATTTTGGGGTCCCCAAGCCTGGTTTTAGACGGGAAAGGATTACCCTCCCTAAACAAGGGGCATTGAGGTCAATTGTAATGTCCTCTTTGACTGTGCCTACTGTCATCTCCCCTCCCGGACTCAGCATCAAGCTCCACCACTGTTTAGCGTTCCGAGATGCTACCCACACCAACATATGAAATAATACTGTCTCTTCTTTATATCTGTAGCCCTTTGGCCGTGGCGCAATGAGGGAATGTTATCGAACGTAAGTTTTATTTAGTTGCTTCTGTATATATTAAAATATTTTTGGGACCATTTCTTACCCCCTTTTTCTAAAAAGACTACCTGTGGCCAGTCTTTAGTACTTCACCATAAGTGCCTTTCAGGTGTGAGATTAGACAGTGAGTGTCGGCAGACTATTTGACTGTACAAGTTATTGCACACCACCCTGACCTACATCACCCAACATACAAGTTGGACTGTCCATTGAGCCCCTATTGGACTGTGGCAAGTATTGCACTCAAGTCTGATCCTATTCACACAGGCTGGCGTCATTCGATCAGAAGTAGGAACACTGGCTGTGTTTTTCCCTCCCAAACCCAGGGGCACTGATGTCAATTGTAGTGCCCCAAATATTGCTACAGTTGAGACTCATCACAGACTTGTGGTATTTGAACCTAGAGCATCCAGTCTATATGATCCAGTGATGCCTTTATCCACAAGGGTATTGCAGACAGTATGTTTGGGGAAAAAAGAGGGAGATTAAACCTGTGTAAGGACCATAACCAAATGCTGTCATTTCTTTGTGATGTGAGTTGTTCTACCCAATAGTTACAGTTTTATTTGTGCTGATTTTGTTGTAAGTGTTTTGCAATGTGGCCAGAGCGAAGATTTATTTCCTATCTGGCAGTCTGTCTGCAATGACTGCCCTGTGAGCAGATGGGATGAACTCTCCCTGAAACACTGAACCTTTGCAGTACTAGGAGAGGACATTTCAGCTAAATTAGGGCCTTTCTAAAAATGACTTTTTATTTTTAGCCGACTGCTAGTGACGCATAACTACACGTTTCCCACACACAGCGAATGTTGAGCGTGTGCGGTACAATGACTCCTCCGAGAACAGTTTCTGAGAACGCTAAAACTGTTTCAGAGTGTTTGCTCCGTACTTTACTGTATTTGCTTGTCTGGAAACTGAGATACTTTCAAATCATTTTTAACAGACGGTTGTGTACAGAGTCTCTCAATGCTGCTTTGCTTGTGTAACCATGAAAATTGCAGGAAGGAGAAAGATATTGTGCATTTTCACTTCACGCAAACACAACATAAAATGCATGCTCAGCACAAAACACACATACACAACAACAACAGCTTGTATTCATACAGCGCCCTTCATGTAGGGTAATGTCTCAGAGCGCTACACAGGGCGTACCACATACAAATCACAAAGAATCACACAAAACACACAACTCTTACATTATACATGTATATGCACAAAACACCACTTATAATAAACACACAACACAATACAAACACACAGCACAACAAAACACAAGCACATGAAACAAAACACCAGTGATGACAAGAAGTGATGCAGCAGTGGTTTGTGCTCTGATTTACTATCTAACATCTTTCACGTAACTACAAAGTAAGACTCTTCACTTCAAATCTGTGCTATTACTGATTATCACTGAATTGGCGTCAGCCGCGTTTGAAAATTTCTTTTTGGTTCAGATATTGATTTTTATTTAAACAAGAGAGCACATTAACCTTATGAATTCAAACCACCACAGAGGGATTGCTGACGAGTTCAGCACTTCTTGTACTAAAGATGCAGCTTTTTATTTACTTTATATTTTTTATCTTAACAGGAAAAAACCTTCCAACTTTACCCGCCATCAGCACTGGAAATCTGCCTCTAATTACGTTGCAAAGCGTTACATTGAGGCTGTGGAACGGGATGTGTATTTTGAAGACGTGCGACTTCAGATGGAAGCAAAGCTTTGGGGGGAAGAGTACAACAGGCACAAGCCACCAAAACAGGTAACAGCATACTAGGGTTTATTAGCGCCGAGTGTAACCTGTTGCCAGCCACATAATAGATTCCCATTGCCGCCAATTATCATGCAAATGTCAAATGAAGCAATTGAGTCAAACAGCTGCTCCCCTCCTCTCCACTTCTTTAACTTCTGGCGGGAGGACAGTCTCACAGGTATTGAAATTCCTTGTTCCTTGTCACATTGCCATATGGGAACCTCGTTGGTCTTTTTAAAAATATTTTAAGGAAAATGATTGCTGTCGCTGCCTTTTTTGCTTAACTGTTTGTTTGTTTTGAATGGCAGGTTGACATCATGCAGATGTGTATTCTGGAGATGAGAGACCGACCAGGAAAGCCTCTTTATCACTTGGAGCATTACATAGAGGGGAAATACATCAAATACAACTCAAATTCAGGCTTCGTAAGAGATGAAAACTTCCGCTTAACCCCGCAGGTGAGACATCACCCACAGCCCAGACCGTTGGCCAATTGTCAGCAAGGAGCAGAATCGTGGCACAGATAACCAGTTGGGTTATATCTGATACTGGTGATGAGGACGGTAGCTATCCTGACTTGGTCCCAGCTAAATAAGAGAAGTAGAGATCTATTATACGAAGGCTGTGTATTGAATGGCATTTGTAAATGCATGTATATTTTATACCCTATATGTAAAGCATAACTAAAAATGAACTGCATATTGTGTGCCATGTGTGTTATGCACTATATGTAAACCGTATGTTAATGCATGTTTGCAGAGGGAATTACTGGTGCCCTTCATTGTATAATTAACAAACAAATATTTGAATTATTTGTTAATACATAACAAAGTGCATTTGTAATTCCCACTGTAAATTTATGTTTATACAGTTTACATATGTTGGTGTATAAGACACATGCTTGATTATGATTATCACAACTCACATAATACACTTGGACAAGATCCTGGTCAGCAGGAGTAGATTGTTCTGAGTTTGTGGCCAAGGCAGGAGATAGTTAGTACACTTGGACCTACTGCTCTATTAATGCCATCCATATGTCATTTGTATCTGACAGTGACAGCATATCGTTTCTGTCTGGAGCTGGTGTACGTGGAATTTAGACTTTCTGTTTTGTCTCATCAATCGTTAATTCTGATCCTATGTTTTCGTGTGCAGGTGTTAACAGGATGGTGTTTTGTTTCTCCCTAAGTGTAAATATTCAGAAAATATCCGATCCCATGAACTGCACCTCATCCTGTCCTTTACTATATACTTTACAGGCATTTAGTCACTTCACCTTTGAACGCTCTGCACATCAGCTGATTGTTGTTGACATCCAAGGTGTGGGAGACTTGTACACAGACCCCCAAATCCACACATTCAGTGGCACTGACTTTGGAGATGGCAACCTGGGTAATGTCCATTTCTGATGAATAAAGATATATTGAAGGGGTGGGACTGGAAATATCTAGCAAGCGGGTGGGACTAGATATTTCCAGTGGGGGAGCTTGCTCTAGGTCAGATACAAAAGACTATATAGCCTTTCTGTAAACATTATTTGATTATAACTGGCCAGTCCTGAACAATAGGCACTGAACAGCCGTTTCCTTTATTATGCTTCTGCTGCCCTAGACTCACTGGTTAGATGGCTTCCTGTGCTAAATCATTAGGTCGCCATTGACATCACGTCCTGCACATGGGTGTAACGTGCAGGATGTCAGTGGCAACAGTTTTGTCATGCTGCATTTTAACATGAAGTCTTATGGACTCAGACCACTGTGTTACAAAAGGGTTGCCCTGAACTTCCATTGAGGCTTATCAAAAGTCGATGCTGATCCTACGTTTTTGCCTGCAGGTGTTCGAGGAATGGCTCTGTTTTTTCATTCTCACGCCTGTAACACCATCTGTGAGAAGATGGGACTCATGCACTTTGATCTGGCCACAAAGGAAAAGTCAGCCCTAGAACACGCACAGAATCTGCTGGTCAGTGCCATCCGTACACAAGATGAGCCGTGCAGGAAAACTGTCTGTATTGTGTAATCAGGTGGCAGAGATTGTTTGGTTCTCCCATTGAGACATATTCCAAAAATGTGTTCAAGTGGATATTAAAGATCCCATGATCCTATTCGAAAACACAAGGAAGTTTCTCCTGGTCTTGGCCAGCAATCCCACAGATAAATTGATTGTTCATTCCATGTCTGGTGTGTGCATATTGGATGCTACATTTGCCTGCAAAATACACAGTCACTACAGCTGACAACAATTACTTGTGAAACATTTTGAGACACACAACGTTATCGACACCAAATAAGAAATAATACTAACATTACAGTCACTATACAAATTTGGTAATTTGTTGTAATAAGACTTTTGCCTACAGATATCCTCCACATTAAAATCTGTGAAATGCTTTGAGGCATAATAAGGCGGTTATATCAAATTCAAGGAATATTTTTATAAGCAATGGGCAACTTGGTCAATAAAGTGTGCCTCCAGACTTTCCTCTGCTCATTATATTGTATGAATGAAGGAGTCACTGAAAGAGATAAGGGGGGGGTTGAGAATGCACTCCATTGGAAGATAGATTGGTTTGCCACAAGTGACCATTGAGACTCAAACTATAATAATATTTAAAAGGCATTTGAAATGAAATAATATGAAAAGTTGTGGGGGTACAGCTGAGAATTTGAATTGCAATTTAGAACTGCAGTAGATTTTTAAGGCTCTTTAGGCAAATGGCCTTCTGTGCTGCAGTTTCTTTAACCCTGAACAATTTGCCTTTTAACAAAGCTTTTTCTCCTTTTGATCAGAAAACAGCAAAAACTGTTCTCCGTGGCACCGAGGAAGTGTGCGGCAGCTCCAGAGTGAGAACCACCTCCGGTTCCAGACCGCCCCTTCTGAAACGACTTTCCGAAACCTCTGCTGATGAATGCATGAGTGACAGCATATTTGACTCTCTGCCTTGCTCCCCATTATCTTTGAGCTTCAAGGAAGATTTCTTGGGGAAATCTCCAATGGGTAAATCCTTTCCTAAATTCAACTAGTAAATGGGGTTTATAATATACTGTGTGTAATTGTATGTATAATGCCTCAAGTATAAATGGCAAGACATCTCCTGGCCAACAATTCCCCCAGATAACCTGTTTTTCCTTGTTATGCTCAAACAGTTGTCCTGTTTGCTTCCAGACAATATCAATGCACTTCACAGCTTGTGCAGCACTTTGACATATCTTGACCACAAAAATGTTCTTTCTTTCCTGAGGGAATAAATGTAGGTGGTACAGGCCGTTGGTAGTTCTGCATCTCCATAAGGTGGAAATGTCTTCTATTTAGAGCTGAGTCTAAAACTGTTTTGGAACTAATGCTTTAGGTGTCAGCCTGGCTCAGATGCTATCACTGACACTTCTGAAGTAGAAGATTGTGTTGTCAAGCCCACTTTGAGACTGAATTCACAGTCTACGCTGAGATTCCAATACAGTGTTGGGAAGCACTGAATTGTTGAAGGTGAAAAGCATCTTCAGCTGAGATGTTAAACCGAAGCCTGTTTGACTTTTCAGGTGGACATTCGAGATCCCACGACATTATTCGTACAGAGAAGGAAATTTCTCCTGATGTCCTGGCCAACAATCCTCAAACAAAATTGGTCATTCACTGATTGCCATTTGTGGGACAATGCTGTGTACAAAATTGGCTACATCATCACTATATTTTACAGTAAAATCCTTTGTAGTGCTTTGGGACATCCTCCTGATGTGAAAAGCGCTATATCAAATTCAAGTATGATCATTCAGTAATGAAGAGGAACAAGGGATTTTCAAGGTTTTAGTATCCCCAAATCATACTGAGTTAGAAATAGTGTCCTATTCATTCAACACTCCTGCTGAGTGTTCCTAGCAACTTCTGTTTTTGTTTCCTATTCATTTTGTTAGGTTCATCTTTAAATGACCTGTATCGCTTTTTCTCCTTTTTCTGTCAGGATGGACGATGTTTAATCAATTTGATAATCTGGGAGATGATTCACCGAATGAGAGAAGGGTGAGATTTTCAGTTTTTTCATATTGTAATATTGAGGGCATTTTACATAGTTTAACACTGTAAAGTGAATTTGTTTTGTGTAACAATTATCACAATTTAATGAGTGTTCCCTCGAACTTGATGAAACTTTCTGAAACTGCGTTCTGTTAGAATCCCAATTTTTTAAAAATTGGATCTGACCTCCAGTGCAAAGCTCATGACCTAGACTTGATTTATATGGCAGTACATGTATTTATAGAGACGTAATGACCTGCACATGTGTGTTCCTCCAAAATAGCAGTCTAACTAAAACTTCCTTAAGTGGGAAATTACCAATGAAGGCACCAGTCATTCTTTTGCCATCTTCAGAGCCTCTGGCAGTGCTGAGATGTCAGTTTCTGGCCGTAGTACAGTTATTCCCCAAAACAACCAGAAAGATAGGTGTGGCTTTTAAGCAACTCTACCTGTGCAATCAGCTGTTTTGTGTTTCTACCACTGCTGCAGCCAAATCTGTGATAACTAGATGTGTCAGAGCTACTCAGGTCTATGGCAACCATTTAAAGGTAAATCTCACTCTTTAACAGTCACAGGACAGCTCACAAATATCACTAGTCTTTAGTCACGTCTCTCACTAGTGTTTAACATGTAGCTGTTTGTAAATCCACCTCATTTTCTGCCACCAGGCATCTGAAAATGGTTGTGACAGCGGATGCTCGAGTGAGAAGAGGAGTGAGTCAGAAGTGGACCATCTGGACAGGGTAATGAGCATCATCCACCATCATGTTCTCCTTCACTTGGTACCTTTAAACTGATGTTTCAAATTCAGGGCTTTAGACTGAGTCTCTTACTGAGATTAGCTGAGGAAATTCAATACTACGAAGGCCCAGTTAAAACAGCAGCTGTCGTGAACCCAGAAAGTAGCACCTTTTTCCATTGCTTTAGTATAAAATGTTACAGCTTCTTAAGAGAAGGGGTAAATTGTTCAAATAATTGTTTGCCAGAATTCACCATGATGCCTATAACCAAAGGTAATGTAATCGTCTGGTTTGTGTGCCAGTTTGTATAACAGTGTCTTAATTTTTATTTCTGTTTAGATGAATTTGCATAACAGAAGATCATTTGAGTCTGATGAGGACAGTATTCACCAGGTATGTGGATAATTGTTTTATTTCAAGTCCCATCTCTTTTGATGCTCAAAGGTTTTCCTCCTTCTACTGAGTTCAGCCTTCTGTTGCTTACCACATGCTCTCTTTCCTCACCCTTTTGTTCCCAATCAGAGTAAAGCGAGTCCAAGTGTGCACAAACCTTTAATCGACCACAGACAAAACCCTCAGACGCAGCTGGTGATCATGCATGGTTGCTTGTTCCTTGCATTTTTGCTTATGTGCATTGGTTGAAGTTTGCAGGCCCGGGTGAAAATAAGATGCAGAAATAATGCACTATAAGATCACATCTTTCTTCAAGCTCAGCATATGTCAGCCTGTTGATTGTGTGCTCTGATATTAACCAAAGCGCCTCTTCAGTTTGGATGTCATTTTAATGTCACTGATGCAGCAAACTGGTCCGAGCAGTTTTTAATTAGAATTTGACAGTGGACTTCCATTTGCATATATGAATCTTGCAATGATCAAAATCAAAAGCGAGGAATCGTTTCCTAAAATTGCCGAATGAACAAGCAAATGCTTTGCTTATTCTAGTGCCACTCAGTTGAGTTTGCATTTAGAGAAAAATTCTAAAACATGTATTTACACTGTGACTTTCTGCCATTTAGGATTTACTTTGTGAAGATAAATGGAATTACTATCATAGTTCCAGGGCTCACATGCACCGACCTTCATGTGTGGCCGTCGAGGTACAAAGACTTAATGCCATTAGCCAGGAGAAGAAGATAGGAAAGTCTATACTGGGCAAGGTAATTCTGAGGTGATGAGTATCTTACTAGCCTAAGGATTAAGTCACGGATCTGTACTGTTTGCCATAGTATCTCTTTAACATACGTTGCTAAATTATTCTGCAAATATATGTAGGAGCAATTCACATTGAAAAGACTCACAGTATCTCCAACATAGCTCTAGAATCCTCGGAGAGGCTGTCTATAGCCACTCAATGGATGATGCCAGAAATGCTGTGAAGAGCTTGTATGAGAGCTCGTTGAAGCATTTAGATGCATTGCCACTTCTCAGCCCCTTCCCAGTCCCAATGCGGGAAGTATTAATCAGACTTCCCACTTTCAATCATTTTGCTTCCAGCAGTACAGACAGATCACAACATAATCATAGCACCATAGATTGTTTACAGGCCATGAAGAGGCCATCTGGAGCAATGCCAGCTTCCCCATTAGAGCTATTGACTCTAATCCTATTCCCCTGCTTTTCCCCATGCCTTTTAATATTTTTTCTTGCACGTTTATCCATTCCCTTTTAAATGCCGAAATGGATCGGCTTCTTGTAGTAAGAGATGTGATGTTTTTAGATGACTGGGGAGCTGGTTGTAATTCACATTCCTTGCAGGTCCACCTGGCTATGGTACGTTATCACGAAGCCGGTCGCTTCTGCAACAAGGAGGAAGAGTGGGATCGCGAGTCTGGTCTCTTCCATCTCGAACACGCTGCCCTATGCGGGGAGCTGGAAGCAATCGTTGCCCTTGGTCTCACTTATCTTCAGTTACCTCATCACATCCTGCCCGACGTCACTGCAGAGGTATGTGTGGCTCTTCCCTTACAGACAACGTACATAGCGTTTTTCACATAAACGAACATCTGCAAGTCTTGCCTCCAAGTGATGGACACCGAGTAGGGAAATTACAGATGTTGATCGGCCTTTGGTGATAATTTTTTCTGCCTTTATCAACAGGATACAGAGAACAACAGGAAGAAAGGTTTTGACAGCTTAGTAATAGCGGCAGAAGCGGGAGATCGACCTTCCATGATTTTAGTCGCGAGGGCCTTTGATACTGGCTTGTATCTAGGGCCTGACAGGTGTGTATTCCATTCTCCCCTCCTCTCCTGAAGGCACTGACTCTCGCTGTGCTGTGGATATTTGAGGCCAGTCAGCCTCCAGCTGATTGTTAAATGGAAGCTGTTCACCGGTTCCAAGTTTGCTCTTTGTTCAACTCTGGGTTTTCCTATCTAACTTTAAAATTGTCTCCTTTCGCTTTTCTTGGCCGTGCAGGACCCAGGACTGGAAAGAAGCTCTGCATTGGTACAATGCTGCTCTGAACATGACGGATTACGACGAGGGCGGAGAATATGACGGGACAGGCGATGAACCAAAATATCATCTGCTTGCCCGAGAAGCAGAAATGTACATGATGGGAGGTTTTAGTGTGGAGCCAGACCCACAGAGATCTGGTAAGTTGAAGAAGCTTCTCGATTGGGGCAGGACTAGAGTTAGTCTCAATATCTCCCTGCATTAGGAAAGGAAAGTCAGCCAGGGCTGAAGCTCATGGCCACCAGTCACTCACCTCTGCTGGAAGGAATGTGAGTTAGAACAATGAGAATAGGTTCAAGGTTGGCTGCGGTGCACCCTTGTAGTCAGCGCCTTGGGACGTCCTCCCGACATGAAAGGCGCTCTATAAATGGAATCTTGCTGTTGTTGTATCCCACCAACCTTAACTGTTAAGGTTCACGCACGAAGACTGGCCTGTTAAGCGAGGTCCTGGGGTAAACTGGCTTAATAATCTTAATTTGCATTTGTCCAGTTTAAAGAAATAATTTTACTTGTGTGCGACTGCACTGTGAGTTCCATCCAGCTGGATGACTATATCAAAGCTGAACCTGATTCTGTTCTTGCCTTGTTTGAGGGCTTGTACCTTTCCAGCATGGGTCATGCATCCTGGATAAGGGTCAGGATGGAACTCCGTCTGTTCCCCCACACAAAAAAATCTAAGAGAACACTCAAACCAATTGTAGCTCCTGTGATAGGGATTGATTAACTCAACAAGCACTTACTGCTTTGAACTGAAGTGAAGTGCTGAGTGAAGATCCTGCCCATTAACTTTGTCTTGTTGTGTTCAGGAGATCTCTTCACGGAAGCAGCGGAAGCAGCGATGGAGGCCATGAAGGGAAGACTGGCTACTCAGTACTATGAGAGAGCAGAGGAAGCCTGGGGAATGATGGAGGAATGAAACTCCAAGCCACTCAGACCCCACCGGCAAACCAAAAGTTTCTTTTAGCCAGAAAGTTACCATTTACTAAATAACTTGGGCGCCCAGGCTGTATCCTTTTGTGTCCATGCAGAATGTTCAGGATTTTTTAAATGCATTTTTACCTTCACAGAGATTGCGAATAATATTGTAAGCCGTTCTGGGTTAACATGCACTGGCTATCTCTAGTGCTGTTATCACAGATAACTGTACGAATTTTAGTGTACTTTTGAAATATTGTGTGTGACATGAGACGTTTGCTCGGTTTATTTTGCAAAAGCAAAACAAATTTTTTTAAAATTATAATTATCAAGCGTTTGTGTTAAAACCATATGATGATTGCGCACCGATCTGCTGCATGGAGGAAGGAGGTCATGGTGCTACAAGCATGTATGTTTCAACTGTGTTTACAAACTAATGTGCTTTAAAAAGTGGGAGGGGGGCAGTTACAAGTTGAAAGGGAACTATCATTATGCAAAAAGTATTTGGGAAAACCTTTCTTGTCTATTTACAAATGCACGGCAATGATTTATATAAGAACGTAAGAATTTGCTAGACGAAAGACCATGGTCCATCCAGTTCACTTTCCACCATCCTGGCAGTCGCATGACATGTTGTGTCCCAAATTATATATTGTGCGAACAATTACTGGTAGCGGTGGGATTCGAACCCACGACATCGAAATGACTGGAGCCTAAATCCAATGCCTCAGTCATGCTACTACGATTTATTGCAGCATAGTGTGTAAATCATCATGGAATCCCCTGAAAGAGCCTATTTGGCTCCTCATCCTTTAACATGGTACCTCCCCACTGGAGTGATTCACTCTGATCCCATTTGCTTTTTTTTCCTTACAATCAAGTTACTTCAATGTTACTTCAAAAGCTACTTGCGATAATGTGTTCCACATGCTATGTAAAGCACTCCAAAACTCTACTCTGCATGAAAGGTGCTATACAAATGTAAGATGTTTGTGAGGGGGAGAATAGTCTTCTTACATCTTGCTTTACGCTTCTGGTAGTAGTCTGGAATTGATGTTACCTTGTTAGCGATTCACCCACCAGTGGGAATGATAGAGGTTTCTCTATTTTACCTCTCTTACCTTATCAGAAACTTTTCTGTAGGATCCCCTCAACCTTTTCTGCTCCTGTAAATATAGCCTAGAGATTTTATTAAAGCCTTTTAGCTTGTTTCTGTGAATCTACTCTGTGGCCTTTCCATGGTCCCAACACTCTTCCCATTATATTTCCCCATCGTGCAAGCAAAACACTTTGCCAAATACTTTGTATGATATAGTGCCCCTTTCATGCCAGACGCTATGATGATCTTCATTTTACGTCAGTGTTGTGATTGCGATGTAACCCTGAAAAACAAATAACCGTGTCCCAATGCAAAGCCCTTTGACTTGCAGCAGCTGAGAATTTGAAAGCATTCGAGCAATATATTAAGAGATCAGGGGGAGGGAGTCGCATTGTAATGCTTGGCAAAAATAAAGTTTTTGTTTTTCATTTCAGTGTCTGGTTTATTTCTGTCCTGCATTTTTTTTCAAAACAATGGTGTTTGGAGTGTCATCTTAGACGGTATGAGATCCAAGTCCTGACATAATAATAATAATATAATAATAATCCTGGGGCTTGATCCCAACCATCTGATGCAGAGTTGAGAGCGCATCCAGTGAGCTGGGCTGGCACACAAAGTGACACATAAAGTGTAGTGACTGTATTTGCAGGCAAATAGAGCAGCCAATATCCCCCCCCCCCCCCCCCCCCAACAGCCAAGAAGTCAATGACCTATTCTCGGTGCAGTGGGAAGCAGTCGCCCCTTAAAAAATTGGAGGGCAGTCGACGTAGGCGCCAGACGGCCCGGGCTGGAGGGGGCTCAGACACCCACCCGCCCGCTTCGCTAAGCTTTCTCCGTGGTGCGTGAAGGGCCGCGAAGCAAAGCGAGCGAAGAGCACGACTGGGGGGGGGGGACCTTCCTCTTGGTCCGTGCTTACGGTGACCTCCCCCCACCCCCCCCTTGGCTCGGCGTCGGGGCTCAACCGCCGCTCAGCGCTCTCGAGACGCCGCCCTGCGCCAACGCGCAACGGTGCCGCAGCGCAGCAGACGTTGCGCGTTGCGCTTGGCAGTCGGTGGGGTTGAGTGAGAGTGGGGGTGGGTGGGGGGGGGGGTGGAGGGAGTCGGATCCACGCAGCCCCCCCCCCCCCCCCCCTGCAGGACAAGTCCCTCTGAAGAGCCTTCACGAACCCCTTCGCTGGACACATGGGGGCGGTGCAGGGCCGCTCCTCCTTGGACAGGGGGCGCTGTAGCGGGTGGTGGTGGTGGTTAGGGAAGGGCGCTCCCCCCGTTGGACAGGGGGCGCTGTAGGGTGCGCTCCTCCTGTACAGGGGGCGCTGTGGCGAGGCCGGAGGGGGGGGGTTGTGGGCATGAGTAGGCCCCACGTGTCGCTTCCATGGCTGCAGCCTGAGTGTCGGTGCCGGCAGGTACGTGTGGACGAGGAATGGTGATGGCGGCGACGACGGCGACGGCGACGTGAGGCGAGGAGAGGGGTGAGGGGTGAGGAGTGGGGGGGGAGACGGGGCGCAGCGGTACTGGAGTCCGGGGCCGGTTAACAGTGGGGCTTTTAAACCCCGCGCGGAGCTTTGCTGAATCACTGACCCCCGCGGTGTTCGTCTCTCCCCCTCCGCCCTCCGCTCCCCTCTCCGGGGCTTGTAACCAGGAGCGAGTTCATCGGCCGGTCCGCCGCCGCCGCAGCAGCAGCAGCAGCAGCAGGAGGAGGAGGAGGAGGAGGCCCCTATGAGAGGCTGCCCCCCCCCCCCCCCCCCCACCATCCCCCCCGGTGCAAGGGGTCAGCAGCGCAGCGAAGCCCGGCGCCTGGTCCCAGAAGCTCCGACGGGTGAGTTCAGCCGCCACAGCGAAAAGCCCCCCCACCCCACCCCCAGTCCAGTTACCCCCCCCCCCCCGTCCAGTTACCCCTCCCCACCCCCAGTCCAGTTACCCCCACCCCACCCCCAGTCCAGTTACCCCCCCCCCCCCCCCCCAAGTCCAGTTACCCCCCCCCCCCCACCCCAGCCCAGTTACCCCCCCCCCCCCCCCCCCACCCCCAGTCCAGTTACCCCCCCCCACCCCAGTCCAGTTACCCCCACCCCACCCCCAGTCCAGTTACCCCCCCCCCCCAGTCCCCCCCCCCCACCCCCAGTCCGGTTTCCCCCTCCCCAGTCCAGTTACCCCCTCCCCACCCCACCCCCAGTCCAGTTACCCCTCCCCACCCACCCCAGTCCAGTTACCCCCTCCCCACCCCACCCCCAGTCCAGTTACCCCCCCCCACCCCACCCCCAGTCCAGTTACCCCCTCCCCACCCCCCCCCCCCCCCCCCCCCCCCGGTTTCCCCCTCCCCACCCCCCCCCTCCCCAGTCCAGTTACCCCCTCCCCACCCCACCCCCAGTCCAGTTACCCCCCCCCCACCCCATCCCCAGTCCAGTTACCCCCCCCACCCCCCCCCAGTCCAGTTACCCCCCCCCCACCCCAGTCCAGTTACCCCCACCCACCCCCAGTCCAGTTACCCCCCCCCACCCCCAGTCCAGTTACCCCCCCCACCCCCAGTCCAGTTACCCCCCCCACCCCCAGTCCAGTTACCCCCACCCCCAGTCCAGTTACCCCCCCCACCCCCAGTCCAGTTACCCCCTCAAACTCGATGGGGGGGGTGGAGAGTGGGAGGAAAAACTCCCATTGAAGTCGATCCAAATGGCATCACCTTTTCTGTAGACGGGACTGGGCAATGGGGAACCACAAGAAGTTGTCAACAAGTTGTACAGCCAAGATTGTGGTTTGCAGTGATTCTGGGGGTTAGGACCAGAAATACACCTTCACGGCCGTCGATGGCGGGGCGGAGGGTCCGGAGGACGAGGAGGAAGTCGGAGCCAGTTGAGCGGAGGCGGCAGGTGGTGGTTTAGGGAGAGAGAGCAGGTTGGAGAGATGGGGAGATCGCCAGAGCGCGAAAGGATTTAAATACAAGAGTGAGGATATTGAAACGGATCCACTCTGTAACAGGGAGCCAATGGAGCTCGGCGAGGATTGGGGTAATGGACGTGCGAAATTTAATGCTGGTGAGAATGCGGGCGGCGGAGTTTTGAATACCATTTAACTACACTCAGCCATACCATTCAGCTTCTTAATTTGCACAGTAAGACCAAAACTAGAGGCATAGGAAGATACTTAAACAGGACCAACCAAATTCTGCCTGTCCACGAGTAGCGGATGCATGGAATGGATTCAATAAAAGTAACTCCTTCATAAAATAGCTGAATTAATATGTGCTTGAGATGCAATATTGGACGATCATAGAGAGATCTTTAATTGAAAATGTACTAGACGAAAGACAGTGATTTCTGTGCTGCCTATTGGTTGGGGCAAATCATGGGGAGCGACTAAAAATGATGTGCATGTATGGGCGTTTGCATTTTTTAACACTAGAAATGTGGGAATGGAGGAATATTCGATACTTGATTTCCTTTGATGTGTTGGAGGTCTCTGAATACAGTTAGTGTAACTGATTTTGCAATATCACGGAGATGAGTTTGTTGTATCTGATTATGTTGCTCATTTGGTACGACTCCTCCAGACGGGGCTGGGAATCTAGGAGCCATCTTGAGGAAATATAGGTGAATCATCCAGTGCAGTGTGGCTGATGCAACACTTCATCCTGAAGATGATCCTGGTGAGAGTATCTCCAGGAAGATTTCTCCTAAAAATAAGAGTGTTCCCTGTTCCCCATCTGCGGGTGCTAAGATACGGTTTGTCAGGTGTTCCCTGACTCAACAAAACATTACCATTCTTCTCATGTGAATTGCCCCACCAAGAGTGTTCCACAATGGTAGTTGACGTGAAGACTATCACTAGTGTGATAATTGATCTCGGTTGTCTGTGTACATGCATTTTTGGTCAAGAGTCACTGAACTGTGGTCAGGAGTAGGAAGCCTAGTTGATTTTTCTTCTCTTCCTTTCCCATCCCCAAGATGTTGAGGCCACTTATAATACCTCTACTTCTGCCTGTCTGAATCAACTTCCTCAGCACATGGTGATGCTTTTACCGCTTGTGACGTGGGAGGGAGGGTGTGAAAGTTAGTATCCTTAAATAGTTTACAAACCATTGTGGTGGCCTATTTTGCATGACAAAGTGTTTTATTGTCCATTTGTCTTACCTCTTGCGAGCTAACCATTACTGGATTTTCAGTAATCTTTACTATATATAGCTCATGCCCCATCTTGTCAGCGTTTCAGAGTTTTGGGAGGCATCCTGCATCTACCTCTGGCATGTCCTGTGAATTAAATTTTCATATTTTATTCACATTTGGGTTTAGATCCATGAATGTTTTGAGATCTCTGAGTGGAGTCCTGTAGCATAGTGGTTAGCTTACTCGCCTCGCAAGCGAGAGTACTTGGGTTTGATTCCCAGACAGGGTGAAACATTAGGAAGTTACCTTACTCATCAGTAAATAGGAACCCGGTTGTTAGTCGATTGGCGGATTGCTTTCCAGGAGTAATAATCCCTTTCTCCTAAAAAAGATTTGGAAAAACAATCCATGATATGCAATTGGCTACCCCGTTTCCCTCACAAAATGCACAGACAATTCACTTTACGGTGTATTTTGACGTGATAAGGCACAAGGTCAAATGCAAGGATTGTTTTTTTTTAGTTGGTAGGGTGCGGAGGAGATATCCACTGAATTGAAATGTTTTTGATATTTTAGGTTGTGAGGAGTCCTGAGACCAGCGAGCCCCCTCATCGTTCTGTCATTTCAGCATGGCAAGTGAAGAGGATGACCCAATCATAGAAGAGGTAGGTAGCTGTCCTGGGGAGGGAGCAGGTGGCAGCCCATTTTGGGTACAGATAGTTCAAGTGTCGCCAGGAGGGAAAGGGAAATTGTGCCTGACTAGTCGAGACTCACTGAATGTGTTGATGGGATGTATTATAATCCTAACCATGTCTTTTTTTCTAAGATTGAGGTGTACCTGGCAAAAAGTCTAGCAGAGAAATTATACCTATTCCAGGTAAGTACTCTCCATTCTCCATCCATTCACTTGCGTGCATTTTAAATGTCTGACACACAGCTCTTTACCCTGGATTGGCTCTGCATATACCCTGTGCCCTCCATTCTACCATTGGTGGCTGCACTTTCAGCCACTGTGCCCCGCCTTGCCCCTTCCTCCCCCATTTTCAGTTCATGCCTGAAAACCTTCCTATTCGATCGTGCCTACGGTCACCTCCCCCTCCCGCTGGCTCAGAGTCATGCTCCGCCACTGTTAAACACTCTGGGATGCATTCCGGCATGAAGGGCACTATATAAATGCAAATTGTTGTTGAATAAAGGTGTTGATTCTTCCTTCCTCTCCACTCTCAGTATCCCGTGCGTCCAGCCACGATGACATATGATGACGTCACCCACTTAGCAACAAGAATAAAACCAAAGCAACAGAAAGTAAGACTCGTATGTGTATTAAAGATGCCTTTTCCTACCTCCGTCCTCTTGATTATTTTACTCTCTGAACCTGACCGTGTCCTTTCTAAACAAGTACCATAATCGGAGTAACTTCAATAAAGTGTTGGAATACAATAGGTGACTAAGGTAAAGAAGCAGCAGGTTTGCGCATGATTGTTGACCTTTCATTAAAGTCTCTCATCACTCTGAAGTTGTCATTAAGCAGTCCTAAAGGCATTTGATTGTAGTTCATTTACAGTATCTTTGATCATCTTCCCCCTCAAAAAGGCATTGGAATGTCATAGTTAATGTCAGTGAATGCTTTTTAGTAAAACACCAATGTCCTATCTTAGAATTGGATTAAATAGTACACAGACACTGGTCCCATTGGGGGTGTGGGAATGTCATCTTTAAAATGCAGGCAGTCGAGTTGAATAATGTCTGATATCCAGGAGTTTTGCTAAGTTATCTCCAAAGAGTTTAAGGCCAAATGCGAAGAGTTTGCTCTTTCTGTAATTGTTACCCAGAAATGTGACTCCCTCAATCCTGGTGTGACCTGTTAGAAGGAAAGGGACTTGATGGCCAGTTCCTTGTTTAGTCTTCAAGTTGTCCCAGTCATAGTGAAATGTTAGGGCCAGAAAATACAATTCTTGGATCTGATTCTCAGACAGGTGGAGTAACTGTACAACGCCCCCAACATACCATAACCTCTGATAGCTCACATTTTTATCTCTTATCAATACAGCTATTTTTATTTAGATAAAGTCACACTCCTATCATCATAATAATAATTCTTATATTTGATATAGTGCCTTATCACGTCTTCGAGATGTCTCAAAGCGCTTCACAGAATATACTGTAAAGTGAATTAACTGTATATTTTGTTTAATCATGTCTATTACCTACTTGTATTGGGTTACAGAGAGGACAACACTAGAGAAGCTGTTATAACTGGTTTTCCTTTGCAGGTTGAGCTCGAGATTGCTATTGATACACTTAGTCCCAATTACTGCAGAAGCAAAGGGGAGCAGATTGCGCTCAATGTAGATGGCACCTCCACCGATGACTCTGGAAGTACCTATGCATCGTAAGTAACATCGGGCAGCAAGAGGGCTTCATATTGCTCTGTGTATTTGGTTTAGGACATTACATTTATATTGGAGCTCCTGTAATGGCCTCGTGGCTAAAGGAGTGGTGCAGCAGTAGCCATATAGAACAGAAGATTACATGTTTGAATTCCCAGTTTGTTCTGAGTCGCAGGGTTGCAGTTGAGGTTACCATTGGCCCTAGAGCCTTGGATTAAGAGGAGAAATTGGACAGTCTTTCTATTTCTGATCTCTGTCCATTAACCCTTCCCCACCCCCTCCCTGCCCACACCACCACCCAACTGTAAAGTGAAGACAGGATTGGGCTCAGATGTGATGCTTCTTGGGTCAAGTAGGCTGCCGACACTCACAGCCATGGATAATACTTGACACAAAGCCGCTTTGCTGAGAGAGGGCATTACTAGAGAGGGCATTTGTTGGACTGTATCTCCAGCCAAGCTACGGTGCTCTTTAGGGAGGAGAAAAAGATGAAGATTGGCCAAAAATGTTCCATATTTGGAGTCTCTTTTTAGTTTTAGTCTGATACTGTGTTAGCGTGTATATGTTTTGTCGTGAAAGCTCAGGGTTTATTACTATTTACATTGTTCTTTTCTAATCATTAGTAAACTCATGGACAAACAAAGCTTCTCATCCATCCAGGCTGCAACCAACACTTCCCGCTACGCTGTTGCTGTTTACAGGAAAGGTGATTTAATAATGAATACTTCTTACATTTGATATGGCACCTTTCAAGTTGGGGGTGGGGGTAAATGTAATGTGTATTTATAGGCGAATATGTTAGCCAATATTAATAATGATCCTTGCATTTTTTATAGTGGCTTATCACGTCACTGAGACCTCTCAAAGCTCTTCACAGAATACACTATAAAATGAATTGACTGTAGATTTAGTGGGTGAAATGGAGAAGCTAATTGCATCCCGTAAACAGCCATGATGTGAATGACCAATTTTACCACTTGTGTATTACAGCTCTGTAGTATATAAATCAGAGAAGTGCTAAAGTAAAACTTACCTTTTCGAGGCAGCGGATGACTTATGTAAGTACCTTTGCTTTCCCGACAGGTGAGCTGCACGTTACCCCTTTACACGGTATTCTCCAGATGAGACCAAGCTTTTCTTACCTGGATAAAGCGGATGCAAAACACAGAGAAAGAGAGGCTGCAAACGAAGGTACAGAAGCAACAACAACTTTGACTTAAAAAAAGGAAATGTCTTAAAAGAGTTTCACAGGAATAGATTCAATTACCCTGTGAAGCTCTTCGATTCAGTGCATTGCAGCTTATCTCCAGCACAATATATAATCATCCAATAAAAGTCTTAGTGCAGTTTGGAGCTTGACGGGATACATCAGGCCCATGGGTTTGTCTGGTACTGCAGTACAGGATGACTTGAAGTGGCTGGGAGAAGCCATTCCTGACACAGTAACTTCCAGGAGTAAGGCCACATGTTGATCTAGTGTTACCCAGTGTGAATATCTAACACTGAGCTATTGGGTGTAACCAAAAGGCGGGTTTGATTTCCCAACACCTGATCTCAGTGGGAAGCCCTTTGTTAACCTGAGAAAGCACGAGTTGATGTGAAAGCTGCTCAGTCCCTGTGTTGTGGAAGTGCAGTGAGGTGAATCCAGCATGGTATTGGATTAAATCCGACTTGTTTTCGCTTCTCTGGCAGCTGGCGACTCTTCTCAAGACGAGGCTGAAGACGACGTGAAGCAGATAACCGTAAGTTGTCCCCCTTTCTAATCAGTGTTCTCTCTTGTCAAAATGCACCATCTCAATCTGGAATTTTGGTTTCACTAATATCGGCCACACTCCAGTCTCTCATCCAAGAGATTTTTGTCCAGATGTGAAACCCACACAGTGACCATGAGTTCATGGCAACCTGATCCTGTCCTCACTGGATGTCTTCACATATGCTTTACAACAGAAGGCACTTCATAGTGATTTCCTATTTATTTTCCCCCTCCCCTTCAGTCTTGGGATCCTGAGGGCACCTATTAGCTCACCTGCTTCTGACCCAGTTGAAGTTGCACAGAAGCACGTGAGTAATTGCATATGGTGCATATACCTTAGTGCTCCACTGTATACTGTACACAGAAGGTTATGGTCATGATGGTGGCTTTATTAATGGGCTTTATATATATATAAAGAGGGATGAAGAAGGATCATCTGTTACTTTTATCGTGATCTTGTCTGTACTTCGAGACACGACACGACCTTGCATGAAGGGAACTAAATAAATGCAAGTTGCTGTTTCCCCATGCATTTTTGCAGGGTGTGTGGAAAATCTTTCATTCTTTAGTCACAAAAGCACCATCTTCATGGGAGCATGCAAAATAATAACAGTTACCTCCTCCCAAGTGTGAAGTTGAGCCATACAGACCCAATGAGCCTTGCATTTATTTTAACTAATCTGTTTAATTGATGGGTTATTGGTTAGTAATGAATGCAATATTAATCTATTGCTGCTGATCTTTATCTTTCTATAAAGCTAAGAATCTATGGTATAATTGTTACCCTTTGACCTGATAAGTGAACATTGAGTCCTCTTTATAGATAAACTAAGATAAACAAACCCACAAATCAAGATAATGGGTGGAGTCTTCCACTCCAGGACAGGCAGAACTAGAGGAGTAAACTGAATCTCTCTGTCTCTCTGAGAACTGTATTTCTGTGTTTTAAGTGTTTAATTGTTATCAGCGTGGCTTAGCCTAGGGTTCTTGTGCATCTGAGTCAGGAGGGTATGGATTCAAGCACCATTTTGAAGCCACGCTTCAAAAGTTGACATTCCAATGCAATGCTGACGTGTGCTTCATTGTTGGAGGTGCCATCTTTCAAGTGAGATGTTAAACTGAGGCCTGTCTGCCGGCTCAGGTAGACAACCTACAACAACAACAACTTGCACTTACATAGCATCCCTCATGCAGGGTAGAGTTCCAGACCAGAGAGACATTAAAGATCTCATGGCATTATTCAAAAAGAAAAAAAGAGTTCCATTGGCGTCCTGCAGATAAAATTGGTCACTTGCTTTGTGACTGTTTGTGGGACATGCTTTGCACAATTTGGTTGCCGTATTTGTCTACAAAATATATGGTCACTGCACTTTACAGTAGATACCGTGAAGCGCTTTGAGATGTTATACTTATGTGGAAGAAGATATATCGAATTCAAGAAGAATAACATTATCATTATCCATGGTTGATGGTGTGTTTTTTTGTTCCAAAAAAAATCTTGAGTGCTTTTACATTACGATTTCATACCTGAAGTCACGCACATGAAGCAGACGAGTAAAGTCATACAATGTTCAGGCTTTGATTATGACGTAGCTCCTCAGTCTTTCAGTATTGACCGCCGTTTAGAATATTAATTCTGTGTATTTATAAGCCTGGCACTCTGTGTTTACACGTCGTGTTGTCTGTGTCCCCCTGTAACCAGAAACTCAACTTTTGCCTGACTCTGTATTTTAGGTTCGCTTTTCACGCCCGGAGAGTGAACAGGCTCGACAGCGTCGCATACAGTCCTATGAATTCCTGCAGAAAAAACAGGCAGAAGAGCCTTGGATTCACCTACATTATCATAGCGTTAAGGTAAGATAACACTAAATGATATCACCTAAAATAGGTGATCACTACACTTCACAGAAACTTTATGGAAAGCTTTGATATTTTGTGGGCACTGTATCCCATGGAAAGATTACTATTTTGTTACAGATTGCTTAAGAGCCACAGTAACTTTCAATTTGAAATCTCAGCCGGCATTTTCGCCAGATTTATTTTGCCAAGGAAATGACATTTCTCACCCTTCAATGATCTTCTCTTCCAAATAAGATTGTGTATTTAAGGAATCTTTCCAGTCAGTCGCCTATGTGCAATTCTCCTGTTTTGTGAGTTAAATTCTTCAAGCCTAAGGTCTTGGTAGCTAATTAAGGAACAATTCTTAGCAGAAACCCAAATCTGTTCTAGACTTCAATAATGTTCTCAAACCTCTCAGCCCTGGTCAAAGTAAAAGGCACATTTTCTGGCGTGTGATACTCAGAAACACCTGACACTAAATGGAAAGAATATTGGTGACGACCTCCAATACTGGTGAAAGAGTAAAATGTGTAATCCTGCACCCGAGTAGTTCAGAGCTGTGCAGTGTCCACAAGGGGACAGTGTTTGCCTGTGAAAGTGAAGGCCAGTGCTGACGGTTGTTCTATGCACACAGGACAGTCGCTCTGAACACGAGCGCCAGTATCTCCTCAGTCAGGCAACTGGAATGGTGGAGACGTCAGAACTGATCAAATCTCCAAGGTACGTCCCAAATAGGATTACTCTGCAATGGAAATGATACCAAAATTCCGTTTTAAAATAATAGTCATTCTTAAAATTTAAGATTGTGCTGAACTTTGGCCAATATATAAAATCAATCCTAACGATTATACTGAATATTATAATATATAGTTTGGGACAAGACGCGCCGAGAGACTGACCTAACAAATTCTTATGTTCTTATAATGTTTTTTCTGAGCTGTTTAAATTTTCCAGCAATTAAGAATTTTGAGTGTTCTCAAATTGTTTTTATATTGGTAGAAAATGGAGCTGATAAGAGAGAATACCCCTGATATTCAGAGGGAAATTTGTTTTGAATTAAATTGCAAATATCATTGAAACGTATTAGTTTTCACCTATTCAAGTTCTGTTTTTTTTATATACAGCGAGTATTTGTCTATGTTGATGCCTCCGGTTGAAGAAGAAAAATTGTAAGTAATATAACACAGTTCACATATAAAATCTTTTGCTTACAAAATCAATAGTTTGAGCGTTGAACCCAGTGGGAATATGATAGTAATCCTTGCATTTCATATAGCGCCTTATTATGTCTTCGAGACATCTCAAAGTGCTTCACAGAATATACTGTACTGTATATTTTGTGGGCAAAACATGGCAACCAATTGCGCACAGTAGTGTCCCAAAAACAATCATGGCTTGAAGTGACCAATTTATTATTTTTTTAGGGAATTATTACCCCCAATGAACACATTCTGTTCAAGCCATATATCTTTCAGAATTTTTTGCTAACTTTCTTTCCTTCTTCTTGGGGTGTGGTCCCACTGGTGCCTTCCAATAATCTTAAAATGAGAGCTAGGCCATTTAGCAGTGAAATCAGAATGCACTTTTTCACACGTCCGGCGTGGAGGGCGCTATATAAATCCAAGTTGTTGTTGTTGGAAATTTGGAACTCTTTCCCCCAAAAGGCTGTGGATGCTGGATCCATTCAACTTTTCAAGACTCAGGGGGATAAATTTTGTTAGGTAAGGATATCAAGGGATATGCTGCAAAGGGATATGGAATTGAGGTACAAATCCGCCCTGATCTAATAAAATGCTGGAACAGGCTCAAAGGGCTGAATGGTCTACTTCTGTTCCTATATTATTTGTCTAATTGGTCATTCGTCCCCTTGAGTCTTGATAGTGAGTGTTGGCAGGGGATCGTGGTAATGGTATTGCCTGATGTTCACATCTTAGCTCGGCCTGGGGTTAGAGATGACGATCTGGAACGGGAACTGATTTCCCTCTCTCTAACCCAGCACTGCTGGTGTCATTCTGGCTGACATCAGCAAATACCAGAGATCACACCTAGGACAGTCCCTTTCTGGATGCTGAGAAGCTCATTGCGTCATGGGGGAGGACTTGTTTATGAAGTTCTAGTAATGTCTTCACCTGAGCCTTGAGTTTTAACATGCATTGTTTTTGTTGCAGGGTTAAAGTTCTGGCTCCCAACAACGTGCTCTCTATGGCACAGCTACGGACTTTGCCTCTTGGAGATCAAGTAAAGACCCTGATGAAGAATGGTAAGCATCGCCCATTTCTTGGATTTTGCGTGTTTTGGTACATTGTTCTACATACTTGTGCACAGCCTAGTATTGGCCTATTTATTGTCTAATCTTCCTCTTGACAGCAATAAAGCGCTTCATAGGTGCATCCTGTCACGTATAGTCACTGTATTTGTGGGCAAATGATCTACTTATTCAGGCGGAGCCTTGGTGCCTTAACATTGTAAGGTGTGACTTTCCAACAGAATTTCCAACACAGAAAGATGCCAGATAGGGGAGGAGGGGTACTTCCTCACAGGTAGAGAGGGAAAGTTGCCTCATTGTTCCTCGGGCCAGTTATGTCTGAAATAGATATTAGAGGAGGGAAGTAAAACGTGGATCAATTTTATATATAAGATGGATTCTTTATTCTGTTTACTCTAGTAGCTCCTTGTTACCAGTCTTACTTGCGTCTGGGTGAAAAAGCAGTTTTGTTGCAGTAAATCTTTTAGTTGTAACCAAGTGAGATCTTCTCTTAGTTTATACCTGGACACGTCAAAACATAATAATATCACAATAATCATTGTATATGATATAGAACCTTTCACATCTGGAGAATGTCCGAAAGCACTTTGCAGGATATACTGTAAAATGGAGTGACTGTGTTTTGTGGGTGAATGTGGCAGCCAAAACCCGTTTGGATTTTAACAGACTTGCTTGTCCCTCAGTTAAAATCATCCAGTTTGCAAACCTGATGGGTCTCCTGGGATCTGGAGTCGATTCAACCGCTGTCCTACGCTGCATACAGCAAGTGGCCATGTTAGTTCAGGGTTGCTGGGTCATCAAAAGGTATGTACTGATGGTTTACACAACAGCAGATTGAATTTTAACAAAAGCTTGTACTGGCGGAGTAGATTATTACTCCTGCTCGAGTAGAATATTTCCTGTCGGTTTTGCATGTACTTAAGTTATCTTTCTCCTTATTCCCCTCCCCACCCCCCCCACCACCACCCACATATTCACTTAATTATGTCACTCCATCAGAGATTGGTAATCCAGCCCTGGGCATTTAATTCATTCTTTCTGTAAATGTTGCTGAGGTTATAATTTGTTTGAAGTATTTCCTACAGACCTTTCATGTGTTTTCTCTCGCGTGTTCACTCTCTCATTCGCTAGCTGTCACTCTCACACGCTTGCTGTTGCTTTGTCCACTCCAGCATGAATACTGAAATTGGGGCAACAGTGTTTTCTGAAAAGCTTGTTTCAGTGGTGAAATCTTAATGGCTTTCAGTGTAAAAACACCTAAAATATTTGTGGTCAAATTTTTACACAAATCAAATGTAAGAAACCTACGATTGAAAACTATTAACCAAGAAGAGAGGATTGCGCCTAGGGCAGGATACCCACCGAAAGCTTCCTCTCTTTCAGGCACACTTTTTTGGGGGGGTAAATCTGACTGTTTCTGTCTTCAACAGCGATGTCTTGTACCCGAAAGATACCTGCAGCTCTTACAGTGGAGTTCCAGCTGAAGTACTTTGCAGGGGCAGAGATTTTGCTGTAAGTAAATTAATACCCAAATTATTGATGGTATTAAAGTTAACTCTCTTTTAGACGTTTGATGTTCTAGGAGCATATTGCACAACTTTCCTTCACCTCAGCCTTTAACTGTCTTCTCACAAACACGGTGTCTCTAGTTGGGCTGCGGTTTGACTAGCTGCTGGCCACCCTACAGACTTTACCTGTGGCCATTCTTCATGTTGGAGTCAAGGCAGTCTATTTATTTGAGGAGGGGACATCACAGCCAAGCTTAATCCTCTCTTCACCTGATATATACCCTGCTCATTTTCTAGTAGAGGCAACTGGATAGTGATCAGGTAGAGAAACTAAATAGCTAATCCTTGCATTTGATAAATCGCCTTTCACGCTAGGAAAGGGTGTCTCAAAGCGCTTCATGAGATTCACCGTGATGTGTAGTGATTGTATTTTTATAGGCAAACTGTGCCTGAATTTTATTTTGTGTCTCTTCCCCCCCTGATGAATTTTTCCCTCTTAATGATCCTTTTTCCCCCCTCCCCCAAACTCAGGGAAACTGAGCTGCTCAGCACAGACTATGTCGATTCTGTACGGAAATCTGTAGAGTTTCAGACAAGATGATGGCTTTATTAGTTTAATCATCAGAGGAGTCTACATGCATAGCTTTCCTAATGGTAATGTTGGGTTGATTTTCACTGGCTATGGAGACTGACGGTAGCTAGAGTGGGTGATGCGTCCAGATGCTTTGACGCATAAGATTTTTTTCCACATAGATTATTGTAAAATAAACAAATGTAGGGCCAAGAGGTGTATGTTTCCTTACTCCACACGCCTAATAATAATCCCTCCAAAACAAAAAACAATAATAAATTGGTCATTTTCAATCTATGACTGTTTGTGGGACATTGCTGTGCGCAATTGGCTGCCGCGTTCGCCCACAAATATACAGTCAATTCACTTTACAGTGTGTTCTGTGAAGCGCTTTGGGACGTCCTCCCGACGTGAAAAGCGCTATATCAAATGCAAGGATTATTATTATTATGTTTAGGATTTAATTTTAGTTTTGGGCTGACACCAGCAAAACCCATCAGACCCACCTGCCAGAGCTTGTTCCTGCATATTTTTTAATTTTGTGGTCAAGAATCATGTAACTTGTCTGAGTGAAATTTCCCATTAGTGCTGAATTAAAGGTAGTTTCTGCGCTGTAGGAACTGGGTTGAGAGCACTCCAACTATTTTATCATCTGGGACGCTTTCAACCAACAAATGGGATTTCATCCCATCAGTGTGGGCTAGTACAGAGGGGTGAGGCCCCTATCTAATCCAGTGCACCATCCCACTCCCCCACGATTGTTATATAGATTGGGTGTTGTAAACATGTCCCCATAACCAGATTACCTTTTGTGGAGTCCTGGAGCTTAATGGTTAGAACACTCGCTTTGCTAGCGAGAGGACCCGGGTTTGATTCCCAGCAGGGCAAACCGTTGGGGAAGTTTCCTTATTCCACACGCCTCTGTTTACCTAGGAGTAAGTAGGAAGGTTGTTAGTCGATTGGTGGATCGCTTTTCCGGGGGTAATAAAAGAAAAAGAAAGAAAATTGCCGCCATTCACCCACAATATACAGTCTATTCACTTTATAGTATATTCTGTGAAGTGTTTTGAGATGTTTCGAAGACATGATGATGCGCTATATCCCATGTGGGTATTAATATTATCCTTCCCAGGGTAAAATAGGAAGTGCCATAGATGTGGAAGATAAGAGAAGGGCAGGCAGTGTATTTTGGCAGCCTCTAATTCACACAGAAACACGAGGGGAAGCTGCAGTAATTTACTCGAGCAGCCAGTTGTGAAATGTCAGGTGATGCGGGGATTTTGTTTGTTCCCAGTTGCACAGCAGATCTGATAGGTTAGGTTTTCAGTAGAGGCTTATATGAAAGCAAAGGTGAAACCTGCATCCAACAAGCTTTCCCTGTGATGTTCAAACACCAAAGACTCTTTGATTCCACTCGAGGCGTTTCCTGCAGCTGGCCGTGTGGAATATTGCTCACATCAGAAACAAATCAGCTGGAAATTAAATAGACTTTAAGGTGCTGATCTGTGTAAAGGGAGAAAGGTTATCTTGGTAGGTATCCTGGAAGTGTGAGATCATTGGGTGTTCTTCATCTGAACCAATCTGATGATAAGCTTTTCAGAAGAAAGTGAATAAATGATATATCTTCATGTATAGGTGAGATTTAATATTTTTTAAAATGTAAACAAAAAGTAACTTAATCCCCTCCCAAAAAACGTTATTCATGTCACACACGGAGCATACTGTACACAAAGCAAATAACACGTACGGTTCATACATTGACACATCTTTAATCCACACTGCTGGTCATATAATTCAAGTGATTGGTGAAGAGAAGAAAAATACAGCTGAGGACAGGTCTGCTGGTTTGTTGTAGACTCCCTTAGTTGCTTGAGTTGAGATCCTGTCTCTCATATTGACTCCACTTTGTCTCCACAAATGGCTCATCCTCCAGCCCTCGTGCAGTGTTCCTCGGGGCTCTGCCCTCGGTCCTCTCCTCTTTGACCCTCTTGGTGACATTATTCGCAGACATGGGGTCGTCTTCCATATGTACGGGGATGACACCCGTATCTATCTATCTGCCTCCACCCTTGATCCCAGGACCACTGATGTCCTGACAGACTGCCTGTCAGACATCGTCCTGGATGAGAGCCAACTTTCTACAGTTGAACTTAATGGTTTGAGGCTGAAAGCTGGATAAAATGTCCAGCACTCCACAAATTCCCCTGCACCACCACACAGCTTCCTCACAGTGATCCATTTGCTTTGCAGTGCTGTAAAAGTGGAATATATCGTACCTTGCGTCGTGCTAACCCCTCTCCCTCTCTCTCCTACAAGATGTGGAAGTTTACACAGGGTCGCCTAGTGGTGCGGAAGGAGGTATCTGCCATTATCAAGGTATGTAGCAGCCGTCACATCCCAGTTTCTCTGTTTTTAACAGGCTTCCTGTGAATGCATAAACTGAATGCAGTTTGAAAGAATGGACTTCTGACAATGGTTTGAATGAGATTTTGTTGGCAAAGCATCAAGTTCACCTCCAGAATACAGCTGCTATTTAACCTCTAGGATTTAGAATTATATTTTTTAATAATTATTTTTGAGTGCTTTGCTTAATTGTTTCAATAGCAGCAGTAAACTAGAGGCTAAATTTACAAATGAATTGTACAGTACATAGGGTTGATCGAGTAGTAGAATGAAGATGTAAGTTTTATTATTCATTGATTTAGAGCCTGAAGGGCCTTTATTGGGACTTGATTTTTTGGGGGGGGTCTTGCAAGTGTGATAAAATTGTGCATAGACCATGTGCTAGTGACTCTAAACATTGAATGGACGAGACCTTAAAAGATTAAAATGGGTTAGGAAAAAAGAGATGAGGGCAGATTTCTTGCACTCAAAAATAACTGGTACAATTTGGAACACACTGCACCAGAAATCTATTGATGACGAATTAGAGGTAAAGAATTCAAGAAAACCATGGCTAGATATTTGTGTGGCAAAAATATTAAAGGATATAGTAGAAATTCAAGTGGGATTTGTGAATGTGCATGGTGTTATGTGATTGTCTGTGGTGGAACGGGCTTGATGGGCCAAATGGCCCATCTGTTCCTAAATTCCTATGTATATGTAACCTGGCGTCCGTCACTCCCGATTCCACCAGCTTCCCCCTGAAGATGTGAAGGACTTCCTGGAGCAGATGGCCGTGCCTCGCATCAACAAGGGCTGGGAATTCCTGCTGCCATACGATGCTGAGTTTGTCAAGAAGCATCCAGATGTTGTCCAGAGGCAACACATGCTTTGGATGGGGATTCAGGCCAAGTAATTACAGTCCAATTCTTATGGGGAGGACCGGGACAGCTTGAAATACACCCGCAGTGATTGTCCTGCCATAACAAAACGATCAGTGGGTGTGCAATTAATATGGAACATTTGTAATCAAGTATTTATTCTAATAGGACTGAGGTAACAGCACTTGTAATAACTTTCAATTGAATATGTGGGATTCACAAATAGGTAGGTAAGTGGGTGTGTGTCTTGCCAGCCAGTGGGAAATCACTCTTTAATGTATTATCCTTCAGTAAGGGGGAAGAGGGGAGCAACAGGATTTTGGGTGAATTTCCACAGGTCAGTGTGATGCATATCTGGTTATCTGCAGCAGATCTTGTCAGTTGAACGTGTGAATGCTGTGTATTCATCCCCATTGTGAGTTACTGTTTGTTTCAGGCAGGCTTTCTTATAATCACTCTCTGAAGGGTCACCCTAAAACCTGTGACCTGCTCTGACCTGACAGTTCCAAGTGCTTAAAATTGTTTCCCCCTCCATACAAATCCGTGCCAATCTTATTTTCTTCTAATCAGCTTTTTCACACTGACCTAAGGAGTTTATTTTTTTTAGCCACGCAATTGAATTCTTTTAAATAATAAGAGTTTTTGTGCGTGGACTGCTGGCACAACCCCCAGCTCTAGGCTTGCCTAACAAGGAATATTACTGTAGTCCAAGGTGATCCGATATCAATGTGCAGTTAAACCGATTGACAGCTCAAACGTGGGTAATTTTAATTGGTGCCATGAGTACACAATTTAACATACGAATGCTTGCAAACCCTTAGATTAAACAGCTTTTCAGTCAGCTTTGCACTTTGATTTCTCACAGAATGTGGTGTGTGTGTGTGTGGCACTGAAATGAGTGCATTGTATGTATTGCATGTGAAATGTCCCCACAGACAGCTGCTGTGTAATACACTCAAGAGCCGTCTCACACATTCAGAGCTATCTTGTTTGTGAGCTATATCAGGTTTTTGCTAGAGACAGACCCACTCGAGTGTTTCCTCAGCAGGATGCTGGGTTGAGGAGATTGGGCCTTTGGATTGATTGAAAGAAGAAGATTGTTGGAATAAAACTAAAAAAAAAAGCCCGGATTCAAGGTTTAAAAAGAGTAAGAGAAAAGATTGCTGGAAATCCATTGTTACAAGCTTTCTCATTCAATTCAACCCGTTGTGGGCTTCCACCATTAGTTTTTTTTAAACTCTTACTTTAAACCTGTATTGGTTTTCAATCATTATTAAGAAACTCTTGTGTTTAACACCCTGATATGAATATATTTAAAATTAGTATTAAAATTGTAATATTATTATGTATTAAAATTTCATAAGATGAGCTCATTAGCACCCTTTTGTTAGGGATCCGCAGGGCATTTTATCAGCCAGGAATAAATAACTCTTGGTTGCAATTCATATTCAGATGAGCTGCTCATTTTTCCCTAATTAGAGCATCAACAAATGCTAATTAAATATTCATAGTGATTCATCATAATATTCATAGAAATATTCATTTCATAGGGGGAGGAGATCCTCGAGATCTTACAAGGACGAGAGGTTATATTTATATGAAGAGACTTGAGAAGATGGGATGTCTTAGCTGGAGCGGAGAGGTTAAGGGGAGAATCTTTAAAAAAAAGTTCACATTGCTGAAAACTTCTATCAGAAAAATAAATATTTTACCTTATTTTGATAGTTACCCAGAAAAAAATGTTTAAATATAAGTGCTTTAAGATGTCTCGAAGAATATTGTCCTATATATAACCAGGAAAATTAAAGGGAGGGATAAAAGACAACTGTGTCAAAATAAGTGTTTTTCCTGAGTAATTATTAAAATAGGCATTTTTTTTCTGGTTATTTGCTGAGTCAGTAGAGATAATAAATTGAGAGTTAGCACCAGAAATAATAGGGATGGTTCGCAGAGGAAAGTGGTGAAAATGTGCACGTCTTATCACAAATTGCTGTTGAAGCCAAGTCTTATCGCTGAGTCGATCAGAGCAGTTAAAAGAGAATTGAGGTAAATCAATATCAATGGTTGTGGGAAAAGATCACAACAATACGATCAGAGCAGACAGCTCTAGGGGGATGCATCACAGACTCCAATGGCTTTCTCTGCTTGTGTAAGCATTTTGTGTAACAAACATTTCTGTTGCAGGTTAGAGAAAGTCTACAATCTCTCAAAGGAAGATATGATGCCAAAGAAATCAGTACGTCAACCAGGTGAATAAAGTGAAATGGAATTAACCTGATTTGTAAAATATTACTCACTGCTGTGGACTTAATCAAGTGCAGTTGAATGAAGAATTAAACTTGGCATTTTATAGCAAAAATAGAAAGTGCCTGCTTCAATCGTTCTGATTGTAGTGGTTGAGTGCAACTGAATATGCTTAACACTTGAAATGCAATGCCTGCTGCGAAATATTGTAATCAAGCAAAAAGAGCCTGGACTCCAATTTAATCAGCAATTTGGATGACTGAATCTAGGTTTTGAGCAGCTCCAGTGAATACATAGTGATACCTTTCCGAGGTCTAATAGTAAACACTTAGCTTGTTGCATTTCAAATGTCTTAGATGAGTATTTGGCCGGTTTGTAGATAACATGATGACAACAGTGTATAAATTCAGGAGCTGCCCAAAGGTTGATACTGCAGTGTTGCTCTGTGTGCAGCAGAGCAGAGGCACAGTGAGAAGGAGTTCCTATTACATACCCAACAGATGGTCGATATAATTTCACGCTTAATTTACACATAGAGAAAGACGCTATTCCTGGTGATTTATAAAAAAAACTCAAAAGAACAGAATTACTACAATGACAAAAATACTTGGAGTCAGAAGTGACTCCACCGTATGAGACTTTATTCCTTCAATAAAAATGAAGCACTCTGCACTGGCCCAAAACAAATACATAACTTTTTCAACTTTTACACCCAATTTTGTGCAAACAAATTGCTTGTTATTTGCGATAGAAATGAAAGGTCCACTGGCTTAATTTAATTCTGAACTGCTAAAATCAATGATGATTTCTATTTGCTTGGAATAGATTTGCCAGTGGTGATCCCTGGGGAGCAAAGAGTGAATGCGGCCAAAGCTAAAGTAAGGGAAAACCATGCTGTCCTGGAGACTGAATACCAGCAGCGGAAACTGCAGCATAAGGCGAGCAAGCAGTCTGCACAGGATTCCAGGGTGGACATTCTGAACGTCAGAATCAAAGAGGAGCCTTTAAGCGACGAGGAACCGATGGAGACGTCTGCGTATGGTGCAGGGGTGCCAAACAATGAGCTAGCCAACGGCCTTCATTCCCAGAGCTCACTTGACTCGTTGAACGGGCATATGGCCACCCAGTGGCCGGGGGCACGGAGCGAGGTGGTGGCTACAGAACTGAAAGAATTTGTGAAAACAACATTTAGGAAACATTTTGTGCTCAGTTTAAGCGAGCTGAAGCGGCTCTTTAACTTGCACTTGGCCAGTCTACCCCCAGGACACATCTTGTTCAGTGGCATTTCGGACAGAATGATACAGGAAACAGTTTTGGACTCTGGTTGCAAGCAGATCTTGGTGCCTGTAAGTATGTGTTTTCATTCTGTGTAATCACTCACTGTTCGCGTTGCTGTCGTGATAACAGGAGAGTCGCATTGTGCAGAGGACCTACTAAAGGGAATCTTTTCACCACAACCAATACTAATGCCGCCTTTCACAACGGATGAAGGATTTGAAGCACTTGCACAAAGACAGTGGGGATCACTCACTGATCAAGACATGACCAAAAGTATGCTTAAGAGGGTTTTAACGGCGGTGAGATTGGGCAAGTCACTAGGCGAAAGGATTTGGGGGAGCGTTCCAGAGACAGAGGGTCATAGTGGCTGAAGGCTCGATCACCTATGTTGGTTGAGTGGAGGCAGGAATGAATGGAGAACATGAAACAGTAAATCCTGTAAAGCACTTTGTCATTTGAATGAAGGGAAATAAGGCACTATATCAAATGCAAAGATTATTTTTATGAATGAAAATCAGTTGCTGTTTAATTCACAGCCTATATATATACACACACACGTGTGTGTGTGTGTTGGTGGTAAATATGTTCCTTAGTAGGGCCTCTCTCGCCGCCAACTTAAGAATGTGACTACTGCTAGCTAAGATGGTTTCCTGGTGGAGCAGTAATATATCCACAGAGGGTTATTGTTATTGTAAATGGCAAAGGCTTCATCTTGGCTAACAGCTCCAGGCAGCTTTGGATTATCTGATTCTCAGGTCTGGAAAAACTGATGATGTGTATGTTTACCATGACTGTATTAGTGAGAGCTCTCGCTTTCCACATTGTTATTTGAACCTGTGCGCTCTGTTCATGATTGCCATGGTGCCATTGATTTTTTGTCAAGCTCTTTCTGCACAGATCAGATTGTCATCAATATTGCCCAAACCTGCGCACATAAGGAAGGAACTTGTATGTTAAAGTGCCATGGATGCCAGTCAGTGGAATGGCTAGGCATTGAAGACTGGTTGCATCATTGAGACAAACCCAACCTTATTAGAAGTCAACCTTATTTAAAAAAATCTTCAACAGCCTCCTCTCTCCCCCACCACTACCACCACCCCCCAAATAAGAATGTATATACACACATACACAACATAACAATTAATTTCACCTACAAAATACCCAGTCAATCCACTTTACAATATATTCTCTGAAGCGCTTTGAGGCATCTCAACGATGTGATAAGGTGCTATATCAAATGCAAGGATTATTATCATCATTGTAGTTATTATTATCATCAATCAAGCATGTGAACATACAATTGCACTTTGAGGGTTAATTGTGGCCTCAGAACACAGCATGAAGATTAAGAGTTGACAGGTGTTAATTTCATGCTTTGCTGTCGCGCATTTCCGTCCTTTTCCCACACGGGCATCAAGTGTTGGGCTGACAAATGCATCTCCATGTTTCCCATCACCAGCACCAGCCGCTTTGTGCTAAAGCTAATCAATCCGGGAGCTTCCTAATGTAAGCCAATTGTTACAACAAATGTATTAATGAAATGCGGATAGAGAACTACATAAAAGAATCGTAGGCTAGTGTGCTGCTCTCCTCTGTTTATAATGAGCTTATCTGGAGGATGCCTGTGGCCTAGTTACTGTGGAGAACTATATCTTTGTGTAACTAAATCCTCGGAGCGCACTGAACACTGTCCGTTTGCAGTGGATTATTCTTTAAACCGGCTGTGTGTCTGACTGACAGTGGGAACTGATAATAGGTGCTAATATCGGAAAGCCTCATCAAAGCGTCTATTCTTTTTGTTGGAGTAATCTATTTGACAAGGGTGGGGAGGCGCTATAGTCAAGCCCAATCTCTGCTGCTGTCCACAGCCGTTCTCCTGAGGGGTATAACTCGGGAGTGTGATTGCTGGCTGATTGTCCCCCAGGGTCACTGAGGCCAGGCTCCTGTCCCGGCCACTGGCCCAACTGAAATCCTCCACCTCAGCTAAGAATTGACCATGTAAAACCTTTGCTGTGCATGTCTTAGTACATACAGTAGGTGGCACCTTTACTCACTTAGCAATAGTCTCCTATTGTATCTATTTTATAGAGGCAGGTCCATTAGCAAACATTTTACAAACAATACCAATTAGTTGGATTGCCTGAATGGACTGTCTGAATCAGTAAGATACCCATCTGGGCTCTTGATATGTGACATCCCAGAAACACGGCTGCTTGCCCTCCTGCCCCAGTCCCATTATCCCACACACTGAGTTTCAGCAGCTCTGGTTCTTCCTTTTGCTCATCACTTTCTCCGTTCTATCACAGGTCCCTTGAGCCTTCAGCCACACTCTGGCACTCTCCCAAAATCAGGGGACTTGTCTGGATCTCGGTATTTGAAGTTACCTGTGTCAGCCTAAGGGATGTGTATTTTTCAGTTGCTGTGAGACTTCCTTAGCTATTGCCAGCCATTGTTTTTTGTAATTCTTCGTCCATAAAAAGCAAATATAAAGTTCATGGAAAGTCACATCGCAAAGAGGAACCATTCAGATCATCAAGCCAGCATGAACCATCTAATTTAATGCCATTTCCTGTTCATTCACCATACTCAATATTCAGGCATCCTACAATCCTCACATGTACTTGGATATTGTGTGGATTACTCTTGTGAATTTCGTTCAAACATCTCTTTTTAGACCAAGGGTGCTGTGAAAGAGATTTGCACGTGTAGATGTGCAGTGTGAAACCGAGCATAACAGACTACAGTGAGGGTTCAGAGTGGTTATATTGGACATGGCAAGAGGAAGAGCAGAATGGGATTTCTTTCCAAAAATAGCAAAAGCTATTCCAGAAGGTGAACATTTTATCTGCAGGGAATACCCACAACAATAAAGATGGATGCAAATCACCAACAAACCAGATGGGGAGAGTTTAAAATGTGGAAAATGGCTGACGATAGACCCAGTGAATCATAGTAACTGTCCACAGGAGCTGACTTTAGTAACTTACACTTCTGTAGTGCCTTTCATGCAAAATAAACTTATTGAAGCACTTTACCGGATGAGATGAATTAAAAAGTGAAATGAATGTTGTGCAGGCAAGCATGGTGGCTAATTTTCATCAGCAACATATTGCAGACAACAGTGAGATGGGTACGCTGTTAATTTGAATTTAGGGTGAATTTGCTCGGAAGACAAGGATGGTTCCTAATGTTCTCCAGAATCACAAGACACAGGTCCTAAATTAATACCTCAATCACAAAAAGGGATGATGGTCTGGAAACAAATGAATAAACAGTGAAGTTATTAAACACATGACTCAGTACTCACAGTATCTAAGCTATTTGGTGCCTTATTACTTTATCCCCTGTATGCTGACTACCCTTTAAGTATCAGAAGGTTGCACCGAGGCAGCTAAATTATTGATGCTAATGGATGCGTTCAATGGTATTCTGCCCAGTAACTCTTAAGGATTTTATCGGAAAAATAGTGCCTCATGCGTAAAATTTCCGCGTTGATGTTTCTCAGGAGTAAATATGGATTTACTGATGTTTGTTTTATGTATCATTGCTAATTAGAGCAGAGAAATGGAACCTGGGCACATCATAGTATTATACTGTTCTCTGGTTTGGATTGTGAAATAATTGTTGCTGTCTGCTTATACAAACATATTGTGCAAATTCACACATACAGCATTGTCGTACATTTGACTGTTAGCTGGAAGGATTTTTAAACTCTTTCATTTCAGTAAATATTGTCTTAATGAAGAGGATCACTTTCTGGGGATAATAATCCCTCCAAAAATAAATTTTTTGAAGTAATAATTTGCTCATTCAATCCACAACTATTTGTGGAACACTGTTGTGTGCAATTGGCTGCCGTGGTTCACCCACAAAATATACAGTCAATTCATTTTACTGTATATTCTGTGAATTGCTTTGAGGCGTCTCAACGACATGATAAGCCCCTATATTGAATGCAAGGATTATTTTCTGATACACAGCTGTAGTTGATATACAATCTATATTTGGACAAGCTTTCCTCTCACACTGTAGTATTTGTACAGATAGGATTTAGAGAAATTTGGGGGTTAGTTGGTTTTACAAGTATATTATTTGCAATCCCAAATTGGCCTTACAAGTATACAATTATTGCCATTTGACGCCAGTTCCATTTTTCAGTTTACCTGAGGTTTTAGTAAAATCTTGTAAATAAGTGGGGTTGAATGTAAGCTGTTATGTTTAGATTTTCGGCTGTTTTTCACATTTTGTTTGCTCAACTCCAGTGATGATGCAGCAATTTTGAGTCACGTGTCTTATGGGGAAGGGGCTTAGGGAAGTGTTAAACATTCCCTGAAGATTATCCTGAAAAAGTTGGTTTGGCAATTCTTTGGTGCACTCTTTTTATTTCTTTCACAAAGCTACAAGCTGTAAATGTCAGCCTGGCTCAGTTGGTAGCACTCGAATCTCTTGAGTCAGAAGGTTGTGGGTTCAAGCCCCACATTGAGTCTCGGCTGACACTCCAGTGCACTGACAATCCCACATTGGTAATTAATTTTATGGCTTTTTGCGGTCATTGCCATGTGCAACACTACCTCTTTTCTCTATAAAATAGACACTCACTACACTTTGCAGGAAATCCTCACACTTTTTGATACGCTTAACTGACATGAAAGACGGTATTTAAGATTATTATTATTATTATCCAAGACTCATTCTAGGGTTAATCATTCCTGTATGGGGAAGGCTGGGTGTGCCTGAAAGCTGATGAAACACAACATTCGTACAGTGATAAATTCTATCTGACAGGCAACAAGGGCGATAGATGCGTCTGAAAAAAGGATTGGTTCGGAGCCTGGTTCCAAATTTCTTTGGGTCCAATAATTTAACTACATCACAATTTACCTTTATTTGCAAATATTCAAAAAACAAGTTCCAGTTTGTTCAGCCCCTGGGAGAGGCAAGTAACCATCTATACTTGTTCAGACAAGTTCAATTTTATTTTAAATTTTCTCTCTCCCTTATGACAAGCTTTATACTGTACATCGTGATGATTTGACTGATTGACTGAGGCATATGGGGAAGCTGGAAATGAGCATTTGTGAGCATAAAAGCAAGCAGCCCAAACACACCACAGAGACCGGCAGATGTTGCCCCTCTGTAACAGGCGAGGGAAATAAATGCAATTGTTTGACACATACATCTATCTCACCATCTCCAAATGCAGCAAGCCTGCATGGTAATTTGTGAAAGTTTGCTGGTGCAAACAGCTGTCAGTATGCCTCCAAAAAAATCACTACATGTGACTGTGATTTCTGTAAATCAAGTTTGAACCATTTCAGCATTCTATGTGCTACAAAGATGTGCATTCTTTTCGAAGTACCTTCTCGAAAGCTTTTAGCCCCACAATCCTGTCAGAGCAGGCAGACAGACTCCAGACTGGTGTCAAGGTCTCCTGCAACTCATGCTCTGGTTGTAAAAATCAGCCTTGCCACATTGCAAGCGTTTTTTTAAAAACTATTGTTGCATTAGTTTGTGCCTAAGGCAAGAGCTAAGATTATGGTATAATTACTATGTACGAATGTGTTTTTGACGTGTTGCAGTTACAATGCAAGTTGGGTTGAATTTCGTTAAGATAAGTGGTTGTTTTCTCGCCCTTCTCCTCAGGGAGTTGTCCATTTCCACATTATTTCTACAAATTAGAATAAGCTACCTCCCTTAAAAAAATTCACCTCAGGCATCCACCCATTTCAATCGGATTAATGACTTGAAGTACAGGATGCTCAGCACAGAATATAGGCTGTTGTTTTGCATGTGATAGCCAGAATTGGAGAAATGCAGGTTTCATTTTCCCACCGAGGTTCTGATCTTGACAACATTAACTGTGGAGGGGAAATGATTGCTGTCTGCCTCACGAGAGAGGTGAACCCATACCTAAGTCAGTCAATCTAAGTTTGCTCCTTAAAATTTTTAAGCAATGCAGAATCTTTCAAAATAAGGCTTCTGTTCTCCTGCTCTTCAGATACATTGGTTTGCAATGCTTAGACATGAATTTTAAAATGACTTTCTTTACTGTGTAAGCAAGACCTATGTGTGCAAACATTACATTTGTGTACTATTGGGGTTGGTGGGAGATCTGTGGCTGTTTACAAGGCTATGTTTATCAAAGCAATTTAAAGGGACATCATTGCTATGATTTCCCCCTTGACTCTAGAACTCTGGGATGGGATCCGTTGTGTAGAATTCTGTGCTATTCCCTGCTGTTTTTAAAACAAGCAAAAAAACAGCCAAACAGCAGAAAGCAGGTGGCACTTGCTTTTTGCAATTAGATATGGTGGTCAGGTTGAAACCTGTGAAAACACCTCAAAGAGACTTGGAAAGGTGTTCAAAACATCTGTCGCCTTAGTGCTGGAAAGCTGTCCTGACTGCAGACTTGAGTCCTCATTTCAGCCATCAACTTCTGGCAGAGTGAAGAATTTATTTTGATAACCAAGAGAGATCTCTGCAGATAGCAGACGTCAAGCCAAGAACACAGGACCCTGAACAGGGAGAAGCTTGGACCAGAGGCCAGAACTTCTGCATCTCATTGAGAGCTGTTAGATTCTCCTATCTCCGGGTGCACACTATACACATGTTCACGGGAGATTCTTCATTCATATTTAGAATTTGTTGAGATAGTTGTACGTCCTTGGGTGGGGTACACATAGGGAAGTCAGAACTCAATGCATTGGCAAGCAGAATGTTTGATTGAAATGTTCAATTATGTTATAAAACCTGATGGGCCAATATTTGGTTGTGACCCACTCTGCGCATTCTAAAAACTCAACAAAATACCAGACCGTCAAGGCTCTTGTGAAATTAAGTTAAGAATTAATTCTTTGGATTTGTGTGGTTCTTCTGTAATCTTTTAATTGGTGTTTCAGCGTCATAGGGTTAATTGCTGCCTCTACTTAAAACATTCTAAAGATGTAAGAATTGCAAATAGCATTAGGCATGGCCCGTGGTATTGCACATGTGTGTAATGGGCAGATTCATGGCTTGACATGAAAGATTATTTAAGTGATAGAAATGTACAGCTGGTGTAACAGCTCACTGACGCACAGAGTCACAGCTCTGGAGAGAAGCTTCCATTATCAAAATGGTCAAATTTGAAGGAAATAATTTCTCTGCCTCTGTGAATTAGAAATTCGGATCATTTACTTGCCATTGTGTTACAGAACAACGTTAAGATCTCTCATTGCAATCAGCACTGTGTTTAAAAAGATCTTTCCTGTGGTCTCATTGGAACATGAGGCAGTTTAGTTTGTCATACCTTTTGCCATTTAGACTATGTGGAGGTTGGACAAAAATAGAGAGTGAAGCAGTCTGGCAATTGGGCACTATGATTGTGATGGAGTGGCTCCAGCAGTTCACCGAAGCAGCCGCTTCTAAGGATTCTTCCCAGCCTTCTAAATGTAAAATTATGAGTGGTTAGATGTGGGAATATGACTAGTATTTATTTCAGAAGCTCTGGTTCCATGATATACTAAACCACTATGTGAAGCTGCGCCTGAATCCTGACGTTTTAATTGTAGTCTTTTCTGCCTTTCTGCCACGTGGAGGGTATATTATGGTTTCAGAAACTGTACTCATGACAGTTAAAAGCAGTGCTGACGTTACGCTGATTGAGGTCTCCGAGAAGCTAATGTGGTGTTACCACCACATAATGTCATGGTTGGTGAACATTTGCTAGACTGGAAGAAATGTACAATTGCTCCTTGATACCTCAGTAGCAGGTCTTTCTGAACTCCCAACAGCTGCTATGGGTGAAGTCATGAGATGTCTGCTTTTGTAGCATATGCCTTCTCTGCTAATTTCCTCAGCCTCAGCTTTTTAGGCAATCTATCAATCAATTTCTTGCAATAGTCCCACTGGGACACTGCTGTGCGCAGTTGGCTGCCGCGTTTCTCCTACAAATATACGGTCAGTTCACTTTACGGGCTATTCTGTGAAGCGCTTTGAGACATCTAGAAGACGTGAAAAGCGCTCTATCAAATCCAAGGATTATTATTATTATAGTCAATCTTTCACATCCACCTCAATAAGCAGACTGGATATCGATTTAACATCTCATTTCAAAAGCTATTTTTTGTGCATATTGTAAAACAAAAGAAAATTTTAATTTACCTTCAACACAAAAAGGCAAAACGTTTTGTAGTTTGGCGTTTTATATATCTGGTCTACAGAGTGCAATAGTGTTCTTATACGTATTGTTTATAGTTCCCTACACAGACGACAGCTTCAGCTGATGAACAGAAGGTCTTTGCACTATGGGACTCTGGGGACTCCTATGATCAAGTAAGTCAGTACTTTTGAAGTACACCTTGTTCACCGTGTTTGAAATGAATCTTTTGTTTGTGTTCAGCTTTCAAGATAATAAGTTCAGAGAATTGGTGGAAGATGAATGAGTGCGATCTGAAATATGGTCATTTCAACTGCACTTCAAACTGGATTCTTTGAATAGGCCATCCTATAAGTGGAGATTCCTTTGGGGACCTGAAAGTGCGTGGTACCAGTTCTTGGAATTCTGTCCTGAAAGGAGAGGATCGGAGGGAATTCCCATGATTCAAATTTAAAGTACTGGTGAATTTATGAATTAAGGGTTCTTTGAAATTGCTACATAGCTGATTTTAATGGTAACAGTAGTTGGGGCGCACTCAGCCTTACCATCCCTGTACTAAGGAATAATCAGCCAAGATTTCCCTTCAGTGTTTCCTATTCATTGATCCTTGCTGGTAATAAGAGCTATATCAAATGGAAAGATTATATGTGCAGCTAGGGCTGGATCAGACTTAATGTGATGCTCCCCATAGGATCTCGCTTGAAGAGTTAGCATTTGAAAGAGGTACCAATAGATAATTGACACCAATGGAGCTGTAATATTTATATACCTGAAGTCGAATAATTAGAGTTTTCATGGATCAGTGATCATTTGCTCTATAATCATAGGAATGCTGTCCTAACACAGTTTCACAATACTTTGTTGGTTGGGTCCTTCTCCTCTTCCCTCCCCCTTTCTCTGTTTCTTCCTGCTTCCCTTGTTACCAGTCAGTTCAATGTGGTTCTGTTGCAATGCTGTCCCCTAGTATGTTGCTGTGCTTTACAATGGTACAGGTAATATGGTATAAGCTTGCGTTTATATTAGTGTTTCTACCAGCACAAGAGAACTCAATTTTTCATGTTTTTTTGTTCCAGCATCGGCAGATTCTCCTTGAAATATTTTCAAAAAACTATCGTGTGCGGAGGAACATCATCCAAGCCAAACTGAGCCAGGACTTTGGAGACCATCTGATCAAGCAGGACTTGGACAAAATCCTGAAGGTAATGCACACAGTCATGTGGGAATTTCAGTTCACTTTACATGAGGGAAATGCATTCTCCAATGCAGGCTTTCCTCCCCATTCATCACTGAGATTAGAAGAGAAAGGGTGATACTAAGTGGACTTTCACCGCTAGTGCACATTTTATTGAACAAGAGAGATAGTGACCAGTTTTACAATGAGCCTCCACAGTTTGTTTTAGCACCATAGAAATTTATAGCTCAGAAGAAGGCCATTCAGCCCATCGTACTGCCTCCTTTCAGTTCCATTTACCTGCTCTTTCCCATAGGTATTTACCTAATTTCCTCTTGAAAGCTAATATGGTTTCTGCCTCTACCACTCCCAGCACTCTATATCCTAACAACTCTGTGTGTGAAAATAAAATCTCCTAACTTCCCCTTTTGCTTGTTTACTGACTATCTCAAATTGATGCCCTCTAATCAACTGACTCACCAACCAGTGTAATTCATTTTAAAGATCTCTGTGAGGTCACCCCTCACACTTTTAAGTGACTGCAGTGAGCATACTTCTTTAACACTGCCTCTAGCATTATTGGTTGTTGCATTTGTACCAAGCTTCTCCCAGTGTCCAAGCCAATATGTCTATGAGTCATGTGGAGTCCTGCAGCTCTGGTAGAGCACTAGCCTCACAAACAAGAGACCTGGGTTCGATTCCCGGCAGGGCGAAACCTTGGGCAAGTTTCCTTACTCCACACGCCTGATAATAATCCCTTAATTCCCATCCACTGTGGTAGGCAGGGCCCTTGACCGTGTCTGCCCTATTTCCCGCACCTCTGCTATCATCCCTTCTCCCTCTTCCCAGAACCGTGATAGGGTTCCCCTAGTCCTCACCTTCCACCCCACCAGCCTCAACATCCAACAAATAATTTTCTGCCATTTGCAGCATCTCTAGCGTCATCCAACACTAAACATATCTTTCCCTCGCCTCCCCTCTCGGCATTCAGAAGTGACTGTTCCCTCCGTGACTCCCTGGTTCATTCCTCCATCACCACCAACAATTGCTCTCCTCCCCCTGGTATATTCCCATACCAGTGCAGGAGATGCAATACCTGCCCTTTCACCTCCTCCCATACCACTGTCCAGGGACCCAAACACAGTTTTTAGTGAGACAGTGGTTTACGCGTACTACCACCAATGTCATTTACTGCATTCGCTGCTCACGATGTGGTCTCCTCTACAATGGGGAAATGAAACGCAGATTGCAGCAGTGTTTATACAGTTAATAAGATTGCTGTGTTGGATGTACCATGAATGTACCACTGTACTGTGTACATTTCTGATCTCAGGTCTTCACTCTCTTTCAGGAATGCTGCGCAAGTCATGGTGGAATGTGGTATCTTAAAGGGACAGCACCTTCTTGACAGCTGTGGAGGCCCCTGTTGCTTCCAAGTTACCATCCTTTGGAACAGGGCGATGAGATCGCAGATAATGAACTCGGAGATCTGCTCCACAGACCGGGGGCAGGATGATGAAGGTTACCTAACCTTCCAGACCTTGACAGTTCAGGAAAAACCCAAATCCAATTGCGCCGCATCTGCATAGGATCAAAGTAAGGAAACCAGGAAACCGAAACCCCAATTCACATTTGCTGCAAAGCATTTATCTATTTTGGGATTGTTTGAACATTTATTGATTTTTTTTGTAAGTTGTGGGCATTTATTCTTCGGTTCCGACATTCAAAGCGAGTTCCAAATCTGAAAATGTTCAAACTGGAAAGTAGTACAAAGATAATCATGGATGGTATGTTATTTGAATTCCTACTTTGAAATCATCTTCAGACCCTTCATCCCCAAATCTATAGATTGTTTTATAACAAATAGCATCCAAATCAGTGGTGTGAGTTTTGGTTTCACTTGACATTAAAAGATCTTTGCAACACCTTCCACCTGAAAGCAAAGAGCATTGATTGCTTCCGCAATGCCCTGTGATCTGAGTCTTGTATAATGATTATTCTTGACTGTAAAGTAATATTTTTTTTATGACCAGTGACCAGGGTCTGATCTTTATTTGTGTCTGTGGTTATTTTGGTGCAAGACTGAAAACTTTGGCTTTTTTCCCCCAAAAGGGCACCCCCCACACAACGTAAAATAGACAGTTTGCAGGCAAAATGGATATGAAACCTGCTTGCTTCCTGCAAGCAAGATGGGATTAAATTATGTAAATAAAATGTTAAAACCCATTTGTATCGTTGCCTTTCGTTTTGTACTGAATGTTTTTTTTATACTGAGTGTCAGAAGGGACTGTGATACTTAATCAAAAGGTGTAGAAGTAGTTCACAGTATATCCTAGATTATTTGATGAAATTTAAGAATTCATGACATTTCAAGTAGTGTTATCAACGCTGATGTCATCCATTTATATAGCCTCGTATTTTGGTTTATGATTTAACCTGTGCTCATTCTGTGATTGAGAACAGCAGGTTCACATGTACAGAGTAATTCAGACCCCTTCCCTTCAGTTTTTCAGGTGAGTCCTTTGTTGTCTTGATTCTTGTATTCTCCAGTCTGTCTTCTCTTCCCCCAGTGGACTTGAGCTTGTTTAGCTGCTGGAAGTAAATGTATTGATGATTTGATCCTAACTGTATGTGATTTGAGTATCATCTGCCCTTTATTGATGTACTACCTCCCCACCATACCTTTTGTGCTGGACTTTTTTCCCCCACAGACTGCCTCCAGTGTATTAGGGTCGAAGTGTTTGTTGGCAGATCAGTTAACCCTCAGGTACCACTTCTGTTGTCTTAGTTTTAAGCTCCACATTTCTGAAATAGCTGCTTGTTAATGGGATCAGGACAGTTTTATGTCTGCTTTTGTTTATTAGAGATAAGTAGTTGCTCTTTGATCTCTTCTTTCTATTGATTTAATGTTTCAAGTGATTAGTTGGTTGTGTTATTGACTTGGGATGGAGTTTAACGCAGTCTGCCAACCCACGGCCCCCTTCCCGGGAGTGCGGGTGGGGCTACAGTTCAGTATAATTTCCCCTTTGTTCTATAAAAACAAAGATGACGAATGATGATCGGGGGAATATACAAAGCCAGCAGATTTTTCAAATCCTCCAGGGTAAGTATAGTGTAAATTTCTCTATCCTTCTGCTACCTTGTCCTCCCTCCTTATCTCTGGCACCTAAGCCATGATTGCCATCCCCTCTCTTCCCTTCTCTTCCCCCCCCCCCCCCCCGCTGTCTCCCATAGCCCGTGGACTGATGTTGCTCCGCTGATCGTTTGCTCCTGGTCTCTGCACGCGCGTTTTGGCTAGTGCCCCAACCCGAGCCGTTCCCTCTGAAAATGTTCCTGCCCCTACCCTCCACACTCTGCTACTCCCACTCTGTCCTTCCCTCCCACTGTCCTCCTCGTCTTCTCTCTCACATTGATATTGTTGGGCTTACAAAAACCTGGCTCTCCCCCAGTCACCCCGTCCCCCTCCTTGAAGCCTCCCTCCTGGCTACATTTTTCATCACACTCCCCACCCCAACCAACGTGGCGGTGGGGTAGCCCTCATCTCCCAAGCTTCCCTTGGTCTATATCCTCTATTCCTCTGGCTATGTCTCCTCCTTTGAGCATCTCACCCTCTACAATCCCTCCTCTCTCTCCCTCAAAATCCTCAAGTTTACCGCCCCCCCCCCCACAAACCTCCTGGCTCCTTCCTCACTGATATCTCTTCTCATTCCTGTCCCTCTGCACTGAACACCTGCTCATAATGGATGATTTCAACCTCCACCTAAATTCCCCTTGCACCCCTCCTTAGATTTCACTGCCCTCCTCTCCTCCCTAAACTGCACCCTCCACATCAACTCGCTGACCCACAACCGTGGCCACTCCCTCGACCTCGTCTTCATACATGGCCTTGACGTTTCGACCTTTTTTTTTCCAACCCTAGAAAAAGCTTCCCCGAGTCCCTCACAAATGCCCTCTCTTCCTCTCCTGCCCGGATTACTCCAACACATTCCTCGCCGTCTCCCCAGCCCCACTATTCAAAAAAATCCGGCTCATTCAGAAATCTGCTGCCAGAATACTCACCTGGACCAAACTCTGTACCCACATCTCACCAGGCTCCACTAGCTCCCCATCACCAAATGGATCGATTCACACTTTTGTTCAAATCCATTCACTCCCTACCTCCCCAACCCGCGCCTCCACTCGACTGGTACCGGCCTTCTCCTTGTCCCTCGTACCCTCTGCACCACCACTGGAGGCTGTGCAATTCAGCCACTGTGCCCCAAAACTCTGGAACACTCTCCTTAATCCCTCCGCCTTGCCCCCTCTCTCCCCTTTTTCAAGTCCCGCCTGAAAACCTTCCTTTTCTTAGAATTAGAACATTGCTCCACTTCTCACGGTGTTGGAAAATAGAGGTAAGTTCAGAGTCTGGATAGGTGGCTTGATCTAGCAATATAATGCAGCAGCAAGAATAGTGAACACAGGGCACAGTGAGTTTCTAAAAAGCACTAATCCTGCCCATCCCTCTGGTACTTCCTGCAATTGGATTTTTCCACTGGAGATTCAAAGAGCGAGAGTATCACATTTGTGATCTAATTGTGAGCTCAATGTTCCACTACTGAATGGAGTGAAGATGGTTTGTTTTACTGCCGTTAGAGGAGGGAGGAGTTGATGCTACCAGTATTGTCTAATGCAAGTAATCTAATTCAATGACATTTTTACTTCCCCACTTCACATTTAAGATGTTAAAACAAAATTCTAAAATGTGTAGTTGAGGGAATAGCCAGCCCCGTTATTTGCAGGTGTACAAGTGAAGTGCTAAATGTAACTGCCGCTGGTAACCTTGTACTAGTTACACAAACAAGTTGCAGTTGTACCATCAAATCTGAACAAAGTTTATTAAAGCTTTAAATACTGACATTCAAGGATCAGGTTCAAAATACTGCAATAGTCACAAGACAGACTGGTTCCAAGTATTTTACAGTCTTTATATAAAAAAGGCTTAAAGTACAGAATTGGAAGTGTAGATCAAAATTAAACTTAGACATTTTGAACATCAATTCAACAGTCAAGTGACTGTGTTCAAACTAATACGGGCTGAATCTTTACCTCTAACATTTAGCACCATGTGTGAGTCAAATGAGTTTCCACTTGGCACTTGATCTACCCTACCTTCACAGAAGCCTTTTCAATAAAGCAAGTGACACACGCACACAAAGACAATTTAGGAAGTGCAGAAAACTATTTGCAACCGTTTCAAGAAATTATTCAAAAGTGCAAAATGTTACAAAAAATCCAGTTGCAAACAGTTGAGTGTCTGCTGCTATAAGGTCAGAGGTGTTCAATGTGATTGAACAGTTTATCTGGTCTCTTATCCTTACTCTGGTCATTTTGTTTTTAACTAATTATCTACATCCACTGCATTAAGTTGCTGTGAATTTTCTTTTTTTTAAAAAAAACGGAGGTCTGTTCCCCCCACCCAGGATTCTGAGGGCAGTGATTCACACCGACACTCGTCTCAAAAGCACTGATGACCTCTAGTACTCACTGCTTATGCCACTAAGCACTAATGACACCATCAGCAATCATAACAGGAGCCCACCCCATCAGCCCTAAACCAGGGACATTCTTGTAAACTACCCTTTCCCCGCTAGTTGCTCCCATCAAAGATTGGCTTGTTCATAAAAAAAACACAGGGATTAAACCTGGGATCTCCTTTGTCTGGAGCATGTGGTATATCCACCCACAAGTCAGAATTGCACTTTTATAACCAGCCATTTGCTGTGCCTCAAATTGCACAGAATTTAGAACAATTTAGAAAGCAATGAATACATTGCACAAACAAAAACTCAACATGAATCAACTACTGCAATCTGTCCCCAAAGTCCTGGTTCACTGAATTTAACAGTAGCACAGTTTGCCTAACATTAACATCCATAACTTAACTGACAGCCCATTATTGCAAAACACACCCTGCGTCAAGATGAATCTCAGCCCCTGCAACTTGGTAGCTGTGAAGCATGCAACCAGCCTGTGGAGCATTTAGGAACATCTTTCCCTGGAATGTGCAAGATATTGATTGGGAGCTTTCACTATATTTTTCCTGCTGCTTTAACATTGTGCAAATGGAAACATGATAGAATAAACTACCCAAGTTGCACTGAGTAAATAAACTGTTGGAATGTATGCAGTTTCTCCATGAAATTCGCATTTACCATTTATAAATGATTTTAGGTAGTACAAAAGCATTAGCAGTTCTGAGCAACTGCCACTTTGTCACATGGACAGATTTTACAAGTCACTGTACAAACTACCATTAAGGCAGAAGTATCCAAAACAAACACATTCATCCAATCTGACTTCCCTCTGATTAGATAGAAAGACATTCGGGCATCTATGCTAGACTATTATAAACAGCTTTATACATAGTAGTCACATTAACTTGAGATTCTGGAAACCCCAGTCCATTATCTTTCTCTTTGCAGTAATGGGTTTTGAGTTTTTGCAATGCAAGTTTTTCTTCAAATAAGTTATGAGGTTTTCTGTGGTTTTAGTTCACACCAGCCCGAAAATTCGACAATACTGGTGCTTTTCGGTTCCTGTTTTGCAACCAACAGGTTACATCTTCTGAGATTGTGCAGTAGATTTATATTTCATCCGGTGTTGATCGATCTCGTCTTTTGTTTTCTTAATGCAACTGAAAATTTCTTTGAATAGAACTTTGTATTCAGGCTGGGCGATGCCCAGTGGGCCAGTGGTTTTGACCACTGCCCCCTGTGTGGTGGTGGCAGCCAGCTCAGCGATGCCAGCCCCAGGCTCTCCACTGCTGGGCGTTCGCTCGTATTGGGCGGCGTTTTCAGACTGATGTGGAGACGGGTGCTTGGTCTGAACAGCCTTGTTGGTCAAAGACCCCTCGGGGATCTGGCACTTCTTCAGTAGCTCCTCGTACTTGAGTTGTAGGGCATTGTACTGTTCGTCCACTTCATTTAACAGGGAAATGCCTCGCTTCCTTACGGCTTCCGCCCGCCGAATACAGGTCTGTTCATGGCCTTGGATCAGGTCTTCATCGGAAACTATTTTCAGCATTGTCTCGCTAGAGCTTCGCTTCAGCACTGTGCCATCAGCCTCCAGCTTAGAACTCGGCCCGTTCAGGTGAGCCTTGGTTGCAGGAACGTGTATGATATCAGACGATTCCTTCCCAGCAAACAAAAAGGATTCAGGAAGCAAGTTATCCACCAGGCTGACAAAGACATTATCTAACTGGCTTTTCTGGCGGAGTTCGACTACCTCGGTCTCCAGTTCTTGAATGCATTGTTTGTAGTTGTCCAAGTGGGAGACGTCCTTTTCCAGCTCAGAGTTCTCTCTCAGAACCAAGGAATACTCTTGTTCGATTGTTGCTCTCCGTTGCCTCTCCACGGTCAGCTGAGTTTGCAAAGTGTTCAGAGTCTTCTTTAGCTGCTCATTTTCCTCCTCCATTGGACTAACGGACACCTCAGTAGATGTGATCTTTTCAGCAAAGACATGATCATAAACAAAATACCTGTAAATACAAGGCAGCCACAGTTAATACTTGAACAAACAATAACACTGCACACTTATTCCAAGGCTTCTCACAATGGTGGGGGGAGAAGAGGATGATACTGGAGTGAAGATTTTTGCAGCTGGGTTTCCCCATCACCATTTGGATCACTGGGTAAGAAAAGGCTCAGATTAATTTTTTTCTTCAGGTTTCCCTTCTTTGCACCTCCTCGTGTAGTAAAACAGGGACTCCTGTCCTATTGAAACTGTACTTTTGGGCAGCCTTGTGGAATCTCAAGCCTCACCTGACCCAAGAATTTGGCAATTCAAAAGTTTAGAAAATTCATTACAAAAAAATATAATCCTTGTATTTCGATACAAGCGCCTTATCACATCATTGATACATCTTAAAGCAACACTAACAAAATTACATTTGCATAGCGCCTTTCACATCAGGAGGACTTCCCACAGCGATTCACAGAATATACTGAAAAGTGAATCGACTACATTTTGTGTGTGAAACATGGCAGCCAATTGTGCACAGCAGTGGCCCAAAGTGACTGACCAAATTTTTTTTTCGAATGGATTATTATCCCCCTACCAATCAACTAACAACCAGGTTCCTATTCACTGCTAGGTAAATAGAGGCATGTGGAGTAAGGAAACTTGGCTAAGGTTTCACCCCACCTGGGAATCAAACCCAGGCCTCGTTTTCGAGGCAAGTGCTCTAACCAATACGCTACAGGACATCGCATATATAAATATATCAACTGCACGAGTCCATGCTTTTATTCCAGTCCCGCAGCTCAGTATCATACAGGAGTGAAAGAGACATTTCTGCTGCAGTAAGGTTACCTGTCTGTGCTTATTAAGCCAGAACACTGAACATAGCAGCCAAAGGGGGAACAAGCCCTGGGGACTTAATTAAAATACTGTACATTAAACATTTTTCATTTTGTTCAGTCAATTTGCAAAAATTCATTTAAGGAAAAAAAAAGTTATTTCTTTCCAATTTGCTAAAGTAATATGACAGTCAGCAGCAGGCACCTACTTTCGAAGGTCGTACAATTCCTTCAGGCAGGGGAGGCTGTTCAGGGCTCGCTGCTGTGCATCTCTCTCGAGTGGATCCAACTCTGGTTTTTTCAGCCCTTCCATCTGCTTCTGAATATCCTCCACATGAGACTGCAGACTTTCAATGGTTTCCGTCAGACTATTGAGAGCAGATGAGACAAATCCAGTCAATATGCCGACCTGGCAATGCTCATAATGAATCATCTCTGATCAAGTCCACCTTCAGAGAATCCACTGCAACCCAAACACGAGTTTAGTCTCTATATTAACCCATGCGTTTATTAGCTCACTCGCCCCATCTTACATCATTCTTCCACACCACCAACTAGTCTGGGAGTCAAGCGGGTAGAATTATCTGTATGAAACAAGATTCCCACTCCATTCTCTGTAAAATTATGCAAGAGATTAAACTGCATGAAGGTACTCTAAGTTGTTCTTAGAGGAATTTCCACCACATTTAACAGCCACAGGTTTCGAGAAGGGTTCCTGAATACATGATTATTAAAGACAGCCGTAGGGATGAATAGTTCTATTCACTGAACACGGCTGGTCCAAGGTCTGCGCTAGAAGCTAAATATCAGTTTACTTTGCATAAGTTACAGACGTGAGCTGTGGTCATTACCCAAGTATCTTCTGGTGTGACACCTTGCTCTCTACAACCAGCTTCTGATTGCTGACCTCCAGGTCCCGGGCAGTGCTGTCCAGCTGTTCATAGACCTTGGCATGCTGCTCATTCATTTCCCGAAGGAGCTCCACTTGTTTGGTCAGGTACTGAAAGACAGAACCGAGTCAGTCGTTACACCCGAGTCATCCTCAGAACTCAGCACAGACCAGGACCATCCTCATCTGTGTGGTTCAGGCAAACACCAGGCAGCAATTCCATCAACTAAGCTTTTGCGGTGATCAGAACAGGTTGGTTTTATTGCAATTTTTTAAAATTCTTACATTTAAAAATACACTTTAATTCACCCACAAACTATACAGTCAATTCACTTAACAGGATATTCTGTGAAGCGCATTGAGACGTCTCAACAACATGATAAGACGCTATATCAAATGCAAAGTTTATTATTATCATTATTTGCAGTTGGTTTTAATCATTCGGAACAAAGGGAAACCACATTTTGGTGTCAAGTGAGAGCACAAGGCCAGAGTCAGGCATCAATGAACAGGTGATTTCACAATCCACACTGCACATCGTCCAACAGACAACCAAGGCTTTTAAACTTTAACAAACCTCCGTGACCTAGTTCTGTCTGGGTGTGTTGTGCACACAAAGATCCAGTGAGAGCAAGAGCCTTACACCTCTAGCAGGAATGAGGTTACAAAAAGGCATTTGCTCCAATGAGACAACAATTCGCGCCAGTTCCCTTGAGATGCTTTCAAATCATTACTGACATGCTTCATCGATTCATGCGCTAGGTTTAGGCTGTGGCTGACACCATTCACCCCCAGCCTTTACAGTTAAATTCCCCAGGTGTTCCCTGCATTTGCTTCCACAGATCTCATGCATAGGCCAATGTCATTACCTACCTATATACACAATTGCATCTCTCTCTCACACACACACCCCATCTGCACTGAAATGGACAACCCACTGTCCAAGAGGAGCAGAAGATCAGGCGACTGCTACCTTTCATTTTTCTGTGCTTTTCGCTGGTTACTTAGGGAGCTGTCCATTGGTTATGGGACACAGCGTCGTGCATTGCCTTCACCAACAACTTACGTGCTCTTTTTGAAGCATCTATTAAATTCCATTTTAAAGAGCTTCGAGCTCTGCCTCAGTTTGCAGCAGAGAATTCCACATTCCATCCACCCTCCGCTTAAAGAATTTTTCTAACCTCTCCTTTAATTATTTATGTGACCTTAAAACCTTGCCCAGACACATTACAATCTATCCACTCATAACCCTTCAGCAGCAAAATACCCATTACTGTTTCAAGTCAGATCTTAATTTCTTTACTGTGAGATGTTTGTTTGTTGGAATAAACTGGCAAATTGTGTTGGCTCTAAACAGCTGCAGCTTATTCGTTTTCTTATCAGTGTTCTGCTGGTGTATTTCTGTGTAAATACTCTGAACCAAAAAAACAAACCTCACAGCCCCCATGAGACATTTGATATAACAGAGACTTGCCAAGATGTTTCAAAGCACTTCGCGCAACGAGTTACTTTGAAATGTGGTGACTGCAACGTTTGTGGGACATTGTTGGTGAAGATTAGTTGCTGATTTGACAAGACAATAAGCAGTAGAATAAAACTGCACATTCTCGAGGGTCTCCAGTTTTTAATGGGACCCATGCAAGTGATTTAAATAGCTGGGATTGACTACACTCATCTCCTTTGAATTACTCCAGGAGCAAGACAATCATTTCTTAGTTCCGGGTTAAAGATTCACACAGGACAAAGGCAGGAAACTCATTGTCCACGAAGCAAAAGGAACTCTGAGACTGATCAGAGTTGCTCTTTAGTAAAGTCATTGACCCATTGTGAACCTTCTCATTGCGTTGGTGTTTAGTATCTGTGATGGGTTCCACGTTGCTGTTCATTTAGATAAAGATATCAATTGCTGTTATATTGTAGGGGATAAAAATAACACCAACAGGGATTGGCCATGACCCAGATATAGGAACATAGGAAATAATAGACGAATAAAGACCAAGGTCTATCTAGTCCACCATCTACCATCCTGGTAGTTGCATGCTACAACAGTGGAGATGTTGATAGCAATTCATTCTGTATGAATTCGTCTCCCATACAGTGGAAAGCTTTGGAAAACTTAGATCCAAAATTGCTGAGTTCTTCCAAGCATACTACACTTTCTATATGTCATGCCTCAGATTACTTATATACTGTATATGTAAATTTGCAACACTCCACATTTGCACTGCCCACAATCTATAGTTTTAATGTAGATTAAAAGACAATTGCTTCTAGTGTCCAGTTGGTAAAGCAGAAGGCAAACATACCAGGTGTACTGATAATAATCCTTGCATTTGAATATAGTGCTTTATCACGTCTTCAAGATGTCTCAAAGCGCTTCACAGAATATACTGTAAAGTGAATAGACTGTACATTTTGTGGGCGAAATGTGGCAGCCAATTGCACATAGCAGTGTCCCACAAACAGTAGTGGATTGAGTGACCAATTTATTATTAGTTATTTTTGAAGGAATTATTACCCCCGAGAAAGCGATCCGCCAATCGATTAACAACCGGGTTCCTACTTACTGCTCGGTAAACACAGGTGTGTGGAGTAAGGAAACTTGCCCCATGTTTCGGCCTGCCAGGAATCAAACCCAGATCTCTCACTTGCGAGGCAAGTGCTCAAACCACCGAGCTACAGGACTCCACTACCTCATGCTACAATTGGCCTCAGCACCTTTGGGCTAACCCTGAACTAAGTCTCTTGTGATACTCACTTAGTTGAATTACCTGCCGGCGATCACAGACTAAGTGTCCAATAATCTCAGCCTCAGGGAGCAAAATTTAAATGTATTTTTCAGGAGTTAGTAACTTCTTTTTTAAAAAAACATTCTATTTAGCAACTGAGCCGCGGAATCAATAAACTGTATTGATTGGGAAACACTGTTTGGAATGTGTCTATTATCTGTCTGTGACTAACACCCCAAAGGCTGGACTTTCTGTGGTGCAATCTTCTTGTAAACAAGATTCTGTATGAAATTCCACCAAACACACTATCTGCCAAATATAGAGCTGTAAAGATTACTTCAACCCCCAGTTTCCCACTCTCCCCAACACATTGTTACTGTTACCAAAGATAACGCATAGATATGACTGAATGCCTTTGAGACGAGCTGATCCTTCTGCAAAGCAGCTGTTGGGCGATTATATCATTGGGTTGATTCACTACCAGTGAACTTGCCAAGTGGTGCTCAGATCAAACTGAGTTGACCTTATCTTCAGAGTTTCGTTAAATTATCCTTGGCAGCAAGAATAAAACGTTTAGAAGATTCTGACAATAAATAGCCAGGTCCCTTGAGCTGCCACCATTAAGCAGAATGTGATCCTGACTCGACAACAACAATAACAACATGCAATTATATAGTGCCCCTCGTGCAGGGTAGAGTCCAAGAGGGCTCGATTCCTGCAGCCAGTTCAGAGAGCAGCAGCTTTCAGTATACAGTCCGTAGATGTTGGTCTGGGGAGTGAGCGAGGAGATCTGACCAGGTTGTGTAGATGTACTGGACAATGAAAACCACAGCGTTCAGATTCACTGAGGCCAATCTGAATTTGTAAAATCCTTGCATTTGATATAAAACATGGCGATGGGTTTCCGCATGTGTCAGACACCCCCCTCCCCCCCAAAAAAAATATAGGGCCTTTCATGTTGGGAGAAAGTCTCAAAACATTCCACCAAGCTTACTAAAGTCTAGCAACTGTATTTTGTCCATTGAAAAAAAAAGCCACATACAAAGTACACTTCATATTCAACAACAACAAAATTACATGTGTACAGCGCCTTTCACGTCGGGAGGACGTCCCAAAGCGCTGGACAGTCACTGTTTCGGACCGAGCAGGAGGGGGGTCGGGATCGGGGAGGGTGGAAGCCTGATTAAAGGCAAATTCGAAGAGGAGGGTCTTGAGATGGGTCTTGAAGGAGGCAAGGGAGGGGCCGAGGCGGAAGGCCTGCGGGATGGAGTTCCAGTGGGTAGAGGCAGAGTGGCTGAACTCTAGTCCGCCAATGGTGGGGCGAGCGAGGCAGGGGGACGTGAAGCAGGCCGGAGCCCGCTGAGCGGAGGGAGGGGTAGGTTGGTAGGGGGCTAGGAGGTCAGAGAGATAGGGGGGAGCAAGGCCATGAGGGGGCTTTGAAGGTGAGGACCAGGATCTTGAAATGTATCCACTGTGTGATGGGAAGCCAGTGGAGTCGGGCGAGGATGGGGATGATAAGGTCGCAGAGCCTGGTGTGGGAGAGGACCCGGGCTGCAGAGTGCTGGATCATCTGTAGCCTATGGGGGGAGGAGTTGGGGAGGCCGACAAGCAGGGATTTGCGTAGTCGAGCCTGGATGTTATGAATGCGTGTATGAGGGTCTCGGCGGCCTGAGGTGTGAGACAGTGTCGGAGCCGGGCGATGATGCAGAGGTGGAGGAAGGCAGAGCGGGTCATGGCACGGATGTTGGATAGAAAGGACAGTTGAGGGTCAAACAGGACACCAAGATTTCAGACTACTGGATTAGTAAGGTGGAGTGTGCATCCAAGTTTCCTCCTCACATCAGAAACATCTGCAGAGAGCACGGAATTTGGAGTAGAGGTACAGATCAGCCACGATCAAATAGAATGGTGGAACAGGCTCGAGGGGCTGAATGGCCTACCCCTGTTCCTATAATTATCCCTCCTTATCTACACTGAGAGCAAGAAACGCAACAATACATCTGTAAAACGGCACAGTCAGGTGCACACATCCTCGACTAGTCTAGCCTCAGACTCCACTATCTGTTCCAGGTAACCTCACAGTTTAGATCCTTCCCAAAGGGAAATAAGAAGCCATAAAGGATGTGAACAGGGTTAGAAACCGTGAGCCATCCTCAGCAGGTTCCCGATGTTGGTGCTAGTAGTTTCCCCCTCTCATCACAGCAGCTCATTACTTTTGCTTTGATCTCTCCACCTTACTGGCCCTCACCATGTTATAGGGTTATTTTTGGAGGTGTAGGGGAGGGGTAAGTGGGACAGGACTCTCACAACCCCCTCATTATCTCCATTAACTCTTTTCAACATTAGTGCTCTGCACTAGGAACCCTTCAACTGCACTTCCCAGTAACACAACACACCTCATCGATTGCCAACACATTTTATCAGACAATCCTGAACCCAATGCTCATTCTTCCACACCAAACTGGATGTCTAGATTACAGGATACTGAAATGCTGTCGACTGAAACCAATTACTTTGTCCTTAACACTTGAGGGAATGAATAACTACGAGAATTTCTAACCATCCCGGCTTTGACGAATATACATTTGCAATGTCTGTCGGCCTCCTCCACACACTATCAGCTCAGCGGAAACCACTAAGAAGCAATTCAGTGAACACTGGAGGAGAGCGATTACTGAGAGGCTCAGCTTTCTGTGACAATTAGTAGACAAGAGCTTTCACACACACACACCCCCCCCCCGCCACACAAAAAAAAGGAAGACCATTTAGACGGGAAAAAATACTGGTCTATGCAGGAAATGTAATATAAAACAAGTTCCAAAACTAAGCTAAATGAATTTAAAAGGGGCTTAAAGATCTCAGAGTGCAGAAATGCTCCGTACAAAATTAAATAAATCTTTAGGACTAAATTAACATAATGAAGCTTCGACTCCAAAAGAGATAAAATATTCAGCTGCACAATCTGAGCACTGTCACAGTTAAGGGCTGAAGCCAGAATAGGTACATTGTACTCACTCACGCTGTGTAAAATAGGCACCTACCACCCCAACCCCCCACCCCCCAAACGGAGCGTGGAGCAGGAAAAGAACAAAGAGACGCTGTACTAATGCAACATTGAAATCAGGATTGTAGCTGTCAGCGGGCTCCGTAACTTCATTCAGATGCTTTACAGCAAAGATCAAATGTTCACGACCACACCAGTGAACACTGCAAACCCCACTGGGACAAAGCAACCAGCCCCCACCCCACCCCCCCCTATCCTCATAGGTGAAAAGTGCAACCAAAAATGTGGATTCAACGCCCACATTCCCCTCCACCCCATGTCTTAGAATACGTATCCGTCATTAGATGGAGATGAGAAACATTGGCACATCATAGTCACAGCACAGGCAGGGGGGGGCACAAGAAACAACAGATACTGCCCCTTTCCCCATGCCTCTTCTCCCCACCCCCACCCCAATCACCCATAGCTCTGAAAAATACAAAGCAAATTACATTGCCAATGCTTTCCCTCAGGAAATGACAAAAACCTCTGCCCATGACTTTCCTCATTCAATGCCAGGCCTTGGGAATTAACTAAAAATGATTGGCCCAGTGTTTTTTTTAAAAAAAGCCCAAAGCCGTTACAAACCCGAGAGGAAGGAAGGAATCCACCACCGGATAGTGCTTTGTCAATACTTTGCAAAGGCTCAGACCAACAGAGAATCCAAGCTGATTATATAGAGACAAAACATGACCGTACAGAGACATTTGGACCACAAAGACTCTGCATTTGCAATCCATTTGCTGTAGGATTGAAGCAAATCACACTATGCACACATTAGATTTTTTTTAATGAATTATGCAAATACAGAAGAGGAGCAAGTGTTATTACTATAGGGCAACATTAAGACACAACTCCAGATTCTTAAGTGAGGAATGACATGCAATGAGAACCAAAACTAAAATCTGGGAAGGAAAATAAAACTACAGCACTGTAGAAATACGACTCTACAAAAAACACTCGCATTTAACACGCTGTTTCACGCACACTCTTTCTAGAGATCAGCTGGCAGTACATTTTGTCACACACTAGCTGCACTCTCTCATTACTCACCCAATTTCTTACAAGATCATAACTTGACTTTCTTTTTTAAAAACCTTTGCATTTTTTATTGTCCCATCACTTGAATGGGTAATTCATTGCACATCCTGTCACCCTGCGTATCCCATTGCCTTAAAGTTGAAGATACGATCCTTTCGTTGGATTTTACACAACAAAACGAGATGTACTTCACCCAAATCTTCTAAACTACTCAAAAAAATATCTAGAAAGACTTGCACTGGTTACTGTGAGCTGAAATATAGAACTAATTAACTAACAATACATCTAAACAGAAACTCATTTGGTAATAACATAATGAGCTCAGTGGCTGGCTAAGAAGCTTATCCTTCATAGTTATTTTTCTAGGGCTATCTGCTTAAGGGGAAAAAATGAAAAGCTGTGTTAACAGTATCAATGGTTTGATCTATTGTAACTAGAGCCTAATTTCTAAGCCAAATGAACTGGAAGCTACACTTTATTAAGTATTGCACATCTGAAGCTGCTAGAACTGCTTCACCACTTACAAACCCAAGATGTGAACAACTTGTTAAGAGGCCTAATCTGTTTTCTCACGCTATTACATTGCATTATTGTAGTTAACACAACATCAGATGCTATTGAAAGCTGACGTCTTCTACGATTAAGCCGTCTGCCCCAGATCTACTGTCAGGGTTAGAGCTGTACACAAATGCCTTGGACACGACATTTGGCATGTTCGATTCTTTATATTGGAAAGCAACCACAATAATATAATAATCCTTGCATTTGATACAGCGCCTTATCACATCATTGAGACGTCTCAAAGCGTTTCACGGAATACATTGTAAAGTGAATGAACTGTATATTTTGTGGGCGAAATGGTCCATCTAGAATTCGGTAACCTCGCGAGTGCATTAAATACAGAAAATGTTCAGGAGTTAATAAATAAATCTATTTATTAATATATAAATCCAATTCTTTCACTGCTTTCGCATTGGCCAATGCATCATTTCAGGTTTCTACTTGAAATGAACTGGGCCACACTCAACTGTCTTGAAGGCCCTTGATCTTTGATTATACACATCAGCAGAAATAAACTATTTTCGGGATCATATAAAATACTTAAAATGCACCAATTTGAGCAAGTTTGCGGGGGGAGGGGGAGAAATCACACTATCCAACCCCCACCATCAGTATAATACAGCCACAGAGACCAGTTAATACCCTGATTTATGTTGGGTAAACTGATCTCACAGCAGGCACCAGACTGGGGAGGTCAAATCATAGGAAGCCAGAAAGCTCCAGCCTGGAGCTATTTTAGCTCTTTAGTTCCACCTTAGTGGAAGTGATTGTGTGAATGAAAAGCATCATCAATGTCACCACTGGAAACCATTGAAAGCAATCAGAGATTGAGAGTTTAGCCCAGACAAGAGGACATGGGGGGGGGGGGGGGGGGGGGGAGAATTTGCAATTAAGAGTTGAGTTTACCCAATACAATTCTCACTCCCTCACAAGTACTCCCTCAAACACCGATGCTCAATTAACCCTTCAAAGCTCACCACACTGCAAGAGTGAAAGGACAAAAGTCAGCCCCTACGTCAATTTCTTGGATTTGCTCCTGATTGGTTGCGTACATCTGTTGAAGGGCTTCCTCCAGCTCAGTGTTGCGATTGAGCAAAGTCTTCCCCAACTCGGCTGCCAGGTGCAGGTCTGCATATTAAACACAAGTAAAATTAGCTTTCATATCGCTCGATTACTTACAAAGCACATACCGAAAGCAATTCACACATTTGAACTTTATTCGTTTCTGATTACAACTGATTTACTGTGATCGGGTTTCCTTGTTATGCTGCAGGTAAATAAGACTTTGCCTTTGGCTCACAGGTGGGAGTAATGTTGATTGAGGGAGGGGAGGGGGCAGGTGGGAACATGCTCTAATAGGAATCGAAGTGTGCTGTTGGGTCTTGCAGAGCAGGGTGGCAACTTAGCAGTTATCAAGCATCTCACAAGCTCAGCCATTCTGGTTTTGTTTGTAGCTGTTAAGACATGGGTGTGGACTTGCAATGCTGCAAGAGAGAGAGTAACAAAGAGGCTTACTGCAGCCAGTCAGCCACACAGCGAGACGAGAGACAAGGAGTAGTGCCGATAAAACAACCACGCGATTCCACCGCGAGCGACACCTCTATATGTTGCATTTGGAGGGGGAAAGAAAGCTCCCTGTACACAAGCTCTGTTCGAAGAGCTGTTTTACAGATTTTTTTTTTAAAAAAATGTAAAATATAGCAATACTAAAAATAGGCAGACACATTAGCAACACAATGGATAGAAAAGTTACAGCACAGAAACAAGACATTCAGCCCCATCGAATCTGCCTGGTGTCATCAACCCCCTCCCCCACCAGTGACCTACTCATCCCACTTTCTCGTTCACGCCCTATACTCAATATCCAGCAAAGTTCCGATTCCCTTTTAAACTAATTGATGCACTCTGACATTTAACAGCCAACTTGTCTCACCGACCCGCAGATTCATTTCCATGGTGTTACATTCCTGTTCAGTAACAATTAGGAAGCTGGTTTGTAAACTGTTGAGCTACGGAAGACAAACAAGCTGGATTCTTGAGACATAAGGAAGCTTTATTATTGAGTTACTCGTGAAATTCAAAAAAATCAACAGGATTGTGCTTTTATGTGCAGTGGAGCTTTTTCGTACAAGTCAGATAGCAAACAGGATGCAGCCCAAGACTACTGTTTTAAGGAAATGCACGTCTAAGTTCCCTGCTTACTAACAGTGCAGAAAACCAGCCAAATTAAGAGTCGGGTACAATAGGCAAATAGCAGACCCCATGGCATAATGTTTACTATAAGCAATCTCACGTCAGCCAAGTAATGGCTCAACGTAAAAATAAATATTAGGTGGAAATTCTACTGACCCTTACAAGGATGGGTATAGTATAATAATCCTTGCTTTTGATATAGCGCTTTTCACATCTTCTAGACATCTCAAAGCGCTTCACAGAATATACCGTAAAGTGAATTGACGGTATATTTGTGGGTGAACCACAGCAGCCAATTGCACACAGCAGCGTCCCACAAACAGTCGTGGATTGAAATGACCAATTTCTTTTGTTTTAAGGATTATTATCCCCGGAAAAGCGATCCACCAATCGACTGACAACCGGGTTCCTACTTACCGCTAGGTAAACAGAGTAAAGAAACTTGCCAAACATTTCACCCTGCCTGGAATAGATCCCAGGTCGCGAGGCGAGTACTCTCACCAGTGAGCTACAGGATGATTACCATCTGCGTACAGGTTACCCAGCCCAGTAGCCACAAGCACTGTCCTTCAGATGAGACATAACCCAAAGACCCATCTGCCTGTTCAGGTGGGTATTAAAGATCCCATGTCACCACTCAAGTAGAGTATCCTCGCCAAAAATCCCCCAGATAAAATTAGTCACTCACTTCATAACTGCTTGTGGGACTTAGCATTATGCAAATTGGCTTCTGCATTGACCTACAAAGTACACAGTCGCTCTACTTTACAGTCAATCCTTCGAATCGCTTTGAGACACCCTCCCAATGTGAAAGGCACTATATCTAATGGAGGGAATACTGTCCTCTTGGATGAGGCATGTGTACTTGCAGCTCAGCTGCTAACTCAGCAATGACCTCCTTCTTGCTCTCTACAATTCAGTTCCACCTAATGAACATACACACACACTATGAACATCGGAACCATTCACATAAATTAGATTAGATAATTATGGTGCAAATTAGCAATGGAGGACAATCCATTGATCAATATTGAGATGCCCCCTCCGCCCCAACCCAAACACACTGCTCAATAAGCAGCCAACCACAGGGTGTGTGGTCCTGACCTTCAAGACGAGGAACATCTCATCTGGGATGAGATAGCTCATCTCAATAGAATTGTCAACTGTATTTCTAGGGGGAGGAGGAGCGAGAGGGAGGTGAAAAAGAGGTAAATTGACGCAAGTGTTGATTTACACATCAGATGGAGGTTGTCTGAGCGCCATCCAGTAATCCACCTTCAGATTCAATAACCCTCACTTGCTGTTCTCAGTTAAGCCCTGAAGGATTTACAACACCTTAAATCTGTTCCCTCCCGATCAATAAAGATCCCACTTCCAAAGGAGGGCCAATAACCACATTTGTGGGTGAGGCAATGAGATGGCCATCATGTTGTCTTATGTGTTTTTCTTTTTTTTAAAAAAAAAGTTGAGTTCCGATAAAGTAGGTTGTGATCAACCAGCAGCAGAAGCATCCAGCAATGAGAAGGTGAACACCTGCATAATTTAGCCGCTCAAACAGCCAGAAGCCAGAAAAATGAAGCCACAACCACATAATAATAATTCTTGCATTTGATATAGCGCTTTTCACGTCTTCTAGAGGTCTCAAAGCGCTTCACAGAACAGACTGCAAAGTGAATTGACTGTACATTGGTGGGCAAAAATATCCCGGAGCTGCTCACCCCTCGAAAATGGTTGAATTCAAGATGCTAATTGAATCCAAATCAATCCACGATGAACTGTGATCGATTGATTGCCTCGGGGGATCCATGAGAACCGGTTAGCCCTGGTCATTGGAAAGCATCGGGACTGGGGGGTGGGGGGGGCGATTGTCAATCCCAGAACAAAGTAGAGCAACGTCTCACTTAACACAGCTCAGTTTCTATGGCGACTTTTCTCCCCATCTCAAGGCGCTGACAATAGCCACCGGGCGAGGGTATTGGAAAGCGCTGTTTTGAGGTCTTGGTGCACAATAAGGCGAAGCCGGGCGGATACAACAACAACAACTTGGATTTATATAGCACCCTGCACGCCGGACGGCGTCTCAGAGCGCAATCTGCCCCCCGCCCACCACCACCGCCGAGCCAGCCATTCCTCATCTCCCTAAAGCACACGTTTGGGGATCCCACATGTGCTATTACCACTCGCTTTAAAGAACATTTTATTTGTTTTAAAACGAATGAGCCAAAAAAAAAAACACATCTTAAGAGCCAAGTCGGTGATGTTGAAATCGATTGCAAAACACTCACAATGCGCCGCACGGTCGGATGACGGCAATTAAAGTTTGCATCTTTCTGTAACAAGACCACCCACGAGGACTATTTGGTGGGGTGGGGGTTGGTGAGGTGGGGGGTGTGGGGGGTGTCAGATGAATGCAGTCACGAATGCAATTAAAAGATCTGCTGAATGATAAGATAATCGCAGGTGGAAGGAAGAAAAACTCGTCCCTTCGTTTTTTGTTTGAAGCAGTAAAACAAAAGGGACAATAATTGGTGAGTGAGGACCAAAAACCTGAATTGTTCCCTTTAAACCCTTTATGTGTGAGTGAGTGAGTGTGTGAGAGAGAGAGAGAGATGTCCTTCCTTTGCCTCTCAGCCCCAAACCCCAACCCCTCAGCCCCACAGCTCGAGGCAGTGATGAACATCACGGGGGGGGGGCGATGGGGGGCGATGTGTGACTGACTGTGTGATGCCCTGAGAACGCCTCCCGAATGTTGGGGGGGAACAGCTTCGACGGTGTGAAACTTGTCAGAACAGCAGCAAAACCTCCGGCCCGAGAGAGGGGGAGAGAGGGGGGAGAGGGGGAGAGAAGGGGAGAGGGGGGAGAGAGAGGGGGGAGAGGGGGAGAGAGGGGGAGAGGGGGGAGAGAGAGAGAGGGGGGGAGGGGGGGAGGGGGGGGAGAGGAGGGGGGGGGAGGGGGGAGAGAGAGAGAGGGAGAGAGGGAGAGAGGGGAGGGGGGGAGGGGGGGGAGAGGGAGGGAGAGAGAGAGGGAGAGGGGGGGAGAGGGGGGGAGAGAGGGAGCGGGGAGGGGGGGGAGAGAGGGAGGGAGAGGGGGGGGAGAGAGGGGGGGAGAGGGGGGGGGAGAGAGGGAGAGAGAGAGGGAGAGAGACAGACCCCAGACCCCCCCACCACCACCAGACCCCCCCCCAAAAAAAAATAGCCGGTGCTGGAGGTGCAGCCTCACCGCGCTCCAGGTCCTGCTGTGGGTACCACGCGTCCTCCTCGCGGAGCTCGAAGTCTTCCACGATGGTGTCGGTCAGCATTTTGTGCGCGAAGCTATAATATATATATATATATATATGTAGATATGTAGATATAGATATAGGGCTGTGGGTGACTTGTCCAACCGGAGCCTCACTGGGGATCCCGTCACTCACTCACTCACTCACCCACTCACTGACTGACCGACGCCTTGTTCTTTCCCACAGGAGACTGGAGGCAACGTGGCACTCGCTCCTTCTCTCTCTCTCTCTCTCCCTCTCAGTCTCTCCCTTCCTCTCTCTGCCCGTCTGTCTCTCCCTCCCTCCCTCTCCCTTTCTCTCTCCCTCCCTCTCTTTCTCTCTCCCTCTGTCTGTCTCTCCCCCTCCTCCCTCTGTCTGTCTCTCTCTCCCCCTCCCTCTCTCTCTCCCTCCCTCTGTCTGTCTCTCCCCCTCCCTCTCTTTCTCTCTCCCTCCCTCTCCTTCCTTCCCTCCCTCTGTCTCTCCCTCCCTCCCTCTCTCTGTCTCCCTGTCCCTCTCTCCCTCCCTCTCAGTCTCTCTCTCTCTCTGTCTCTCCCCTCTGTCTGTCCCTCAGTCTCCGGTACAAACCCTCGAGGCCCCGCCTCCTCCTCGTTCCTTTCAATGGACACATTTGGATTGACAGGCGGCTGCGGTCTCTCATTGGCTACAGGCGGGACCGGGATACATTGGCGACTGCACCAATCGGAGGCCGCGGCTGGAGGGGAGGGGGCGGGGCGTGGGGGGGGAGGGGGCGGGGATTCCGATGTGATAACTAATGATCACTAATGATCAATAACGATCAATAACGATCAATAATCCTTATATAAGATCCTGTCATCGGATTTACTTCTTAAAATCCCTTCCGATTAAATACACAGGAAGCGGTATTTGTTGTGAAAGGCACATCGGGACAGTCTCTCTCCTTCTGTACTTGTTTTCTCACACATATATATATATATATACACATACAAACAGCCTCCGATGGAGGTTAATCAAAGGGCGTGAGACTGCAGGTTGCATTCAGCTGGAAATTTAGTCCTTCAGCCACTCCGCCCCTCCGCCACGATCCAAAGGCCTCGCTCTTTATCGAACGGGAGCTGCCGTGTTGCCCTCGATAGGTCAACTTCCATTTGCGCCAAGCGAGCTGCGTGCTCTATCGTCCGCCACGACGTTGGCTCTTGCGAGGGGCCTGAGAGGTAGTTGCGTCGGAGTTTGCGCCGGAACGCAAACTGGATTGAGCCTACGTGCAGTAAAGATATTAACGGGAAAGGTCCCCGGAAAGGGGATCAATGACAAAAGTGGCAATTTAGCAAAATGGATGTCAGTGGCACAGACTCCCATGTGTTGGAATTGAAGATTTCTATTTCTACATAAGAGCATCAGAAACGCTGGACAAAAAAAGACCAAGGTCCGTCTCGTTTACCTTCCAGCAGTCGCGTACACAATATGTCACAAATATTTCTGACTTTCAAATACCTCCATGTCCTTTCTCCACACGAATCCTACAAACTCTTCCAGCTCCCCTGTCCCACTCACTCCCTGCACTTTGTAAATTGAGGCCTGGTGGCTGCACTCTTTGCCCTTCTCCCCTTCACCGTTGATTTCAGCCATTGTGCGCCTGTTCTCTCAAACTTTCTCCGCAAATCCCTTCACCTTGCACCTCCCTCTCTGTTTTCGCAAACTTTTGCAAAAGCCTACCTCTTTGGTCAGTGCCCTCCCACCATCTCCCTATCCTTATGTTCCACCATGCTTTGGGTTTCCATTCCATCTCTGCAAAGCACGTCAAGAGAATATCCTATGCATATGGTATCAAATACAGGTGTGTTATTGTATCGTTTGCCCACAAAATACAGTCAAACCACTTTACAGTGTATCCTGTGAAACACTTTGAGACATCTCAACGATGTGAGTCGGATGTCAGAATAGGTTGGTGCAGGTGACAGACCTNAAAAAAAAGTTGGCGGATAGAGCCAAAGCACATTGGTAATAATAATAATCCTTGCATTTGATTATAGCGCTTTTCACATTTTCTAGACGTCTCAAAGCACTTCACATAATATGCTGTAAAGTGGATTGACTGTATATTTGTGTGATTGCCCCCAATGCCATCGACTTGCTTTGTTTTTTGATCCTTGTCTAGCTAATCAGCAGTATTCTCCCACCCTGAGTGAAAGGTCTCATTGGACTTAAGCTCCCTGGTGGTCCAATAAATGCAGACATGGTGTACGATTGAGCCAAACAAAACATGTTTCACTTTCAAGCTTTGGTCTGTGCTGCCAGGTGATATCAATCCATGCAGGAACCAAAGCACTGCAGCCTCCACTCACACTGCACCCACCCATTACAAATATACTTGGAAAGCTCACTGGCCAACCTCAAAGAGAATTAATTGACATTTGGACAAGGCTGGTGAACTCACGAAAACAGATTCCACCCCTCCCTCTCCCAATGTAGGTCAGGACCTTGAGAAGAGGAGACAGAGGAAATTCACACAAAAACAATCAAAATGCCGCGACATTTGATTGTTATCATATCAATGACAGGAAATTATTTTGTGGTGATTTTGTGATGACGCTGAGCAAAATAAAGTTGAACTTTAAGTAAATTAATGTATAGAACAAGCAATGAAAGTAAATAGATATGCATCACTTTCAAAACATCCAAACACCCGCCGGGATATTTCTCAAATAGATTTTCCTTTAATATTGTTTTTTTTTAATGCATCTTTTGATTTTCAGTTTTCAGGCATTGGGCTAATATTTTGTTTCAAATGGTTCTGCAGAACGTTTTAGTCAATAGCGCCAAACCACAACTTCCTTCCTTTCTGTCTTCATACTGCAAGTGTTGGCAAATGTTAATACTAATAAACATGCTAGCTTTAAAAAGGACGTGTCGTTGTTAGTCAGTGGTTCGATTCATGGTATTAACCCTTTTGAGGATCATTTCCACAGGAAAATTGAAATGACAGTTAAGGAGATATGTCCACACCCTTTGCCCACACAATATACAGTCAATTCACTTTACAGTGTATCCTGTGAAGCACTTTGAGACGTCTCGAAAACGTGTTAAGGTGCTATATAGAATGCAAGGACTATTATTGATTGTAAAGGCATTGCCTCGTGTGCAGAATAGAGAGGCTCCAGGTTTAATGCTTTGTTCATGCTGAGTTACTTGATCTTAGCCAAGACAGCAGTAGGGGTGCTACAACTGCCTTCATTCAGTATGTCCTTCTCTCATTATAAACCCAGCATCTGTTTTCCCAATAAAAGCTGCATATTTGTCAATTTTAGCAAAATTGCCCCACGTGGGTTCAAATTCCAGAAGAAATGGTAATTGTGTCTTCTTCGTTGTTCTTGCTTCCTAACTTGAGGGCATTAAATATTCAGTCAATACACACATTACAGTATATTCTGTGAAGCGCTTTGAGACATTTTGAATATGTGATAAGACGTTATATCAAATGCAGGGATGATTATTATTATTATTATTACTAGCAAGGCCAAGTGGTGGGAGCCAGCAATACCATTGAATTCAGTAACTCATCTTAAAGTGCTTCACAGGATTTTACTGTGAAGTATAGTGACCGTGCATTTATTGGTGAACGCAGCGGTCAATTTGCGCAGATCATTGCCCTTCAAAAAGGGTGAGATCAAATGGCCAAAGAATCTTGTTCAGCTGAAACGCTCTTGTGATCTTGATAAGCATCTTGTTGGCCAAGTGGCAGTTGTTCAAATATAGGCCTGGAATAGCGAGCTTTGGCAGGGTGTTAGAGCATGAAGAGGAGGGGGAGGAGAAGGGGCACGAGAATCATAGCTCAACTCAATCCTGTCTTCATCAAACACCAGCACAAGTATATTTTCCCCCAAGGAATACAATGATTCATTGCTTGTCGTCCCCTCTGAGTCCGTCAGCTAGGAAGAGAAGAGCCTGCAATCTGGCTAAATGCCCGTCCTGGTGTGCAGGAGTTTGAGTGTAAATCTGTGTTCTTATATACTGGCAGTTATAAGCAATATAAGCGGGGTGAATCTACTTTGTCACACTTTAACACATTGTGCAACAGCACCAGTGTGAATCTGTGACCTTTGTAAGGCAGCAAGTGCGAATCTGCCCTTGCAACTCCATTTACCTGCCTTTGCTCCATATCCCTTACCTAACAAAAATCTATTGACCTCAGTCTTGAACATTTCAGTTTGAATTTCTGCCCTTACACACTCTACAGTTGTAGTGTGCAGGAGTAACTGTGATCCACATCACTGCATTCTGAAATACTTCTATTACAAATACTTTTGAAGGTAAACATTCCCATATCTACCTATCTTTATGTCTAACTCAGGATTTGTCTCCCTTCTCAAATGTTGATTGCACTGCAACCACTTATAGCTTCACCTGTTCAAGCAATGTGCAAACTTTTACCTGCTGTTCCTGCCAATGGTGCGATAAATATGTTTTGCACGTTATGATTCAAGATAGCGTTCCCTTTACCTCTGCAGAATGAGGGATTATTGCAACAATGACCATTGCACTGTGTAGTGTTGGCAGTGAGGGCAGAACATAATCTTAAAATTAGAGCCATTTACGAGTGAAATCGGGAAGCACTTTTTCACACAAAAGGTAGTGAAAACCTGGAACTCTCTCCACCAAAAGTCGGTGGATGTTGGATCAATTGAAATGTTCAAGACTGAGGTCAATAGATTTTTGTTAGGTAAGGGATATGGAGCAAAGGCAGGTAAATGGATTTGAGGTGCAGATCATCTTACATTTAATATAGCACTTTATCACATCATAGAAACATTTTAAAGTGCTTTTACTGTAATGTGTAGTGATTGTATATTTTGTAGGCAAACGCAGCAGACAATATTGCACAATCCAACGTCCCACAAACTGCCCTGAAACAAATGACCAATTTTACCTTGAAGATTTTTGGTAAGGACACCGGGAAAAATTCCTTTCTCTTTTCAAACAGTGCCTTAGGATCTCTAAGGTCGACTCAAACAGGCAGACAGGACCTTGATTTAAGATCTCATCCAAAGGAGAGCACCTCAACAACACAGTGGTCCTCAAGCATTACATTCCCCAACTTGAATGGCAGCAGCTTACTCAAATGAACCTATAGCTGAAACATTGCAGTTTGTACGGCTGAACCATTCCTTGGACAACAATGGTAAGCCAACAGGAAAGCTCAGTATATTTTATCACTAATATCCCATGAAAGTGACTTGGCACGGATAATAAGATAGAGAATTGTAGCCATTCAGTAACTGTAACATGGATCACATTATACAAATATAATAATATCTGGTACAATATAACCATTGTGTTAAATCTGACTGTTTTCAATTGCCTCATTTTAAGTGAATGTAATAAAATAGCCTGTGGACACTAAGTGGTAATTTCCTGAATCCAACCGTAAAACAGTCTGAAATTGAAATCTGTTGTTTGGTTTCTATCTCTACACTCAAAGGCCTAAAGAGTAACAGCTCCACAGCTGCAGCTGTGAGTTCCAGACATAGGAAGTGGATGTCCCTGAGATATTGAACAGAATATCAGAGCGGTGCCGACTGAAACTGCAAAGGAACATCTTGAGGCTCGGTCGGCAAGCAAAGGGGAAGTTTGCAGCGAAGTGGATAAGTGATAGCATAGACCACATGTTGTTCAGTTTCACTCAGGCAGTGACACTCTCAGCTTTGGTTGAAGCTCCACCTTAGTGTATGCACTTGAGCTTGTAGTGCCTGCATGAGGGGAGTTATACAATGCAAGTTGTTGTTGATGTTGTGCGGGCTGACTCTCCAGTGCTGTACTGGGGTGGGGGGGAAGTGCTGTCCTTCAGATGAAATGTCTCCTTTACCCATCGTTCTGATAGTTATTGTTTCAAAACTGCTTTTCTCGGCATCCCAGTCAACAATCCTCCAGATAAGCTGGTCATTCATCTAAGAGCTGTTTGTGCCCCTTTACTCTGTGGGAAATGTCTGCTCCATTTCCGCAACAAAAAGACTTGACAGTAATTCCTGTAAAATCGTTTGAAGTATACCAACATGATAAGGCGCTATAAAAATACAGATTCTTCCTCTCACTAATAACAGCAATCTTTTTCAAACTTACAATTATAGTTATAACAGGAAATTTTCAATTAGACACGTACCAAAACCAATCACTAGTTTTAGCAATGGCATGTAATTATTTCTCTATGCTCAGGCACTGAAATGTTGACTTAAACATATATGCAAGGTTGTGCAGATGGATTGAATTAGTTTATTTTACTGAGTGAATATTTAAGTGGCTTTTCTCTACCTTCCGCCACTCTGCGCCCACACTCTGGAACTCCATCCCGCAGTGCCTCCGTCTTGCCCCCTCCCTCGGCACCTTCAAGACCCACCTCAAGACCCTCCTCTTCGACCGTGCTTTTGATCTCCCTGCTTCCCCCACTGTCCTCCACCCTCCCCCACCCCAACCCTCAGCTCGGGTCCGTAACTCTGTCTGTCCAACTCCTTGGGATGTCCTCCCGACATGACAAATGTAATTTTGTTGTTGTTGTTCCTCTCCAGCATCTAATAACCTGTGTCAACAACTCACTGTTACATCGTCCAAATGGCTATTCTTCATGTGTGAGGCTGGACATGAAAGGTTATTTGACTGTTCCTTGCTCTCTCTGAGCTAAAATAATCCTTGCATTTGATATAACGACTGTTTGTGGAACACTACTGTGTGCAATTGGCCCCCGAGTTTTGCCCACAAATACGTACATTTTACAACATATTCTGTGAAGCGCTTTGAGACATCTCATCAATGTGATAAGATGCTATATTAAATGCAACGATTATTATTATAATAACAACAAATTACATTTGTCTAGCGCCTTTCATGTTGGGAGATGTCCCAAGGTGCTGGAAAGCTGTAATATAACATACATATGATTATATAATAATAATAATAAAACATCAACCTAGGGTTACAAAGCTGAACTGGCGTTGGCTGATTTGATTATATCACTTATGCACCAACACCCCTCAGATTCTCAGCTACTGAACCCACAATTACAGTGTAAGTGACTACACACTCAGTTTTAGATTAAATCCTGATTCATTTAGCTCTGGCACAGTTCCATTTATTTCCAACGATTCACACAAACCCCACGGGAAAAACTGGATTATACAATTAAGGTACATTAGCATCAAGGGACTGTTCCTGATGTTTGAGATCACTCCTTAATCTCTGCGCTTGACATTCTACCTCCCCTCTCTCTGCATCTCTGATTTCTGTCACCTTACAGCGCATCTCCCTCCATTTCACCTCTTATCATCTATGATTACTTTCGTCTTTTATTTTTCCTCCTCCTCCTAAATAACAGAAAGACCATTTATCTCTGGGTTTAGTCACCTCTCCTGTGTAAATATCCTGTAAGACAAACAGCAATTTAATTGTGCGAAGGCGCTTTCCCCACTCTTCGTTTCTTCCCTTTCCTCCAGTTTTCTTTCCTCTCTAACCTGAAGTCTCTAAATTTGTATACCTGAATGTATAATTTATTGTTGTTGTCTCAGACACTTGTTTGGGATCCACAGCCACTTGTGGCCCCTCTGAAACCTTCTCAAGCTGACCACAATTTATGTCAGGATCAGGACACTACCCCACGTGAAAGGCTCTATATAAATGCAAGCTGCTGTTGTTGTTATGTGTGAGCCTCAGCAGTGTTGGCAGGTTATTTGACTGAGATATCACATCTGGTACTCGATCATGGGAAGGGGTCCTGGACAGCAATGAGAGATGGAGGATCCTGGTTCATCTTATCTGTTCCTGTTGTTGTGTCCATTCCAGCCCCTAATGTGGCTCTGGCTAAGGTCGGCTAACTCAGCTCTTACCCAGGGAGGATCCTGTTTTTTTTCCATGTTCCCTGTTGGCTGTTTCACACCAGGTACAGACTTTGTCAACTGAGCCATGGAGAGAGATAGCTATCTTTAACAGCAGAAAATATTGAAAACATACTGCAGGATGATCAGCATCTAAGATTAGGCGCATGTTCCAGGTCTGACCTTCCATCAAAACACAATGTGTTTTTCTTTTATACCCGTACTATTTCATTTTATCCCTTCACATATTAATCTCCTTGCACTGACAGTGCCACCTAGTGATTATATATTTGATTGCTCTGGATATTTTTTACGACAGGATTTGCTTTTTCAGTGTAGCTTGTGTCCCAATGGTTGCTTTTTTCTTCTCCTCCTGAAGGCACTAGTTCACATGCTGGTAGGGTGCCCAAGTGATAGTTCTTTATGCAGGAGCCTAATTGGCAGCGTTTGCCTAAAAGATACACAGTCACAATATATTACAAAATCCTTGAGAAGACTTCCCAATGTGAAAGGCTCTATGTCAAATGCAAAGATTTTTTTAAAAAAAAATTGGTCACCACACTTGCCTATGACTGTCCACTACACTTAATAGTAATTGCCTGCGCATCACTTTGAGACATTTCAACAATGATAACTTTATAAATGTAACTAAATCAATGTCTACCTTTCTCTGTCGCTACACTGTATAAAAGAAGCTCAAAACCCTCCTCTTCGACCATGCCATCGGTCACCCCCATTCCCCTCCCCTTCCTGCTCACCCCCTGACCCCAGCTCGGGTCTGAAATGCTGTGCACGGTCCAGCGCCTTGGGACGTCCTCCCGACGTGAAAGGCGCTATACACATGTAATCTTGTTGTTGTAAATATAAAAACAGATCTTTGCCACGGCAAACAAAAAAATCATAGAATTATATAGCACAGAAGGAGGCCATTTGGCCCATCGTGTCTGTGCCGGAGTTGAGTTGCGTGTAAAGTTATGTGCATGCGCACAAGGTTGCTTAGTATACGTACAGCTTAATTTGTGTTGTTTGTTTCGCATCCCCATACTGACATCCGCTTTAGAAATCTTCAATGGATCAATGGACATGTGGGTAATTGGCGTACAGATACCTACCAGTGGGGAAGAGCAGAGATCCCTGGATATCAATCAGAAACAGGAACCCTGTGGTTGATTTTTCCCTCTCCAGCTGAGGGTACAGCCCTGACTGAGATCACAGCACATCAAAGCTTGGGTTGCTCAACTTACTATTGATGTTCTAATTGATGTTGTTATTATTATTATTATTATTATTATTATTGCTGATGTTATTATTGTTGTTATTGTTGTTGTTGATGTGGAGTCCCGTGCAAGCTTTCCGGGGGTAATAATAGCTCAAAGACAAAATTGGATCACTCAATCCACAACTGTTGTGGGACACTATTGTGCACAATCGGCTGCTGCGATTCACCCACAAAAATATTCAGTCAATCCACTTTACAATATATATTCTGTGAAGCACTTTGAGACGTCTCAATGACGTGATATCATAATAATAATAATAATAATAATAACAATAACAATCCTTGCATTTGATTCCCCCGCCTTGTCGCGTCTTCAAGACGTCTCAAAGTGCTTCGCAGAATGGACCGCAAAGCGTAGTGACTGTGTGTTTTGCCGTACGGCGCTGCGTCAAATGTAAGGACCGTTCTGATGCGGTCTGCAGTGCTGTACCGTGCCCGGCGCCTTGGGGCGTCCTCCCGACAGTGAAAGGCACTGTACAAATGTGACCTTGTTGTTGTTGTTGTTGTTGTTTGGGGTTGAGGTCCCTTTAATTGTAAGCGCCTCCTTCCCTCATTGGCTGCTGGGGTTCGGTGGCTCTGATTGGCTGTTGGCTGCTCTTTGATTGATACCTTCGACCAATGGGCGACTCCGCCCTGTGGGGGAGTCCTGACACTTCCTGGAAGTGGGAGAGGGAGGGAGAGGGGGAGAGAGAGGCTGGTGAGTAAGGGGGGGAGAGGGAGGGAGTGTGTGAGAGAGTGATGGGGAGGGAGGGAGTGAGAGAGAGAGAGAGTGAGTGATGGGGAGGGAGGGAGTGAGTAAGAGAGAGAGAGTGAGTGAGTGTGTGAGAGAGTGATGGGGAGGGAGTGAGTGAGAGAGAGAGAGGAGTGAGTGTGTGAGAGAGTGATGGGGAGGGAGGGAGTGAGTAAGAGAGAGAGAGTGAGTGTGTGAGAGAGTGATGGGGAGGGAGTGAGTGGAGAGAGAGAGAGAGAGTGAGTGATGGGGAGGGAGGGAGTGAGTAAGAGAGAGAGAGTGAGTGAGTGTGTGAGAGAGTGATGGGGAGGGAGGGAGTGAATGAGTGAGTAAGAGTGAGTGAGTGAGAGAGAGAGAGAGTGATGGGGAGGGAGTGAGTAAGAGAGAGAGAGTGAGTGAGTGTGAGAGAGAGTGATGGGGAGGGAGGGAGTGAGTGTGAGAGAGAGTGATGGGGAGTGAGTGAGTGAGTGAGTAAGAGAGAGAAAGAGTGAGTGTGTGAGAGAGTGATGGGGAGGGAGGGAGTGAGTGTGTGAGAGAGTGATGGGGAGTGAATGAGTGAGTAAGAGTGAGTGAGTGAGAGAGAGAGTGATGGGGAGGGAGTGAGTAAGAGAGAGAGAGTGAGTGTGAGAGAGAGTGATGGGGAGTGAGTGAGTGAGTAAGAGAGAGAGAGAGAGAGAGTGAGTGTGAGAGAGAGTGATGGAGTGAGTGTGAGAGAGAGTGATGGGGAGTGAATGAGTGAGTAAGAGTGAGTGAGTGAGAGAGAGAGAGAGTGATGGGGAGGGAGTGAGTAAGAGAGAGAGAGTGAGTGTGGGAGAGAGTGATGGGGTGAGTGAGTGTAACCCATCGGCCAGGCTCGTGCCCCAGTGGAACGGAGGTGCGCTGCTCTCATGGCTCGGTTCGCACGTCTCTTCGCCACTGGCTTCCGACGCAGGCGTTTCCACCGGGTTCCAGCGTCGCGTCGACCTCGTTACGTTTGCAGCGGCGTTGGACATTTGAGTAGGGCCGGAGACCAGGAGCGCTCACATGGCAAAAATGATCAGGATATTCGCTTCTGGTTGTGTTCGGTCGAAAGTCCTGCCCTGTCGTCCCACGCATAATGTTTTAAGCAATTCTTGGAACGTGCTTAAAGAAGGTTCCGGGGTTAGAGTAGCCATTGACTACGCTTGTTGTCTGGGCTCACGCAAGAATGGACGATGAAACACTTTGTGGTGTCCTTCACCTCCCCGAATCGCTGTCCTCTTGTTCTAGCGGCCTTGGTGTATCTGAAATAATTATGGTTCCTGGCGTATTTTCTTCTGTCTCAAATTAGCATCTTATAAGCAAATCTCCTCTTGAGATATCTCTCTTCAAGGTTTAAGAATCCCCCCCCACCCTCGCCCGGCTCCACTGGCGTCCCCATGCCCCAGAGGATCGAGTTCAAGGTCCTCGTCCTCACCTTTGAGGCCATCCATGGCATTGCCCCTCCTACCTCTCTGACCTGCTGACTCCCTACCAACCTGCCCGCTCCCTCCGTTCAGCGGGTTCCGGCCTTCTCCATGTCTCCCGCCCGACCATCGGTGTCCGGGCTTTCAGCCTCTCTGCCCCCACACTCTGGAACTCCATCCCACGGTCCCTTCGCCTTGCTTCCTCCCTCGCCTCCTTCAAGGCCGGTCTCAAGACCCTTCTCTTCGACCGTGCCTCCCACCTCTCTGCCTTCCCTCACCCCTACACCACCCCTCCCCCCTACACCACCCCTCCCCCATGCTCGGACTCCGACACCGGACTGTTCAGCACTTTGCGACATCATCCCGACATGAGGAGTGCTCTATAAATGTAATTTTGTTGTTGTTATTGTTCCAGTTTATCCAGTTGCCCCAGTTTGGCATTCCTCATAGTCTCGTTACTCTCCTCTGCACTACAGAGACTGGAGCTTCAACATTTTCAACGGCCAATTTAGTGCAAAAATGAATGCCAACAAGTTGACAGTTTTTATTCTGTGAACTGTACCACAGTATATAGTTGTTTAATCATGTGCTTGCAACTGGTGGAAGGCAAACTGGATGGACTTCGGTCTTATCTCCTCCAGCAGTCCTTATGTTCTACCTACTGTCAGGTGTTACAGCTGATTGTATCAGGATTTGTTGCAACCATTTTTTTCATGAATAGGATGTAGCGTCCTGGAACTGAAACAATGCTCCGTTTAGTCAGCTATTTATTTTGCTGGGGTCGCGTTGATCCCTTCATTTCCACCTGGGTTAAAAGTAATATTTCACCCACAAAATATACAGTCAATTCACTTTACAGTGGATTCTGTGAAGCGCTTTGAGATGTCTAGAAGACGTGAAAAGCGCTATATCAAATGCAAGCATTATTATTAAAACAACACACACCCACTAATTGTTTAATTCATGACATCAGCTCCAGTGTTCGAGGCAGAATTTCACGACAAATCGACTGCTTGCTTTTCTGTCTAACCTCTCTTCTGCTCCTCTCACAGGTCATTGCTGTGGCCTTCAGTCAGGTGGGTGTGCCAGTGGTTTGGCAGGAGTCACCATCGCAAAGGGCAGTGACGGCTGTTCCTGCCCTGGGAAGAAAATGTTTTGTTTTCACACTGAGCTCAGTATATCGTCCGTGAGATCAGAAGTGAGAGAACTCACCTGGCCGAGGTAAGTACGTGCAACCATGGGTGTGATCGGTCTTGGGTTCTAATATAAAGCCTTGATTCTCAACTGTAAATACCGTAGAGTATGTTTTCTTCTTTAAAACAAATTCATCTCCTGATGTTGGCAACTTGATTTGAGGCTGGAGCAAATAATCTGCCAATAACTCAGTTGTTGAAATCCACACTTGAATGATGGCCTCCCTGGGCAAGGTACTACAGGGTGCTTGATATGTGTCCCAGGGAAAGGAAATAGTGTCCAAATCAGGGAAGTTTTTCATTAAAAAGAAAATACGAACAGAAGGAAGGGGTTCTGCTTTTGCATCCTGCAACCCGCTCCAGTCCCAAGATTTCTTCTTTAATCTGGTTCACTCTAGTTATGTGTGTGTAATGCCTGTTTATTTGATATATTGTTAGATTCTTATTTTTTTTGTATATAATTTGTGGTTATTAGCTGTTGGCTTCATGACCTAGTCAGAATTCCGCTTCTTTTTGGAAGCTAGTTTTCATGCTTTTTATATTGTGTTTGAAAAATGTAAAAAGGGAGTTTAAAACCATCAACAACAAAGTTTTTTTTTGCTCTCTCTCTCTCTCTCTCAGGTTGTGACTGTTGTGGGTGAAATATTGACCCAGTGGTTCTGAGTCTCATTGGAATTCTTGCTATAGGCTCCAACGAACAGTCATCTGTGATAATGAAGCTGCGGTCACTGGGGATCCAGGATAATGCTCTGGCGTATGCCATGACCTCGCTTGGATCTGGCCTGATGACCAACATGTTCAGCTTCTATTACGTGAAGCTCTTTCTGAATCAGTACAGAATTTCTGAGACAGCATTTCACCAAGCCCAGGTGAGCTGCTCGCTTCTAATGCACAACAAATATTTGCTCCAGGTGTTTTGGCTGTTTGTGGGGTTGTGGCTTCCAATTCAAAAAGAGAAGGGAGTTTCTCCTGATGTCCTGGTCAACAATTCCCCCAAATAAAATTGGTCATTTGTTTCACGGCTGTTTGTGGGACATTGTTGTGTGCAATTGTGCTCTGCGCTTGCTTGCGAGTCATACACAGTCCATTTCACAGTAAATCCTGTAAAGCGCTTTAAGACGTCCTTCTGACGTGATACGTCGCCATACCAAAGGAATGGATTATTATTATTTGGTAAATTTCATTGCCTTGTGTGAAACCAGTTAATTCCTTCACTGTGTTTAACCAATGTAGTTGATTTTGGTTTGGCCCAGGGTTAAGGAAGGGAAAATATTTTTGAAGGTTCCCTATTACTATATCACTGTCTGGTGACCGTCTGTTAAGGAAGTTTTTTTGGAAGGTTTCAGGCAGTCCTGGATTGGGTGAGAATAGCATTGGTGTAATCTACATTTACCCTTTGTAAACAAGTGTGCACTGGGTTCACACATGAAGACACCTGACAACCATGGTTAAGCCACTAGTGGAGGGTTCTGCTCTGTTCTTAACGTCGCTAAACTTGCTTCTGATTTTTTTTCTCTCTCTCTTCAAGGTGATCTTCATGATCTGGAATGCCCTGAATGATCCTCTCTTCGGCTACTTTCAAGACAACTCCAACCTAACGTGCTGCGTCAAACGCCGCCTCTCCATCCTGTTCGGCTCTCCGTTCTACGCTATAGCTTTCCTGTTGCCCTGGTTCCCGTGGCGGGTCTATCAGGAGGGTGACTGGCTGTGCGGGGTCCACCTGATTATCTCTCTGTGTGCCTATGACGGAATGCTGACTTTTGTCCTCCTGGCCCAGTGCGCTCTCTTTGCTGAAATGTCAACCAAGCACGAGAACCGTTTACAGCTGATCAAATACAATCAGGTTGCCACCTTGATCGGATCGTCCAGTGTCCTTTTCTGCGGCTTGATATCCAAGAACATGGAAAACTTCCAACGTTTCCAGGGCTTTGCTCTCCTCGTGGCATTTCTGGCCTTCGGCTGCATGTATTACACGGGGACCCACAGCGTCAGCCAGTACGAGCAGGGGGACAGAGCGTCTGAGAAGGAGATGGCCAAGAGAGCTTCAGATGCCTCCTGGACCTCGGTGTTCAGCCTGACCAAGCAAATCGTGATGCAGCACAACTTCCTGTTCTTTGTGATCATGAACCTGTTCCAGGTTTTCCATCTGGCTTTCTGGAACAACTTCATGCTAATCTTTGCCGACCACCTGATCCCACCTGACATGCTCCCGGCCTTTGTAAAGAGCATCATGTATGGAGCTGGGTTCATCTGTCCTCAGGTACCTCTAACTAGTCCTGCAGATAATAATAATAATATAATAATAACAATTCCTTTCATTTGATGTAGCGCCTTATCACGTCTTTGTAACGTCTCAAAGCGCTTCACAAGATATACTGTAAAGTAAATTCACTGTATTTTTGTAGGCAAAACATCTTTGCTTTCTCCCCCTTTTTTCTTTTAGCGAGATTGCTACATGGCCTTTGAATCCTAAGTCGTTCCCACTCAAAACAAAATATATTTTCTCCCAAGGAGCTGACTCTTCCCTGGACATAATTCTGGTTTGGAGGCTTCAAGCATCCTCTAGTACTTGGTCCAAATGATGAAGGGCGGTGTAAGTTTTCTTTGTCTCATTCTTTCACTCTCTCTCAAAGCCTCAACTGATCAGTACTCTGTGGCTCATTTGAGGCAGGAAACCAAACCTACTCTCTTACTGACTGAGGGGAGTTTAATCCATTGTGATCGGCTATGCTCAGTGGGCTTTGGCCTGCCTTCTGTCCTGAAGTGTTTCTAAAAAAAGAAAATTTGCTTCAAATATTTACCTTATTTTGGGGTGTGAATGGGTCAAACATCGCCTGAGCCACCACCCGGCTCCCACAGTATTCTGAAATTATGTGAGTTCTTACGGTTCCCACTTTTTTTCCGCAGCTTTTAATTCTCAGCAGCCAGTCCCTGCTGAGGAAATTTGGTTATTACAAAGTCATCCTGTTTGCCTTCTACACGGAATTGATAACAGCGACAGCCATGATGGCTCTCGGCCCAGGTCACTACTACATACTGGCTTTCTACCTCGTCGGGAACATGTAAGTGATGCGATGAGAGTGTTAGCTCCAGCAGATCTCTCACTCTATGGGAATGTCTCTGCTCAAGTGTGGATCAACCTCACGGTGACTGAGGAGGTTTGAGTTCACTGGTGTTGGCTGGGACTGGAGATGGGGAGTGCTGCCATTATCCTCAGTCCTGCTGGGCTAACGAAGGAAAAGTTCAACCAGGGTTCCTATTCCTGATCACAACCACAACAACTTAAACTTATATAGCTCCCTCCACTCAGGGTAGCATCACTATTCACCATTCATTCCCCCACTCCCTGGAATGGAGGTAGATGGCGAGGATAGGATCAGGCTTGGCTTTGAAGTGCCCTCCCATCCCATGGTCAAGTCTGCTGATGCTTAGTGTCCAAGCTCAAATATGGCTGAGGAGCTATTTAGATATCGGAGACAGCTGACACCTGTGGAGCTAGCAGGAAGCCGGAGCTTCACTATCAGCCAAGTAGGACTGTAAATGACTGGTATGGACTCAGACGATTTTCTTTTAGCAAATGTTTGGAAGGTTTGAATGAGTAAAGCTGTGCTACGTTTTGCTGTTTTAATCAAATTCACCCCTGACCGGTCGGTCTCTCATAGGGTGATGGTGACTGCTGCTTTCAGCCTCTTTAACCTGCCCCTGGCTGATATTATTGATGCTGACCTTCACAACCACAAGCGCAGGTAGGCGTTGTATCAGTCACTGTTTGTTTTCATTTCGTTAGTGCTTTTTGGTAATCCAAAGCAAAGTGCACGTTGAAGTTAACTGCTGCACAAACTTTGATGTGAATTTGTCGCCTCTAAGACTGGATCGCAATTGGTGTAATGTGACAGCAGATATAACCTGCTCCTCTACAATGTCACTGTTTATATTAGTGAAGTCTAATTGCAGAACAAATCCTGTTGCGTTGTTTGTGGGATTTACGTATAAATACCTCTTGTTATATTTACTTGTTGGGTGTGAAACTGAAGCAAACAGAACAGGAAGGTCTAAATTGAGTTGGATTTAGATTTCTGTACAAATTGGTCTCCATATCACTAGGATAGAAGGAAAATCCAGGATTTTTATTCCTAATCACTATCCAGTGACGGCTGCTAGAATGTGTGTGTGTGTATGTGTGTAACTCTCTGTGTGAGAGTGTATGTCTCTCTCTCTCTGTGCATGTGTGTGTCTGTGTGTGTGTGTGAGAGTGCTGGATTGGCCCTGTTGTGATTCTCCTGTGGTTGTTGTATCTCACATGTAATAATGACCACTTGGGTGGGGAAGTGGAGGTCAGAGATGCCTGTGGTAAAAGCAGTTGTAACCCTGGAGTAGGGAGGAAATGGGTTACTCAAGTGAATAGTTGTGGAGGTTTAATTTCACAACGCATTAGACCAAAATTGGGTTATTACTGATGCTATCAATTTATTTTAAGTGAGCTCCACTGATGATAGGATCATAGAATGTTACAGCACAGTAATTGGGCATTTGGCAATGGGTTTCTTTTGTCATTGTGTAATCCTGATCTCCTGTTCATTTCTCATTGTCTTTAATATTCCTCCTCTTCAAGCATCTGTCCATCTATTCCCTCAAACAAGCAATCAGCCTAATTCACAGCTCTATATAATGTGCTGCTCATAAGGACTAGGCTTTACTTCTCACAGAAGTAATAATAGATATTACATACAATTCCATTATATAAAAATCATTCAGGCTTTTCTAACACTATGAGCATAGATTTTAAATAATCTTCCACCTAGAAATTCGACCATTTCTTTAAAGTAGGATACTGTATCAAGATTTTTTTACGCTAAAAGGGAGGCCTCTTGAAAGCACCATTCAGATTACACCATTCACACTAGCGCCAATTGAGGCTGGATCAATGAAATCAATCTAAAGGGAACTCGTTCAACACCTGGGGAGTAAAAACGTTAGAGGAAATGGGAAAAGCGCTTGAAAGAAGAATTAATTGAAAAAGAATGATTTCGAAATACAGGAAGGCTCAATGACTGATTGGCCTCCTCCTGTGCTGAACATTTCTGTCTGTTCAAGCTCATCTAAGGTTTAAATTGCTTTCATTTTCTTACTTTTAGTTTTCCGCTGTCTTCTATGATATTTGGTACCAATGCTTTGTTTACAAAGCCGGCACAGTCACTGGCCCCAATGCTTGTGGTTACTATACTTAACCAGTTTGACTATAAAAAATTGAAGGATGCCTCTACGCATGTGGATTTGGGGTAAGTGGTGGGGGCGGGGGGGGAAGTTCTGTGTATATATAACATATTTTCATTTGAAATATGTGTTAGCACTTTGCAGTAAATGCTGTCAAGTGTAGTTGCATTTTGCAAGCAAACCGGAGGGGGAGGGGGGCTGGAGGGGGAAGGGAGGTGAGGAGGGCCTGAGGAGGGCTGGAGCGGGGAGGGAAGAGGGGGGCGGGGGGGGGCAGAAGGAGAAGGGGGGATAAGGGTGTTTCCATAAGCGTAAATAGGTCTTTAAGTTGCTAGCAATCTGACTGATTGATGTCCAACTGTTAGCCAGGAGGAATTGTGGCCCCAAAGTTTAAAACTAATCTTACAATATGCTATTTCACAAACCTTTCAATAAATTCTTCATCAGGTAGTTGTCTAATTTCCTCTTGAATTTGCTGACATAAACTAATTGGATTAAGACCGTTTTTACTGTTTCTTTTTCTTTCTATATCTCGCAGTGCTCTGCAGGAACTCCACAACGTCATGTTTTACCTGGTCTGCCTGATCCCAATTTGCGTTGCCGTCCTGCAGATTCTGGCCTGGACTCATTTCTCCATCCGGGACACCCATACAGACACAGCAAAGTACATTGATTCCTAAGGGCCCACCGTGTGTGCCTGAGAAATCACTAAAAACTGCACACATCGCTTAACCTCTTTGGAGTTTTTTTTTAAAATACTTGGTGATCACCATATTCTGTGCTCTAGTTGTGCAGAGTTGGTGAGATGGGAGAACTATAGAATGAAAATATATAGTCGGTGTAAAGATTAAATCTTTTGAAGTGACTTCAACGGCATTTTGAAGATTTCAGAATTGATGTTTTAGATGGTTAGTGGGATTCTATAAATGTTAACAGGTGTTTAAACACTTTTGGCTTTTGGTTAACCAATTTCTCTTCTGCCACACAGGCTACAGAAGCACTGGTAGGTTAACCATACAGGCCAGGCAGCTCCATGCTTCATTCTCTGGGCTGAGCGGCTAACTGATCTCAGTCAGGGAAGTGGTCGGAGGATTGCAGTTGGGCTCAGTTAGGGAAGTGGGGGCTGGAGAGATAGCAGTCCAGGTTTCCAATGGCTGTCTCCCCCCCCCTCCCCCCCCATAACACTTATTCATACTTGAGTTCTTTGCTTAAATAATCATGAAGAATTAAGTTGAAACCTCACTTTTGTTGGAAGGCCTAGATATCTCTTCTCTGTCATATGTTCAACATATTACAAGCATATCCTTACACATTTTGCCTGTGAATTGTTCAGCATTGTGTATGCGATGGCCTTCGCTTGTGATTGAAAATTGAAAATCACAAGTTCAGCATCTGGCCCTTTCTCCCAGAATTGCTCTCCATTCATATCAGAGGATAATAGGATCTTTTTGAATATGTGGCATTCATTTTGTCTATTTGAAAAGGAAAAATAGGGAGAATGAGAGTCGTTACATGGAGGCTAAGAAATGAAGAATAATTGTAGAATATCCGGATATTAAAACCTCCTTCCTGTAGATTATTTGCTCTTTAATTTCACACAAAGTACATGGCTAATGCAATTATCGGGCATGCAGATGAGGAAATTCAGCATATGGTCACCACTATAATAATAATAATAATAATCCTTGCATTTGATATAGCGCTTTTCGCGTCGGGAGGACGTCCCAAAGCGCTTCACAGAATATACCGTAAAGTGAATTGACTGCATATTTGTGGGCGAACGCAGCAGCCAATTGCGCACAGCAATGTCCCACAAACAGTCGTGGATTGAAAATGACCAATTTATTATTGTTTGTGTTTTGGAGGCATTATTATTAGGCTCTGTGTGGAGTAAGGAAACTTGCCCAAGGTTTTGCCCTCTGTCTGGAATTGAACTCAGGTCTCTCGCTTGCAAAGCGAGTGCTCTAACCACTGAGCTACAGGACTCCTATCTCTGGGAGGTACCGGAGCAGCTAACCATCAAGCAAAGGGGAAATTCAGTTGAGGAATTGAGTCAACAAAGAGTAAGATTAAGCGAGAATAGGGATTTTAGAATTTTTAAAAAAGATAGAAAAATTGCCTATACAACAACCTTGCCTGCACAGCTCCTGTGCATTTTATATTATGGATTATTTAATGCAATTCCATGTAGATTTCTTACCAACATTTTAAATAATTGTAAATTTCATGGTACTTGTCCATCCCTAATTGCTAGGATATACCTCATCTCTTTGATGACCCAGACAGGCTGGTCAGCCATCAACAGTGCCTTGGGTTACTGTGGACATTCCTGGTTTAGCCACACAAGTCCCCTCAAAGCCAGTTGCACACACATTTTCCCCTCCCCTTCGCTATTTACCCAAACCACAAAAAATTGAACCCAGATCTTGTGTTTTTAAGGGCAGTGTTACACAGTGAGGAGTTCTAACACTCATTGGTGGGCTGTTCAGAAATACAAAATAATAATCTAAAAATAAGAACTTTTTTGAAGAACGAGTCACAGTAAGGAAGGTCCAAGCTCGCTCCTAAACCCTGCCGGTCTGTTGTATAGGCTGTGATTTCTGCAGGGTTTCAGGCTGGGAGCCAATGGACAGAGCCCAGTGTGAAAATCACCTCCACAATTTGCTCATTCCCGAAAATATCCAAATAAATGAAGCACCGCCAGTGGCTCTGTTTCCAGCGTTTCTCTTTGACATTCCAAGTTTGTTTTAAATAATTCTTTTGATAGGTATTTCAAAGGTATGAGAAATAAGCTGTTTTGATTGAATGAAGGTATTGGTCATTGTGTAATATTTGCAGTGCTGTAGCAATGTTATATTTAATAAACCTGTACGTTAGTTTACAAGATTTAATGCTAATCATGAATCTCAAATATTTTGGATTGGTGGAGTTACTGTATTTGGTAGGTCAATGATTTTATATCTTCAGGTGAAGGGTTCCTGTGTATTATTTCTAAGCTGTTTTTGCCTCTGCCATGAACTATTTAATACAATATTAAATTTTTTTTATTGGAAATGCCCTCTTGCATTTGTGCAGAAACATTAAAGTTTCAAAAGTGTACCTATTCCTCCGCCTGCTTTCAATAACAAACTTGGCAAACCATTACCTTCCAAAGAGCAGGGAGCAGAGTAATCAAATGCTACTGGGGACGCTATATAAATGCAAGTTGCTGTTGTGGTAATCTACCTCTCTTATGGGTGTCGGTAGAGTGTTATCTGCCTGTGTCTCTCTCTGCATAGAGATGTTTTTATCTTTCATTTCACACGCTCTTGGCCTAGCCTTAGGTTAGATATTGCATCTGTCTCTCATCCAACACATCACCTGTCCAGAAAGTTGCTCGTAAACTTTTAACTCTTCCGTCGTTTTCAAATACGAATGCGCTCAGTCACTACACTTTACGGCGCGGCACGTCCCGTTCCCGTTCCCGTGAGGCACTTTGAGCCGTCTCGACGACGCGATAAGGCGCTACGTCGAATGCAAGGGTCGTCACAAAACATTTAACAGTCGGGCGACTTAACTTTGATCGAAAACTTTCGAGCGCCGTTCATTTAAGAAAAGAAAAATCATTTTAACAATCAATTGTTCCGATTGCGAAAAAAAATGTGCAAATAATTACTGGACGTTTTTTTTTTGGGGGGGGGGGGGGGGGGGAGGGAAACAAGTTGCAGTATTTACATCGACTAAAGGTAGTGGTGCAGATTGATGGGGTGGGTGGGGATGAACCATTGCACTTTCCCCATTCATTTCAAATGAAATCCCAATGGAATAAAATGCAAGTTCTTTTTTCACGAGCAATCTGCAAAGATTGACCACAATAAAAGGAAGTGCACGACCACTGAGCTGATGTTGGGGGGGTGGGGGGTGGGGATGGATGGATGGATGGATGGATGGGGTGGGGGATCGAACCCCTTCTGCTGCTAAACACTGGACCAAATCCTTCTGGTAAAAGAGAGACCAAAGGGGAAGAGGAAATTGCATGTAATTGAACGTGGTTGAAGTTGCTGGGGAACTGCAATCTCTGTGACACAGGAAGTCAACGTGTATGGTGTTGGAGTGGGGGGTGGGGGTGAGGGTGAGGGGGGCATTGGGGTCGAGTGAGTGGTTTAACAGCAAAAAAAAGAGGAGGAAAATGTTGTGATTTGACAGATCTGGAGTTGGGAGGGGAGGGATCGAGTCAAATTGCGGTTGGGTTTGGGTGGCTGATTGCTGCCATCTCCCCACCCCAGACAGACAGACAGAGAGAGACACAGAGAGAGACAGACAGACAGGGAGAGAGAGAGACAGACAGAGAGACAGAGAGAGAGAGACAGAGACAGACAGAGACACAGAGAGAGACAGACAGAGAGAGACACACAGAGAGAGAGAGAGACAGAGAGAGAGACACAGAGAGACAGACAGAGCTGTCTGTCTGTTCGGGTGGACGTTAAAGATCCCAAAGCATTATTCAAAAAGAGAAAGGAGTTTCTCTCTCCCAGTGTCCTGGCTAATAACAATCCCCCAAATAAAATTGGACACTCACTCCATAGCTATTTGTGAAACATTGCTGTACACAACTGGCTGCCATGTTTCACCCACAAAATACACAGCCAGTCCACTTTA